GGTTAGCCATGCACCTTCTTCTGGCTTAAGTCAGAGCCTCCAGGTTGAATTTTAAATGAACTTAATGTAGTAGAAGTTGCATATATATGTAACACAGTTTTTATCCCTCTGTCCTAACAGACCTAATATACATCTAAGTCAGCACTCCTTACAATAAAGCACCAAGTCATGTCTATATAACTTAACAAGAAACAAAGTCACATCTATGTGTTAACAAGGTATCAAGTCATGTCTATGTGTTAACCAGGCACCAAGTCACATCTATGTGTTAACCAGGTACCAAGTCATGTCTATGTGTTAACCAGGCACCAAGTCATGTCTATATATCTTAACCAGGCACCAAGTCACATCTATGTGTTAACCAGGCACCAAGTCACATCTATGTGTTAATCAGGCACCAAGTCATGTCTATGTGTTAACCAGGCACCAAGTCATGTCTATGTGTTAACCAGGCACCAAGTCATGTCTATATATCTTAACCAGGCACCAAGTCACATCTATGTGTTAACCAGGCACCAAGTCACATCTATGTGTTAACCAGGCACCAAGTCTAGTCTATATTTTAACAAGGCACCAAGTCATGTTTATGTGTTAACCAGGCACAAATTCACATCTATGTGTTAACCAGGCACCAAGTCACATCTATGTGTTAACCAGGCACCAAGTCATGTCTATATATCTTAACCAGGCACCAAGTCACATCTATGTGTTAACCAGGCACCAAGTCACATCTATGTGTTAACCAGGCACCAAGTCATGTCTATATATCTTAACCAGGCACCAAGTCACATCTATGTGTTAACCAGGCACCAAGTCACATCTATGTGTTAACCAGGCACCAAGTCTAGTCTATATTTTAACAAGGCACCAAGTCATGTTTATGTGTTAACCAGACACAAAGTCACATCTATGTGTTAACAAGGCAACAAGTCTAGTCTATGTGTTAACCAGGCACCAGTCACATCTATGTGTTAACAAGGAAACAAGTTACATCTATGTGTTAACCAGGCACCAAGTCACATCTATGTGTTAACCAGGCACCAAGTCATGTCTATATATCTTAACCAGGCACCAAGTCACATCTATGTGTTAACCAGGCACCAAGTCACATCTATGTGTTAACCAGGCACCAAGTCATGTCTATATATCTTAACCAGGCACCAAGTCACATCTATGTGTTAACCAGGCACCAAGTCACATCTATGTGTTAACCAGGCACCAAGTCTAGTCTATATTTTAACAAGGCACCAAGTCATGTTTATGTGTTAACCAGACACAAAGTCACATCTATGTGTTAACAAGGCAACAAGTCTAGTCTATGTGTTAACCAGGCACCAGTCACATCTATGTGTTAACAAGGAAACAAGTTACATCTATGTGTTAACCAGGCACCAGTCACATCTATGTGTTAAGCAGGCACAAAGTCACATATATGTGTTAACTAGGCACCAAATCATGTCTATGTGTTAACCAGGCACCAAGTCATGTCTATGTGTTAACCGGGCACCAAATCATGTCTATATATCTTAATCAGGCACCAGTCACATCTCTATATTTAAACCTTATATCAAGTAAAATCAATATATTTTATCTCTGCGCCAGTTACAAAAATATATTTCAATCAGACACCAACTCACTTCTACCTATTTTAACCAGGCACCAAATCACAGCAATCATTCCCCTCTTCTAGCATGAATACATTTACAAATGTAAGCAAATAAAAATTATTTCATTGAAATGAAAAAAAGAGTTAATATATGTACTAATGTCATTTTAAATATTTTTTAATTAATAATTAATGGCAATGAACAAAGTTTGACAGAACATGCCTTGAAACGTTTTTGTGAATCATGAATCTTCATTACCAAAACTTGGGATAATCTACATACAGTTAGAAAACAGGTACGCAGATCATATTATATTACCTTTGATGAGACATAAGTACCTAAGTGTATAAAACTACACTCATTTCGTGACACACAATGCTGATTGGAATTTTAACCAAATTATAATGTCCTGGGAATTCATGACAAAACACATTTCTTTTTTTTTTTTTGGAGCGATTTCAAAGCACTTTATTCATTCAACTTATGCTGATGGATTTTAATGTAAAATGATCTGGTATTACAGACATTCCAGGCTGATGATGAGTTTTATTGAGACCAAACCGGTTTCAAATTTTCTCCAAGATAACTAGTAAAATGAAGACAATGCATAACTCTGACATGTGAAAGAAGAACCCATGAAAAGATTTAAAAATAAACACAAGAAATCAGCTATGATACTTTAAATCACAAAATATGTATACCATTTATATCAAAATATAAAACTTGTAATTATCGTTCAGTCTTAAATGCTTTGTGACTCACATAAACGTATCTCTCCCAGACTCTAAAAGTGGTCTAGCACAAGTCTGTCCCTTAAACAATGCCTCGTCAAAACAAAAACAAGTGTGGATCTTTATACAGCAGGATGATATAAACACATATGAAATCCACTTAAAGGTTTATTGCAAATCTGTAACACAAATAAAGGAATTCTTTTGAATGAAATAATGTTAAATTATATTTTCACTACATTTGAGGATGGAAAATAACCATGAAGAAAAAAATCTTGAAAAAAGGATGACAGTGTTACATGTTTCCCATTAAAGAAAAGCTTCAAAGTTTTGGTTAAATCACAAATTTGAATCATCAACAAAAAAAAACCAAAACCTGTACTAAGTCAGAAACTTGATTACACAATGAAATATTTTAGTCAAGTAGCTACACGCTGCAAGAAGATCCTGCTTCAAAATTACCTTGGTAAACCCAACGAAAAGTGTAAACTTCGAATTCCAGCATATCCAATGTTTACAGGGAAGTGTAGAGAGTACTCTAGATACAAGACTTATAATGATGGTGATTAACCCCAGCAGTCTGAAAGAAATCACAAGATAACTGATGAGAACTGATTTTGCTGTATGAACCAATGTGACCTTGACCTGTGAACCCTGACTGAAAATCAAAAATGGTTCATCTTCTTTGGAAGAGGAACAATAAAGTGTGCCAAGTTTGATTATCTTAAATAGCAGGCTTTTTCTCTGAATTACACAGACATGTTTTTATAGATGTATGGACAAACTTCTGTACAGCAAAGAGGCTGGGGTTGTAGTTAAGTGCAAACTGAAATTTTGTTTGTTTGTTTTTTCTATATTCAAGTAAATAAAAATTCTTTTATTTTTTGGTACACACAGGTATGTACATGTATATCAGAAAACACTTTACAATCCATAGCAGAACTTGGTACAGAGTGTTGTCTAAATACTTAGTCCAAGGGAAGTAACTCCATTTCCGACAGGATCATAATACCAGTCTCTCCACGAGTGACTTTCGGTTTTATATCCGTGATATACATCATATGTAGGGTACTTGGGTGAACTTTCAGAGAAACTTTCAAAAAACTAACAGAAATATGACTACTAAATTAAAATATAAATTTTCTTTGAAAAGTTGAATCACTGAATATATGAAGTCACAGCCACAATCAAGTTGTAAGTAATATTGATTGTGTATATGGTTTGTAAGTAATGACCTAGTTATTGACTACCTACAACTGTATATATTATTTAGGTATAAAGGGTGAAACAGCTGCATCAATACTCCCACACTTATAAAACCTGTATTGATTTCTTTTATTCCTTATCATACAGACAGGGAAATTAATTCTCTAGGGACAGGTTTGGTCACAACACACATTTGCACGAGATATAACAAACTCGCTTTAAAAAAAGTAGTATTGAAACTTGCCAAATTCAAAAGATGCAGAGTTCTCGTTTTTCCAAAACATTACCTGTACTGATGAGAAAAACCACAACATTTCATCAAAGAATATTAAAATCTTAATTTACTAAGTTTTCCATCTCACAATATATACTTGGCAAATCTTAAATAAGAATATTCATATCAATTTTCAACAATTCATTTGTGTAGTCTGTATCACATGGACAGGTAGAGTACTGCCGATCCTCCAACAGGTGACATTTATATGTATGTATATTTTCATATATATCACTTAGGTGCAATCATATCATGTAATTATTTTCATTATCATGTAACACGATACAGAGGTTTAACGTATCTGTCTTAAGATAGAAAGTGTGAACATTTCATGTTTATCATCAACAGAGAAGTGTTCAGTGATCAATCTACCTGTCTCTAGTCCTGTACTTCATATGCTTTTAATGGGACTCTGGATTTCTGGAAATAATTTTAAATTGCAGGATCCATTCTTTGTATCAATAAAGCTAAAAAGAACTATTGTAGATTGATCACTGAGTGTTCCAATTAAATTTTGCTTAGCAAGTTTTCAAGGTAACTCTTCTAAAGAAAAAATTCTCAGATTTCTTTTCCAATTATAACATTTATCAGGTGCATCCAATCCTCGCTATTGCTGACATGTTAATACATTTCTGAACATTTTTACTTGAAATATCTTTCTCAGATCATTATTTTGTTCCTAACCTAGAATTCTGTGTATAATTTTACAGGTACTGGTCATGATTTATTTGCTTATGGGCTGGTTGAACTTTCCATACAGTGGCCAATACAGAAAATATAAAGTTTGACCAGCAACTATTGGTATGTATTGACAGTTTTTCATAGTTAAATGTATATTTCTCTAACCACGACCTGAAGAAATTGATGCTTTAATGTGTTTTTCCTAATATGGATCCGAGTATGGATGGTACGTATTAGTGTTGCTCATTAAGCACAGATGCTGTACCGCATGTCAAACTTGATTTACTGCTAATGAGATTTATAAATAATTTTCAAGTTTGGACAAGAAAAAGAATTTGATAAAAATGACGTATTGAGAAAAAAAATAGAAAAAAAAAAAAAAAAAAGAAAAAAGAAATTATGTAAATAAAGTTGTGCAGAAAATACAAGTGATTTCAAAGAAAATTTCATAACAAACCACATTTCAAGGGTTTTGAGCTAGTCATTGATAGTAAGCAACACCTATGCATCAAAGTTTCTCCTGATGAAATAGAACACTTCCTCTGCCCTCTTTTCTGACATACAGCCTTTAGTTCGAATAGTCTGAACACTAGCAGACAGAAAGTCTTTAATTGTTCTGAAATTGTAGGTAAGATTGAGACTGTGAACATGAGTGAGTTTCGGAAAAGATGAATAAAACCTTATATGCTGCTGTTTTTTATCACTTACATTCACTGGTACACTTATTGCCATGTTTTTACGCATCTCGAGCAAACAGAGGTCAGCTAGGATGGCCGCAGTGTCTAACTGACCACTGGTAAAGTACATTTTCACATTAGAGTTGATCAACTGGACAATGGTCTTGTCCACATATTTAGTCCAATGAAGGAGTCGATTACCTCCCTTATCAGAACCCTTCACTGGGTCAGATTCTATAATCAGACATGGTCGGTCATACAAGTCACACAGTTGATGAATACGGTCGACCAGTTTGGCTCTATTTGACCCATTCGTAAATTCCGACCACACTTTTCGGTCAACTCCCATGCGGTTGCTGACAACATAATCACACCCAGCCAGCTGAGCGACTATCACAGACATATTATGTTTGAAGCGGAGTTCAGAAACGATGTTCTGAGAACCATTTATTTCTCTAGAGTCCACAAATATCACAGATTTACTGTTGTTTTCCATTTTAGCACTAGTCAACAGTTGTTCATCATTCCTTGATATATCACAGTTCAGCTTAGGTACTTCAATAGCCCCAGTCCTTGAATTACTAAAATCACTATTAATCACTGGTGATTTTGACTTTTCATAAATGTCTTGTGCCTTTTGTGCCATTCTCCTTTTGAATTCTTCCTGTTTCTCTTTCTGTTTCTGAAGTCGTTGTACACGCAATTGTTCAGCTGTTAAATTTGTATTCAACCCAGAAACAGATCTGTCTGCAGGTTTATGACTAGTATTAAACCAGGCACTAGCATTGTCACTCTGAACACCAGAAATATCACAGGATGTTGTTGGATCTGTGGTGTGGTGTGACTCTGTCTTGGATCTTAACTCTGATATACAAATTGCACTGACATGATTATTTTTTATCCTTGTCATAAGTGATGGTATAATGTCCGGTGTCCCTTCAGCAGGGGAAGTAATTTTCAGAGGGGAGACAACTTTACAGTCAGGTTCTTCTTCACTCGTACTGCTCGACAGGAGTACCCTTCTGCGCCGTTTACCAGCTGACACTTGAGGTGTCTGTATTTTACTAACGTCACACTTGTAACTCTCTTCTTCACTAGAAGAATTTGATATTTTCCTTATTCTTTTCCTGCCAGTCAAATGTTTCCTGGCTTTTTTCTTGTGAATGGCTGCTGGTTTTGACCAGCGTGTCCTCCGCCCTACGTAAGTAATATCAGCATCCTCTAACATTGTAATTTCTTTTGCCTCCTCCAAGTCAACACCTGTTTCCTCAAAATCATCATCCACACAAAAACTATCTTCCATATAATGAGAGTCATCATATTGGTGAGGTTGTGAGAATACATCCATGTTGCCTTGATCATACTTCAGCCGGAATTTCCCTCCAACTAAAGGACTTCTGACTGATTTCAGATAGAATGCGTGCATGTCCTCTGCTCTTCCTTGTGACATCTGTGTTGCTTCACCAATGAAACTGTCCTCCATTTGATCCATGTCACTTCCATCATCCTCGTCACCAGAAACATTTTCCTCGTCATCTGACACCTCAGCTTCACCATGAATAAACATGTCTGCTGGAGATTTGGATTTTGTCCTTTTTTTAACAACTTTCCTTTCAGTATCTGATGACCTGCCAGAATTTCTTGATGTTTTAGAAGCAACAGACAACCTGTCCTTTACTAAAGCTGATTTGTCATCAGCAAAGTCGTCATCATCCAATTCCTCGATCTCAGGAAGCTTAAATGAGACGTTAAATTTCAATTTTTTTGTATCTTTTTCATGTCTACACTTATTTGCATTTGAAGGTTCACCAGGTGTTCTAAATGGAGTGGTTTGATTGTCCATGTGTTGTTTTTTTTGTGTAAAACTAGGTGATGGTGAATCTATTATTATTGCTTTTCGTTTCTTCCTAACAACTATATCATCATCCGACTCTGAAGAGAGTGATTCAACAGGAATCAGAGACCTGTCACACACCGGTGAAAAACCATCATGTTCGTCAAAATTCTGTTTGTTGACGTTTAGCGTTTCTTGAAGATAGCTGGCTGTTCCTAAACCTGTTTTTGAAGTTGTACATGTCTGTATATCTGATGGTGATCTATATGGTCTATTTCCCTGAGCTGGAGCAGATATCCTGTCACGGATATTACAAACAAACTGTTTTTTCTCCACTGTGTTTTTATCTTGCATGTCACCAAACATCACAGACTCGTTTGAATCCTTTGTACTATGGTTGACTTTGGTTTCTCTGACATCATCTAGAAAGTTACTTGTGGTAGCTTTAAGAGAGTTCAAGCCAGGCTTACACAAATTTTTGTCCATGGTTTTTCCTGCATAACTTTTAACCATGTTCAAAACACCCTTTGAATTTGCTTCATTTTTTCTACCAGAATTCAAACTGTCAGTATCATTTTTTGTTGAGGAGAGCAAAGCAGTTTTTGAACTGCTATCAATCATTGTCTTTGAATATTCACATAAATCATTTCCCATGTGACTGCTCTGGATAATCGTCTTATGATTTGAAAGCACCAGCGAATCTTCCTCAATTATACTCATACCAGCGACACTTCCCACCTTGTCAGACTCCACTGCTGAAGTTTTACGAGTACCACAGGTGGAATCAAACTTTGTTGATAATGATTTTCTACTTTTGAGTAGACTCTGACTTAGACTGGCGGAAAAAGATTTCTGTGAGATAGATTGGCTGGCACAAGGTGATGGAGGAATGATGTCCTCGTCAACATCAAAACCCAGATCAAAATGAGGTATATCGAACGAGTCTTTACTACCCTCATCTGAACTGTTCCCGATATCCTCACTTGGCTGAAAATCAGTAATGTTATTTGTAGAATCTTTCTTAGAGTCTGGATCCAGATGCGTTACATCTCTGGTATTTTGATTTTTGTCTTCAGCTTTGTTGCATTCTGTCTCGGGAGCTTGGCATGATTTCTTTATTTCCTTTATGGAATTAAAAAAATCTGTCATATTCTCCAATAAGTTACCTCCATTTTTCTTTTCCTTTTCAAGGTCAATATCATCTTGAGAATCCTCTGACAGAAGTTCGTTGCTGTCGTGTACACATGCTAATGCTTGTGTGAATGTAAACTGTGTGGGAGAAACAACAGAACTTCCTTGAGTTTTTAGGGTCATTTTCAGCATTTCCTTATCGTAAGAATCATCGAATAACGAGGTGTCAGCTGTGTTTCTATGACCAGCAGGCAGATTCTTTAGATTCCATGAAGCTGCTGTTATCCTGCTGTTACTGCTATATTTCTCTGAAAAGGGTTTTCCATATTTTTCAGAACACATAGGTTCATTACCGATATCATCCATAAACTTGACCTTTTCAATCACTGTACTTTCTTGGTCTAAACTTCCTTGTTTATTGACAAATCTAATCTTTTCAACATTTTTGGGACATTCTTGTCCTCTGAAATTACCTGAATTGTCACTAATTGTGGAAGATGAAGTATGTTTTGTGTCTGTGTTAATTTGGTCCACATTGTCATCACCAAAGAGGTCTTCATTATGCAGTGAAAAATTTGCCTGAGTGTCGAAAAACTCATCGTCAGAAGATAATGTAGAACCTCTTTCTTTCATTACTGACATATCCTTCAGGTAATTCTTACTTTCTGGTGAGATATGTGGTGAAACATTCCGTGGTGAGATATGTGGTGAAACATTCCGTGGTGAGATATGTGGTGAAACATTCCGTGGTGAGATATGTGGTGAAACATTCCGTGGTGAGATATGTGGTGAAACATTCCGTGGTGAAACATTCTGTGGTGAGATATTCTGTGGTGAGACATTTCGTGGTGAGATATTATGTGGCGAGACATTCTGTGATGTAACGTTTTGTGGTGAAACATTTTGTGGTGAGACATTCTGTGATGTAACGTTTTGTGGTGAAACATTTTGTGGTGAAACATTCTGTGATGTAACATTCAGTGGTGAGTTTTGGATATTGTCACATGTGACAGATTTGTTCTTGATCTCAAATGGACCTTCTTCTTCATAGACTGCCAGAGAAAAGTTTGCTTGTGTGTCTAAAATAAAACCAGAATCATCAGACAAAACATCATCATCATCATCTTCTGAATTTCTAACTGGAACATGAGGTTTATTGATTGGTGACAGCATATTGTCATCGGGAACAGATTTGAGACATTGTTTCCCTTTATCATGCACTCTTTCCTGGCAGGCTGAAATATCCAAGTAATCATGTTTTAGATTTGTTTTACTGTTGATGACTTTTTGATGGTCTTTAGATGGAGACTGGCGTGCTATGTGGATCTGAATGTCCTGCATTGGTTCTGACATTTTCCTTCCTGAATAACTAGTTACACTCTTGTCACCAGCAGATGATCTTTCATCCACTGAAAAAGGACCAAGTCCTTGGTCTTTACCAGACTGATCACTTTTGTCCTTAAAGTCAGACTCATCAAACTGACCACTGCTTCCTTTTCTGTTTTGGTATTCCTGGTTTTCCTTTTCCCATTCATCAACTAACTGTAACAGATCTAGTGGAGGAAGTTTTTCACATTTATCCAACTCGGCTACAATTTCTCCGACTTGTTCTAAAGGCGGAGGTGTTCGAACGCGATACACATTTGTATTTGAAAGTATTTCTGCACTTTCAAGGGTAACTTGACCAATATCTGACGGAGGAATTTTAGGAAGAAGCTGTGAAAATGACGACTCTTTTTCCTTCTCATCGTCTACTTCCATAAGTTCCTGACTGTCCATAAGCGGAGAATAATTGATATCAGAAGATTCCATATCGTCTTGGATTTCATTTTGATTGTTTTGAGCATTATCTTCTGCCTGATTCACAGGAGATGTGATTTCATCTAGAGGTGGTAATACTGCAGGCATATTTTCTTCTTCATCAGTAAAATCATTATCTTCAGTCTCCACTATCAACTGGACTACAGACCTGTCACCGCTCACAGAACGTTTCTTGTCCTTTTTGCTTTTCTTAACAATAGATTTGGACTCTGGGATATCTGTAAACACTTGGGAAGATTTCGAGAGTAGTTGACGTTTTCCCGCCTTTCCTTTCTTATTTCCTTGAAAAGATGTTCGTTTATCATTACGATTAATGTTAAAATTTGGCAAATCTTCTTCACTCTCTTCATTACTACTTATTTCAAATGTTGGTAATACATCGCTCTTTCGAAATTGTCTCCCTTTGTTTTTTGGTATTGTTTGTGCTGTGCTGCCTTCTTTTTCCACAGCGACACAGAATTTACGTATTCCGGTCCCTTGTCGCCCGTTTGTCTCCCCTGGCTTAAGTACGTCCTCCTCATTCAGAAACAAACTCATTTCCTCTCCATAGGGATCTTCATTTGGATCCAGTGTTTCTGTAAATTGATAAGTAATCTCTTGATAATTTAATGTCTAAAGTATGTCGTGGTTTAAAAAAAATTTTTAAGTGTTTATTTTATTTCTTTTTTTAGTGTTTTTTTTCAATCAACATAATTACTACTAGAACATCAGTAACCTAAAGAGGAAAATTAAGAAAACACAAAATGATACTGACAAATCATTTAACAAAAATAGATATGCTTAATATTATCTTAAACATGAAGATTTTCTTATGTTTAATTGAATATTTCACAGCTGAACAGAAACATTTTTGACTATTTTAATCATTGTTGCAGTTACACATTAGTACTATGCTTTGGTACCACTTACGCTGAATTTCAATAAACTGCATCAGTTCCACAAAGTGTTTAGTTTTAGTTGAGTGGTCTATTTTATAAGTCTGCTGTAGACGATTCTGCCAGGGCAACCATTCACGAAGAATTTGTCTCTCTCCAGCAGGTTTCTCCTGAAACAAAAAATTCAATACTTCTGTATAATCTCCCAAACTTGCCTTCTGTATAATAAATTCCCTAAAGACTCTCATGACCCAATCAAGTTTTGAAAGTAAATATTAACCACAATTTGGGGATTGTACCTTTCATTTTCCCAACTATTGTTCTGTAGAATGATCCCAAACACAGACTAAGCCAAAAACCTAAAGAACACCCTTTATTTAAGGTGTGTACAAATGGTCAAAATGAAAATCATTGAAGATTTTTTTTTTTGCCAATTCTCAAAATCAGAAAATGCATTTCTTTGAGTTGTATAGTAAATTTGTAAGTTTATCACATTTTGAGTTACACACTATGATCTAACAATACAGAAAAACTTAGGGACTCATCAGCAGATAAGTGTAATGTCTAATTATCTAACTTATGCCGGTCAATAATGGAACTTGACTGCAACAAGTCAAAGAAAATCTGCCACCTGAAAGTTGTCACATTACCTAGAAATAAAGATTTTATACATAGTGGATCTTGTTTCCGTTTGATCAAAAGAGTCCAAGAACTTTATATTTTAGCAAGCAAAAATGAAAAATTGGGGATGAGTTCTAAAAATTATGTATTAGATAGAAATATGTCTAATCCTTATCATCATATGATCAACTATTCTGGCAAATGTGATAGAGATGGGACATTTCCATGATTGAAACATGTCAAAACAGAACTCATCACTGGAGTAACAAAATCTGGTACTGACATGAAACAACAACTGTTTCCCTTACATGTTTCTCCCCTAATGTCAGCAGTGGCAATCTTGAAGGCAGTGTAGGTATACTGTCCTCAGGTACAGCGTAGTTCTGTATAAGGTCACGGTACTCCTCCGTAGTCAGCAGGCCATCATCAGTCCTGGTATCTAAGAATATCAAAAATACGTCCATCTATATAAGGTGCATAACTACATCATCTGTCAATCATGTGTATGTATTTCATTTACTTTTTTATCATCTTCCCAGGAGTTCAGGAACAGTATAAACTAGAACTGTTGTCCAGGGGCTAACTCACACCCCATTCCCCATTCCCAAAAGGACATAACTTTCTGAAAAGGGGTGGTTGGGGAGTGTTTAAAATTTGCAATCAAATTTTAGAGTCATGGCATCAGAACTAAATACATGTATATATCTGGTGACCTTTAACCTTTAACTAAAAGCTAAGACAAAATTATTCCTAATTCATCTATAACACAGAAACACCAGTAAATTCACACAACATACATAAGTGACAAACCTGTGGCAGACTTAGACTGGAATTTGAGTTTTTTCTGCTTGGAGTCCCGATTGACTTTAGGACCATCTTTTGTCTGGAAATTCTGTTGTAGGGAAATATGCATCTTATGACAGGATGGCATCCATCCCTCTGGGACCATACGTGGGTTGTTTTGGTAGAAATGGAGAGATTTAGCACCATTAAGAATAGCCTTGTGTATGCTTTTCTTAGAGTACTGACTCTGGTTGTAAATCTGTATTAAGATAAAATTTGTGATAAACACTATTAGCAACTTTAAAACAGAAGTCTTTTGATCAAATTCACTTTTTCAGAAATTTCAGAAAAATCCAAACACTAATTTCTCAGCAATAGGCAAAAATTGTCAATTACCAAGTTTCTCTACATACAGTGTATGAAAGAAAAGCAGCCTAAATCTTGAATCAAGAAACTTTGGTTTAATAAATATAAATGTATTGGATGAAACTTTATGTCCTACATAACATTTTTCTATCTCATGACATTCATATCAACATCAATTAAATTCACAATGACAATGTTGACCGATATCTGATCCAGTAACATGTGTACAGATACAGTGACAGTTATATCTGATCCAGTAACATGTGTACAGATACAGTGACAGTTATATCTGATCCAGTAACATGTGTACAGATACAGTGACAGTTATATCCGATCCAGTAACATGTGTACAGATACAGTGACAGTTATATCCGATCCAGTAACATATGTACAGATACAGTGACAGTTATATCCGATCCAGTAACATGTGTACAGATACAGTGACAGTTATATCTGATCCAGTAACATGTGTACAGATACAGTGACAGTTATATCTGATCCAGTAACATGTGTACAGATACAGTGACAGTTATATCTGATCCAGTAACATGTGTACAGATACAGTGACAGTTATATCTGATCCAGTAACATATGTACAGATACAGTGACAGTTATATCTGATCCAGTAACATGTGTACAGATACAGTGACAGTTATATCTGATCCAGTAACATATGTACAGATACAGTGACAGTTATATCTGATCCAGTAACATGTGTACAGATACAGTGACAGTTATATCTGATCCAGTAACATGTGTACAGATACAGTGACGGTTATATCTGATCCAGTAACATATGTACAGATACAGTGACAGTTATATCTGATCCAGTAACATACAGATACAGTGACAGTTATACAGTGTACAGTTACAGTTATATCTGATCCAGTAACATGTGTACAGATACAGTGACAGTTATATCTGATCCAGTAACATATGTACAGATACAGTGACGGTTATATCTGATCCAGTAACATGTGTACAGATACAGTGACAGTTATATCCGATCCAGTAACATATGTACAGATACAGTGACAGTTATATCTGATCCAGTAACATGTGTACAGATACAGTGACAGTTATATCTGATCCAGTAACTGATCCAGTAACATGTGTACAGATACAGTGACAGTTATATCTGATCCAGTAACATCTGTACAGATACAGTGACAGTTATATCCGATCCAGTAACATGTGTACAGATACACTGACAGTTATATCTGATCCAGTAACATATGTACAGATACAGTGACAGTTATAAATGGTGAAGAATACCTGTTCTTCCTTGCCTTCCGTCACTAACATGATGATACGTCCCTCTCGTTTCCTGCCGGTACGTCCCATCCTCTGTACCAATCTGATTGGACTTTTGTGAGCATCAAAACATACGATGAGGTCCACTTCCCCAATATCCAGACCTTCTTCTCCAACACATGTGGATACCAAGGTGTTGTAGCCACCCTCACGAAACTTTTTCATGACCTAGGAACAAATTAGAAACGGTTAAGAATTGTGTTTCCCCTGGCAAATTAAATAACATTATTTAAGTAGTAAAGTAAAACTTCATCTTTCTTATTTCTTTATATTACCTGCTCTCATAGAACTTGTATCACAAACAATAAAGATCGAAAACTGTAGGAGGTTTTTATATTGTAATCATCTTAAACGTACACTGATCTAAGCAATTTCTTGCACATATATTAAATATTCTAAATGAATATGCCTAATTTTATAAAAGTTTTGGAAATCATGAATATTATTGTGCAATACGTAGGACTGTATTAAATATTTCCTCTGACTAAAAGTTAAACAATTTTTTCATTACGGCCAAGAAAATCGTCATCATGCTTATAAATGTATGTATTTTAAGGAAATCAAAAGTTGTTTTGTCTCATCAAGGAAAAGCATCAATAGAGATGACGCCCTGGACACTATGGTCAGCTAATTACCTTGAGTTGTTCTTTCTGTGTAAAACCCTTAGTTGCCTTGCCAGCAGAGGACTGACCGATGAAACTCATGACTTTGACCAATGGTTGGTGCTGCATGAGTATATCTGTTATCTCAGACACGCTGTCTCTGTATTGGGAGAAAATCATCACCCGAGTCGCCTGCGACTTCTCTTCCACACTTCCATCTTGAAAAGAGTTGAATTTTCTATCGAGAATTTTCCTAATTTGAAACCTTGGTAACACTAATTTGAAACCTTGGTAACATAGAAATATGCAGTATATCTAAACTGAAACCTAGACGTATCAGTGAAAACCAATCCTGCTAATTTCAAAAGGATTCTATAGCATAAGGACATAAACTTACACCATGACAAATTAAAACAGGGAAGTCTACACCAAATAAACACCCACAACATCAATTGTCAGCTTTATAATAAGCTTGTTTAATAAAAAGAGGAAATGTTGACCTTTTCACTGTTGTACCAGTTTTGTGTAAGCTACTGACACATTGATATATTTTTCAGAGACATCGTCAATGAAAAACAGAAAACCTTACAATTTGTACAAACCTTTTAAGAAGTTATTGAAATGGTTGACAACCACCTCCTCCAATTTCTGCATCTTTGGGTGTCCGGTCTTAACTCCATCTTTGTACTTCTGGCTCAATCTGAGTAATATATATAGAGGATTAAAGGAATAAAATAAGTTTTTGGCTCCCTCTAATATTGTACAAAAGACACAAGTGGTTAGCACCATCAGTATTGATTTAGATGTAGATAAGGTGCAGCCAAATAAAATAAACAGCACCATACAGCTGTGTCATCCTTCTAGGGGCCTTAATTGTTAAATGTGGCTGAGGAATATCAAAATTGGTTGAAAGAAAGATCAAAAACCAAATGGGGAGGGGCACTCATCCCAAATTCTATGTTTCCTTCTGGAAAAAAATTATCTGACTTGCTTAAGTGACTTGAATTGGAGGTTTTCCATTAAGTTCCAAGGGTGTAACAGGGTGTAGATCACATTTAATCTTACTATTTATCTTATAATTAAACATAGCAACTTGATATATAATTATTCATATAAGATATAAATATCTTACATGACAGAACTTCTGAAATACCACAAGGAAGACAAAAATGAAATGAATGACAGAATTTCTGAAATACTACAGAGAAGACAAAAATGTAAGGAATGACAGAATTTCTGAAATACTACAGAGAAGACAAAAATGAAATGAATGACAGAATTTCTGAAATACTACAGAGAAGACAAAAATGTAAGGAATGACAGAATTTCTGACTACAGAGAAGACAAAAATGTAAGGAATGACAGAACTTCTGAAATACTACAGAGAAGACAAAAATGAAATGAATGACAGAATTTCTGAAATACTACAGAGAAGACAAAAATGTAAGGAATGACAGAACTTCTGAAATACTACAGAGAAGACAAAAATGTAACGAATGAAAGAACTTCTGAAATACTACAGAGAAGACAAAAATGTAACGAATGAAAGAATTTCTGAAATGATACCAAAAAGACAAAAATGAAATGAAAAGTGTCAATCAATGGAACTTTAATATAAAGTATTCTACACAACAGTTTTAATAGTATAATGTGTTTACTGACGTCCAGTTCATTTTAATATTAATATAATTCAGCTTTGATATATTTGCAATTACAATTAAGATTCATTCTACAATACTTATATTGGTGTACCTGATGTTTGGGTCAGAAGCAAACTGACTGCGTAGCTTCTCCATTAATTCTACAAAGCCAGCATTTTTCATCAGTTCAGTCTTTGTACGACCATGTCCCTTTTCTCCACTCACAATACTTTCTAGGTAGTTATACAATGAGCGCTGACCATGTAGCTGTAGTAGTTCAAACCCGTGGTAAAGACTCATGGCCAAGGCCAGGTCACCCTCAACAGCACCATACTGTGTCCTCTGTAACACAAACACATGCCATATAGTGTCAAGGTCACTCTCCACAACACCAGACTCTGTCCAATATAACACAAGCGAATGTCATTCTTGGTCAAGGTCACCCTCCACAACACCATACTGTATCCCCTTCAAAACAAACACATGTCATATACAGGGTCAAGGTCACTCTGCAAAGAACCATACTGTGTCTACTATAACACAAATACATGTCATATACAGGGGTCAAGGCCACTCTCCACAGCACCATAATGTGTCCTCTGTAACATCAACACATTTACATGTCGTACAGTGTGAAGGTCCACAGCACCATAATGTGTCCTCTGTAGCATCAACACATTTACATGTCAACAGTGTGAAGGTCCACAGCACCATAATGTTTCCTCTGTAACATCAACACATTTACATGTCATACAGTGTGTAGGTCCACAGCACCATAATGTGTCCTCTGTAGCATCAACACATTTACATGTCATACAGTGTGAAGGTCCACAGCACCATAATGTGTCCTCTGTAGCATCAACACATTTACATGTCATACAGTGTGAAGGTCCACAGCACCATAATGTGTCCTCTGTAGCATCAACACATTTACATGTCATACAGTGTGAAGGTCCACAGCACCATAATGTGTCCTCTGTAGCATCAACACATTTACATGTCATACAGTGTGAAGGTCCACAGCACTACAATATGAATGGAAGTTCACACAGGGATAGATTAGCATGGATCATTTAGAGTGGGTGTTTCCTTGTAGTAACTATCTCAATTATTTCCATCATATGCTATCCGGTACAATTGAGGTGTGATGTACCACATAAAAAACCATAACAGCACAGGATGAATGGAAATATATACTATATCCAGTAATTTGCCCATTCACCTAATTGAGATTAGAAGAAATATTCAGGTCCCTAAGGCTTATTGCAGGATAAATCCAGTACATGTCTAGTTTGTCTTCCCTTGATGTTTTGTAAACTTCATTCATTGTATCTGCATGTAAATCAGACAGAATCCTAGCAAAATAGTTCTTAAGTCTTCCTGTATTTTTTATTTAATTTCTATTTGTAATTTTATCTAAATTATTCTGTCTACCTGTACTTGGTGGAATAAAATAAAATACCATTCTAGCTTACCTGTAGCTGTTGGGGTGGATTCTGTCTAAATGCTTCTCTGGCCTTCAGAATCAGGAACTTGGAGAAACTGGTTGTCTCCCTTTTATACAAGACGCCCTGCCTCTTTAGTCGACCAACAACCACATCCATGACCTGCAGAAAAAGACAAATGGTCAGATATGTTCAACACAGTGTAATGGAAATAATACAGGATCTACAAGTATACCAGAAAAAATTATGCATGGACCTGAGAAAACAGCTGGGAATTTTTTTATACCAAATAGATGACAACCTTGTTCAAACCAGATCCATGATGATTAGAAGGAAAAGCTTTTTCATGAGAAACATGTAAAGCTATAGATAGCTGTATGTGTATGTATTCAGAAAAGAAAGGTATTTTTTATAACAAAAACCATATAAAACAGAAATAGTTTGTAGCTCGCACATCTACAGCAAATTTTCTGGTTCAAAAATTCATCAAGACATTAACATATATGGTATGTGAGAAATAGTTTGGACATTATTTTCATGTTGAAAGAGAAACAAGCTGTACACAAACATTATTACTGACTTATACGGGAATATTTCTCTACTTTAAGTCATTTTAATGGATCATTGCACTCTTTGCCTTCCTGGAAGTTTTATTTCTATCTTTCATAAAATTTCAACCAATTCCAAATCCTAAATACCTGAATATATGTCTTTTTCACCTGGGTGAGCTCATCACCCAGGGGAACTACAATCTTTTCAACTTTCCGCTCATGTGAAAATTGCTTGATATCAATTGATTCTTCTGTCCTTAATTCAATGTGAGATATCAGGAGGTTAGACAAGACCTGCTGTACTGCCTGCAACAAATCAAAACTGAAGTCAGAAGGTTAGATAAATCTCATGTACATATTTGCTGAAAATGCATTCATTTATCAGAAATATCCAATTCACTGTTAATGATATTCTCTGTCATTAGTAACATGATGAGTTAAAATATTATTTTCATTCTTGAGTTTCTGCTTTTTACAAGAGATTTAATTATTTAACAGCATCTACATCCACTATGATGCCTTTCAGCAAACGTATTTCCACATAAAACTCAACCATAACATCAATTTCAAGAATTTTAGACTTTTCCATTCTGAGAAAGTCTCCTTAAATAAAAGTGTGAACAGAAAAGGAGACAGTTTGATGACCACAGCAATTACTGATAAAAAACCCAAATTAATCAAAAGAATTTTGGAGAAAATACAATGAGGTGCAATATTAGCCTAATATCAAAGAACAAAATTGTCACTTTTAAGTGTATAACATGCCTGTACTTTTAAGTGTAAATACTGAGTGTCCATGTATGAGGGGAACATGTTACATCAGGTTTTAATTCTCAGAATGTGGACTGGTCATATTGTACACAAATATTTAACAAAATATTTTACTGTATAAAAATAGTGGACCAAATATCAGCAACTTTTATATCTAAACTTGACCACCAGTTCAGATCTGATTTCATTGAAGAAAGAGCAGAAACATTACCTTAATATCACTCCCTGGTGTAGCACTTAAAGCCAAAATACGGAAGCTCTCTGTGTACTTTATCAACTCTCGTACAACCTGCAACAAGATGATTATGTATTCTAAAAGTAACATGTTAATGAAGTCTGCAGAATGAGTCATGCAAATATAGTGTATATGAATGCCAAATCGATAAACAAAAACAAAAAAACAAAACCGAAAATATCACTGATGTAGAGAGGCATAGCAATTTTCAAATTTCACATCATTAAATAATTTACTCAATTCCTCCAATATCGATCACAGAGAGACGTGAGCAGCACTCCTATACCTGACAGTAGGCATGATTGCCCAGGGCCTTGTGTGCTTCATCCACCACAAGACATCGCACCCTGACTGCGGGACAAGTCCCACGACTGAGATCATTGGTGAGGACCTGTGGGGTCAGGAAAAACACCCGCTTCTCCTGCCAAGTACGTTTCCTCTCTGTTGGAGCCATGTTACCTGTAGGCATTGAAATTATTCACTTTACAATTTCTTTTGTGAGAAATGTTTAATTATTTGCGTGCTGGCTTTATCACCTGGTGAACGCCTGGGGTTATTTTGTTGTGGGGTCTCCTGGTAATATCTAGTGGTTTCCTCACTGAACAACATTCCGGAAGTCTGTCGCATGCCATCCAGAACATTTAGGGTAAGAGTCCAAGGAAACAGTAGTATCAGCAGACTGGTTCATTTCTCATCTTCCCATGAAACACAAACAGCCATGGCTGGGGAGCATCAAACTACCTACTTCAGACCTTTCCCTGAGATTAAGTAGATCAATGCTCTAACCAACAGAAAAGTCATAATTTTCCCAACAGGATTCATAACAACAAAACTATAAACCTTTCTATTAAGTAATCTAGTAGCAAATTGTAAAGTCCCTAAATTTCAGATTTTATCAACACTTAATACATCTGTGTTGGTACTTATATCTTACCTGTCATTTCAGCAGTGTCCAGTTGGGGGATACCCATTATATTGTAACAGGCTTCTATCTGCTGAGCTACCAAAGGTTTAGTAGGAGCCATGAACACTACTTTACCCTGAGGGTACCACCTGTCCAATGAAGTAAGTAAAATCTTATTCTAAGTCTCTATTATAGTATGGGACAACCAATGATCTGATCAAATGAAAAGGTTGGTGTACTTAAAACCAATTCTAAAATCTTGTAATGTACCAACTTGACAATCCAGCTTCTGAAGTTAAGTGACTGAAAATACCTTGACGAAATTACCTCAATATTGACAAAATACATAGTTCAAGTGTGCTTTCCCTTGAAACTAAACCTGATTTTAACAAGTACACTAAATCAGATAAGATATTAAAAGGCAAAAGCAATCTTTGATAAAAGTGTGTTTTTAATATTGTAACCACAAACACATTCACTGGTATAGTCAAGAATGAAGAACTTCAGTTTTCAATCAAATTCGATAATTATTTTTTGATCAGCTATGACCACCATCCTCAATACCCCACGGGTTATGACCACTTTCGCTCTCTGCACCCCTGGAACATGTTGTAAGATGGGAATTGAAGGCACAAACAAAGTAATTAAATTGGTTCCAGGAGAAAAAAAAAGACTAATCACAGGCTGATACGCTACTTTCAAAGATTACAAAGAAGCGACAACAAATGTCACAGCCATTACAATACACTGTTGTGCGACCTTGAAATTTGCCTGATATTCATCAATGGATCTAACTAGTCTTTTCGTCTTGTATACAAGGTGTAGTACATGGAACCTTCAATTTTGCCATGACATGTTCTAGGGGTGCAGAGAGCGAAAGTGATTGTAATCCGGTGAGTATCGAGGATGCCACAATCACACATACCTGTAGAAGTTGTACATGACTACTGCTGCTATGAAGGTCTTGCCAAGGCCAGTGGGAAGGGTCACCATAGTATTTTTGTACAGAGCCTGTTGACTGATGTTAAATTGATAATCCCTGACTGGATAGTTGGTGGGGTAGATCCAACTCTTTCCTGCAAACTTGTCAAATCCCTCAGGAGCCACTGTCTGGGTCAAAGACATATTACAAGGAAAGGATTCTGCTCCCAACGAAATGTTACAGACATCTCCTGGTGGTGCCACTGAAGACGTACCGGCTGTTGGCTCACTGTATCCTGGCATGTCCACAACCTGATAAAAGAATACAACTACACTGTATGTGGTAACAAGCAGGATTTATGATTCAACTGTGATAATAATGAAAAATAAAGACTACAATGGTTATTAAAGATGGGTTAGGCTGGGATAATTTTCTAAATGTTGCATAAGAAACAAACCCCTTGCATAAAAATTTTTCTTTCTTGCATTTTTTGGATAAACTTGTTTGCCTGTAATTATCTGTACATTTAACATACACTTCTTATACAGATTTCATAATACAAAATATCTCTTCAAAATAATCATAATTATGTAGCAGAAAATTGTTCTGCAGCAGGACATTTTCTTAATCTGTACTCAGAGCTCTTATATCTATAAGGACTTATCTGTAATTAAGCAAAATTAAACTCAGAAATAAAAATTACGGAATACATAGAGTTCATCAGAGTCCCCCTTGATGAATGAGACTAAAATCAAACCTGTGCCAAAAGGTCTTCATCCTCATCATCTTCAAATCCATCGCACAGATCTATGATGCCTGCATGATCAGTAGATGGTGGGCCTGGTCTTTTACCAACATCACCCCTGTCAGTAATTTTAGAGTTAACAGCTTGAGATTTTTTGGCCGGCCCCCAACTCTGGAAGAGGGTCGCCTGTTTTCCTTTATTCATCTTTTTTCTATTTTCATGTTGATACTTTAGCACTCCTCACATCTGAAACATTTTACATACATACAGTTTGTAACCTGTCACCATTAATTTAGTTGATATAATGCCTTGTTACATGACTGCTTTGAGTACAATATAATGTTACTAGAAAGCTTGTTCTAGGAACTTGTAATATGTTTTGCTTTTAGCACAGGTCTGCTGTTTTTCCTTGACCAGGTCTATATAGCAAACTTCCTGTCAACACTACAGGATACTTTATCAGCTATCAATACAACTGATCATCAACATTTGAACATTTTTACCTACATTGTTTTTTTTTACTTCAAGCCTTCTGTAACCTAGTATTGAAATACATGACTATCTGACAGATCTTTCAGAGGTATCACTTATACATTTTTTGGTTTTCTTTCAATCTGATATGGGTGTATACGTTTTCTATCGGAATTGAGCAGGACACTATACTATACAGTACAGCAGGCTATACAATTATATCTATATTTTCTTTATTTTAAATTATTTCATATCAATGCACACAAAGGTTCATATCTCATATAACTCCATTCTGGTCATTAGGGCATGATAAACTGACCCCGTTGAAAGTCGGTTCAGGCTAAAGTTTCATGTTTGTTATGCTGGAAAGCTCGTTTCTTCAAATAAAAAAAAACTGTGCAAAAAGAAGTATTTTTGGCGAATAGTTATATAGAGGTCATATATAAGGAGGTTGATAATGTAGTTGTTAAATGTGGAAACTTTCGCAAAGCTATCAATCTTGTTCAACTTCGTGGCCTTGAGCCAGTCCAATGAAAGTAAATTAAAGGACCATCGGCTACAACAGTCCAAGATATGTTTTTTTTTATAATAATTAGTTGCTTTGAACGATATTGATAGCAATATTTATCGATGTTACTTACACTACCATAATATATACCCTGTTTCAGTTCACCAAAATACATCTGTATACAGCGAAACGCTTTGTTTACATATTTTCTTCGCATTTTCAATCTATTAAATTTCAAAATGGCGCGCTCTGGATTCGTACTCTCTTAAATGTTTGTATACAGAAAGGTTTTAGGCGACGTCAGCAGAGCGTTCAGTTTACCTCGACTTGTTGTGTATTTGACGTTTGACAACCATACAGGTTGTGTCATGTAAAATGTTTCGCAGGGAAAACGTTACAGCCGACCGGCAAAGTATGCTAACACCATATGAATAATTCTTATGTAGTTTTACTATATTTTGCAAAGGAGTTTAGTCAATAACGCCATTTTTCGGTGTGTGTCCAGGTATTGAACAACATTTTCAAATCATGGCAAAGGTAACGGACAAAGAATCGCTGTTTTCTCTGGAATTAGTGGTTGAAAAACTTTACATCCCTCATGTGGCCTGCAGATTCCCAGCTGTTGCATTCAGGCTCTTGGACTTTCCAACGATTCTCGTAGATCATGTTGAGAAAGAACTTGGAGATCAGATAAGACGCAAAATATCCACTGATCCCTACTACAATGTACCTGAACAATTTAGTGAATTGAAAGACAAACATGGCAATTTCATGATGAAAAAAGGTAAATCATGCTTGTTCAAAATAGCTGTGTCAAGTCTGAAGACGCACCTGAGCAACACGCCTCTGTATGTAATGGTCATTGACAACTTCCCTAAAGTGTCAAAATTGCTTGGAAATTGTACAGTCCCCTTGGATGAAGTTATGGACTTGATCCTCAATGATATTAAAACACTTGGACCTACAGTTCCATCCGTACATGGTGACAAAGGATTGTACAAAATCTACAGTTTGATGGGAAAAGAAATAGGCTATATCATTCTAGGATATCGTCTGTTGTGTTTGGGCCCAGGACTTATTCCACACATACCAGAATCTGCAATTGCGAAGCGGATGTCAACAGAAGTTGACCAGGTGTACAGACAAAATATTCCTCAACAGAGGGATGTAGGTAGCCCTTCAAAAAGGGATGTTGGTGGTTATTCTAGAAGGGATGAGGATCCTCTGATGACAACACAGGAAATGGGATCAATGACAGATCCAGAAAAGCATGATGTTGTACTGCAGACTGTAAACATGTGTGACAAAGAAATCCATGTGGCCATTTCGGAACCAGAGGTAAAACCCAAACCAATTGAAGGCAAAGGAATTATAGTCAAAGATCTGCATACAATAGCTACTCAAACTTTCAAAAGATCTAAACCAAAGCCAGTTTCAGAATTGAATGGGCTTGGCATTAAGAATGCAGATGATGATGAAGATGATGTCATCGTCACAAATATTGCCCAACCCCCTCCTCTGTTTTATAACAGTGAAATTGAGCCTGCCAAAAAAACTGAACGAGTGTACGCTTATAATGACGATGAACCCAGTGATGAATTTCTATCAGAAGATGAGGCTGAATCAATGGCAGCAAAGCATAAGTTAGAAAGGATGAAAAAAGAAGAAGAAGCAAAACGTAAACGACAGGATTATTTACGAAATCAGCAATCTCAAGCTGCTAAAGTTACTTTCATGAATCATCAACAATCACCTCCACAAATTAAGGAAACTGGAATGGGAGACCAGGCCTTATTTCCATTGTTAACAGCTTTGATGCAAGAAATATCAAATATTCAGAATCCACAGCTTATCCAACAGACTGTGCAGCAAGTCAAGTCTGTGTCAAGAACCCATCAACAGCAACAACATGTGCCACAGTCAGGTCGAAGTACACAGCAACAAAAGCAGATAGCTCCACAACAAATAGAAAAAGAAAATCAAAGTATTGAACAGGCGGGTCCTTATGGAAAGCAGAGGGGACGGAAAAGTCATAAAACATGTGCACACCCTCATGATGCTATTCCAGGTCAGAAAAGTTGGATCAGACAAGCTCCACAATTGGGTGTGAAGAAATCAAAGTTAACATATGGTTTGACAAACACACAGAGGTTGAGGCTAGCAAAAGTCAATCCTGATTGGGCAAAAAGTGTAGATAAAGAAGAAACAGATTTCAAGGCACAAAAGCAAAAATTAAAGAAGAGTATCAAAGAGGATCAGGAATTTGACACTGGGAATTTATCTGATACACTTACAGAGGTGAGGCGTTTGGCAGAGAAGAATCTTCAAGATACCCTGGCCGAAGATTCATTGTTATATGGGACAATGAACTCAACATCAAAGTCCAATAGAAGGAGAATTTCTCCACCAAGACGAAAACAAAAACAGTCAAGAAAGCGCAGCAAGTCACCTAGGAGTACAAAACAAACATCAGGAAAATCCTCAGGAGACTTACAGGAGTCAAAAAGTATTGGACAGAAAAGTGCTGAGGAGAACCTTTCTGACCGGGATTCTCCTAGTCTTCCAAGTCAGAGGAGTATCCAAGTTCGTATTCCAAGCGCCCAGATGTATGAGGATAGTGACGATGAAAATTTCAGTGACTTTGAACAGAATGCACCGACTAGAAACGGAAGATTTCCTGGATTTCATGATGATAATGAAAGTTTACCAGATTCTATCGGAGCTGACGCCATGGATAATAAATTTGACCATTCATTTGAATTGAAAGATGATGATTTTGATCAACCCTTGGAATCCACCCGTAATTCTAAACCATCTCCACCAAAAGCGAAGAAAAAATGGCTGAGTCGTAAATCCCCTGAAGATCCAAGTAATGTATATAATGACGATTCATTTGAGTCTGACCTCTCCCCTCGGCGTGATAAAGCAGACATGCCAGATAAATCACGAACATTTCAGTCCACCGAGGATTATAGTACTCGTCAGTTTCAGTCCACAGAGGAACCAGAACTCCAGCGACTCATGAGTTCTGGAGAAAGATCAGAGTTATCGGATGTGATGAGCTCTGAAAAATCCGCCAGATCTCCAGTGCCAGTTACAGCCAGTATGAATTCTGCAAGATTCCAGGTAATCAACCCAAAAGCTTCACTCCAATCACCAATCCCAGCTCTGCGCCGTTCTCAGGTAAAGCTGGACACTTCTATGGCTAGGCCTTCCCCAACAGGCACTCCAAGGTCACAAACTAGCTCTCGATTTCCGACACCAAAACCGAGGAAGGTGAATCCAAGGGAGAAACGCACTGAGCTGAAACGTGAATCTTTACACACAGAATCGATCAGTTCCTACGTGCCCTCAGATGGAGACTTTAATCCATCTCTGGAAAGTGATAACTTTTCTGACGATTTTTCTTCCCTGAGTGGTCGTGAAGAACTTAGAAAAGTGAAAGAACTTCCAAGAATGCTTCCATCAACAAAACTTGGATATACCATCCATTAGTCTTTACCTGAAGTACAATGGTAAATGTAGAGTGCACCAAGTTTTGTTTGTGCTGTAATGTTCATGAAATATCAATATATACTCAAGTTGGGATTTTGTTTATTTACGTATGATATACAATACATGTTCCAAACCTTTAAGAATAGTCAGTTAAGGGTGTATGTTATCTTACATTAAAGTTTTTCGCAAAGAGTTCCACACTTAATAATGTTATTACAAAGGCAACCTGTGAAATAATATGTTTCATGACCCAGTAGATTATATAGAACAGCAAACATGGCACATGAACCAGAATTAAAATCAAGTGCTGTATAAGATAACAGTAAATATCTTGCAGTGCTTGATGTGGAACTCTTTCACTGGAGATGCATGTCACAAGAAAATTTGTAAAGGATGTATGTTTGAATTGCTGTACCCTTTACTAACTCATTCAGGTGTATCACAATAAGACCTACCGGGTACATATGTATTTTGTTTTGGATAAAAACATCTTGATTGCATAACATCTACTGTCATCATGATATTTTTCATAGTTCAACATTGGTTATAAATAATTACCCATGCAAATACTCGTGAAACGGCATCTTATTAGACTGATAATAAGATACACCATCTTAGGTATAAATTCTCACTCAGTATCATTTCTATGGCGACATCACCATACATGTGATGATAAACAAATTAAGCTATCAATCATCGGTGACATTTTACTTTTATTCCACTATTTAAGTGATAACACTAAAATGATTAGGTGATATCACCACTACAAGGCTAATAACCACCTTAACTCAACATTTAACCAACAAATTCAAAGATATTTATTTACTTCTTGTGTTAGATATAGCAATACAGAAAAAATATGATCTTGGATTAACTAGTTAGAACATAAGTAAATTAACTGGTGTAAGGGAGATAACCTAGTTCTGATGCAAGGGCGATAACCTAGTAGCTGCAGATGTGATATATATAAAAAGAATTATGTAGTTGATATTACTTGTTATTGTATAATTATATGTGATTTATATACCATGAATATAAAAGTGGAATAACAAATCAAGTTTTTGTATTTTTGTGTGTTTCTTTAAATCTATAGAATATTGTAAATGTATTTAATTGGCACAATCAAATTTATCACATTATCTTTGTTTTTACAAATAAGTACTCTGATGAATTCACACAATAATTGCTATTCAAGCAACAATTAGGGTTATCATATTTTAGCACAATGATTTCTGTGTGAAAAGGGCTAAAATGAGATTGACCTTAAAATATATACGGTAATTTATTACCTATAAATTCCCGTTCGTTTTTACCAGAACAGAATCAAGTTTGACTGATAAAATAACACATAATAAAAGTGATGGTACATCCTGGTTTAAAGCAGGTAAAAATAAAGAATATGTATTCTTGAAAATTTTACCTGGTTCCATTTACATCATACACTACTATAAAATTTCTTCAAAACCAAGACTGAAAAGGATCTGTGTCATCCTAGGAAAAATACTTCACAATTCTATTGTATCAGTTATCACATTCTAATATATTCATTAAACATTATTATGATAATTTAAGTTTGAAAAATTGATTTTTGATCAAATGCAGTGAAATCATCCTTGATACTTCAGGGGTTACCTTCACTACCATTCTCTGCACCCCTGCACATCTCATGGCAAATTTGAAGGTTCCATGCATATGCGGGACACTTTGTGGTCAAGACTAGTTTCATCCTTTGATGTTCATCAAACAAATCGAGTTCACATAATAATACATGTATGTTGTAATGGAATTGAAGTTGGGTGTTGCTCCTTTGTAAACTTCAAAGGAGCGTATCAGCCTGTGATTGGTCACTTTTCCTCCTGGAACCCGCTCTAGACAAATCAAATTACTGTGCTTCTGCCTTCAATTTTGTCATGTTCCAGAGGTGCAGAGAGCGATAGTGAGCATAACCCCTGGAATATTGAAGATGCAGTGAAATATATGATTATTGTTTGTTATAATATCATGTCATTTTATATATAGTCAATATCAGATTAATCTATTCAAATCGGACAATTTAGGCTGTAAAATCTAGACAAGAATAGGTAGAAGTCTTAATATGGAAAAAAGGGCAATAACTCTTAAATTACAAACAGGATAATTATGTATCGGATGGAAATATATGCAAATGAATTAAAACATATGGCTTCATGTCAAGGATTGAAGAAAAAGGGGAAATATGTCAGTAGTCTCTTTTATGTGGCAACAATCATAACTTTGACGAACTTCAGAAACAGGAAAGATTTCAAACTGACATGCTACAAGTAAGACTTTAATGGCAGAGAGATACGGGAAAGATTTCAAACTGACATGCTACAAGTAAGACTTTAATGGCAGAGATACAGGAAAGATTTCAAAGAAAAGATCTATACATGTAATATGACTAAAAACTTATGTTTGATGCGCTTCTATATATAATTACTCTCCTGTGAAAAGCCAGGATTGCACAACTAGTTGGTACCCACACTGAACATCATGCTGGAGGCCACATGCTATATAGAACATTTGAAGCAAGAGTTTTTGTACCAGGACACAACTATGACAGCACAGAAAAGTGAAAATCTGTGATCTGAGATTAATTAAAAACACTTACTGATCCAAGTAGGCTTAGGGATCACAGCACACACCTCATGTGTGGAACCTGGGAGTGGATATCAGTCACCTAATGATGAAAACATTTATACAAACTATTTATGTCAGGACGAAATATATTTTTATCGATTGTTTACCATTTAACATTTATATACTTTGTGAAAATCACGGATTAATATTGTTCGAGTTTTAGTGTGCACGGTCTATTCTTGTTTGTGCATCAATTTCACCCCGCACCAACTAATGTAAACTTTGTTTACTTCCGGTCGTGTGTCTCGTATGTAATTTATGTTAAGTCCTATTAACTGTAGTTATTCCGCCAGAGCAGACGTACTCAAGCATTCAGCGTCTCGAATAGGAATGTGTGATATGTGTTTACATTTCGGTACCTAGGAAAACTTTACAGCTCACATTACTGATGGCTTTAGCTGACATATTTACCTGTGTACGGTAAAAAAACCGGTAAAGCTGTCAAACAGCTGTCATTCTCTTCATGACAAACAACAGGTGCTCATAGTAGACGAGAGGGAACTGCAAAGATGTATCCGTCGAGAATGAACATTTTGTCATATTTAACAATATTTCTTTATTTTTTAAAATTTGTTAAAAGTGATAATTTTCCATTTAAATTCGAACATGTAAGAATTTTAGATAAAATTGCACTGGATGAATTCAGAAGCTCAGCGAACGTGCGTGCTGTTTATTACTTTAAACGAGGTGAGTTTCTTTCTTTTTTTATATAATGAGCATATGCTTTCAATATTTGTGATGTTTATTTATCATTTGCAGCTATTGAATAATCGCATGAATATGACAAATAATTTACCAAAGTAAATGTCATTGAATCCATCTCTGCTTATATATTAATTACACTGTTAATTGTGTTCTTTGCTGTATAGATATTCAGGTATAAATACATAGAGAGGCAGGGGCAAATCTTTTGTTAGAGTGGCCTCATCTGAAGCGCAGTGGTTCTTGGTTCAAATCCTCATTGATCTCAGTGGTTCACTCTTGTTTCAGTTTCTGGTTTTGTGTGCATGTGTTCCCAGTATTTTAAAGGGGGCATGCACCAGAAGCAAAGAAATTTCTAAAGTACAAGTATGACCATTTAATAAACAAGTCTTTTGACTGGACTCCTATGGACATAAATTCTATGTGTGCTTTGATACTTTTTGTCCTGATTTATTTAATCAGGAAGGTTTTTATATATTTCCGACCCCTCCATTTTAATGTACCTGGCCTCCATTCATACCAAACAATTAAACAATCAATTTGAAAAGATCTGCATTTAAGAAAAGCTATAGGTACAATGAATACATGTAACTGTGTTGAGGTAAATACTCTACCAACCAGTATTGGTCAATGAAATTTATAGATAAAAAAATGTTGTATATTTCCTGGCTCTTACATGTTTAAACTTCCTGGTGTAGACTATTGTATTTGATCTAGGTGATTCCTGTCTCAAGTTAAAGGAGATTTTATCTTACAGTAATTTTCTGGTAATAAGGCATACTTGGTCTTTTTTTAAAAAGAGTATCCATGAAAGAAATTGTGGCTGTTAGAAATTCTAACTTGATAGATCTCCCTCCTTGATGTAGGAGATTGTGACTGCTAGAAAATTTAACCTAACAGATCCCTCTCCTTGATATAGTCAGAAACGTCCTGTCCCCAGCTTTGGTTTTAGGGTTTCAATTACTTTTCCGTGAATTTAGATATTTTAAACATAGTTTTAGAATTTTTATCCTTGAAATCAAGCTTGTCAACAAAAAGGAAATACAAAGTTTGAGCCTAAAAATATATGATTGTATGGTTTATACTATAAAGTAGTTTGTAAACTGTATATAGGTATTTCATAGTCCATATTTTTGTTGTTATTTAAGGTAATCTGTGTATGGTAGAGTAGAATTAAAATGCTTGTCATACAATTTAGCCACAGGCTGCCACAAGTCTCTAATTAATTTTTTGGAGAAAATTACATGTAAATGAGATACAGTGAATGACCTTCTCAAGCAGCATGGAAAACAAACAGATAAACAGTCTTGTTTTGTTTGTATATATTATAACCTCTTTTCTTCTGTCTGAACCTCTCGCATTAAGTCTGGACTAGTGTCTATATATGATGAACAAGTGGACAAAATTTTACATGATGACAAATTCTTGTGTGATTAGAGAAAATTATATACCTGTATATATGTTCAGATTCAAGGACTTATCTATCAACAGTGCATAAAATCACCTGCAACAACACAGGTACACAATCTGCTTACTTTAGTGTAACAAAAATTTACCTGTATTTCTGGTATCAATGTTTTTATCTTTAAACACCTGTTTCCTAGCTAAACTAGAACTTGTGTACTGACTGCAATAAAAATGTATTCCTCTTAAAAAAAGATGGTATAATCTAGAGTACAAAGTTCATTCATATGAACTGATACCAGATTTCAGGTGTTTGTTAGGTAATACAGATCATTTACATGTACTATTTCACATCACTAAGAAAATAAAAAGTTTTGATTCCTGGTTATTAGAGCCCTGCATCAAGGTGCAGGTGCCCTATTGTAATCAGCTTGTCCATCCTTGTGTCTGTTTTTGTTTTCTGCACAATAACTTGTGTATTTGTCATCTGATTCTTTTTGCATTTAGTATGTAGCTTTATATTCATGAGACCTCACATTGGTTTGATAACTAATGTAATCTGTTGATATTTTCAAGAGTTATGGGACTTTGAATTATGAAACCTACTATGTTATTACTTTCCATGTGAGAGCTTGTGTATTTGTAGTTTAATGTTCTCCAGACTTGGTATGTATGGTTTCATATCAATTACAGCTCACATGACTTTGATAAGCAGTGACTTCCATCAATGTTAGCAAGAGTTATGGTACTTTGAATGCCAAAAATATTATAATACGGGAAGTATTAAAATATTTTTGGCATTCAAAGTGTTTTTGCTGTCGGATTTGCACCAACTTTGGTATGTGGGTTTACATACATGAGACTTCACATGGATTTCATAACCATTGAAATCTGTTCATATCTACAAGAGTTAAAGGACTTTGATGAAACTTGGTGATTTTATGCCATTTTTACGATTACTTTCACAGTTGAATTAAGATTTTCACTGAATTTGTGTGTTACTAGACATCTCCCTTCACATTGGTCTGGTCATTCTTGTTTGTTGTATTTTTCTCCAATGAAATTCAATGTGATTTCACATACAAGGTCCTCCTGCTGTAATTAATCAGACTTCATTTTTGGTTTAAAGTTGATATTCTTTGTCGACTTTGTGTTAAAGTTTTGCTTCATGTTAAGTCAGTTTATTTTTTTACATTAGTTGCATTTTGGATACTATGTTTTTTTTCATTTTACAATGTACATTTATATATATTATCTTATCAATATGGTAGCCATGATGGTTACAAAATGAAATAGTTAATAAATATCTGTTATGTAAAAACATAAAAACAAACAGGAATTCACAATGCAGTTGGCAAGAGAGTTAGCGCATTGGAGGTCACGAACATAGAATTCAGAGCAAGTGTTGATCGTACTGTAGTTCATCCTGCAATAATCCCAGGGGCCAGTACAATAATTAATCTGGTTCAAAGTCAGGGCTAGGTGTATAACAAAACCATGAAAGTTTGAAAGTTCCATTTTTTCTGGTTTTACTTAAATCATTAAAGGCTAGTTTTTAGGTCACCTGAGACAAAGTATTGAGTAACCTACTGTAATAGCCTTTTATATGGTATCATGCATTGTATATGTGCGTCAATAAACAGTTTACATTCTCAAATTCTTCTCAAAAATCCTTAACCTAACTTTAATGGAATTTTGCATATACCTTCCATGACCAAAGATTAACCAGTATTGTGAATGACAATAGTCTCCAATCCTCTGGGGCCCTATTGCAGTATTGAAAAAGACTCATGTTTTCTCTGAAAGTGTTATTTTCAAGGCATATATTTTTTTCTCAATTTTATGCCATTTTTGAAATTAGCAAAAAAGAAATTTAAAAAACACAACCTAACAATAATAACATTTGTTGTGATATTACTGAACAGCGAATGATAATATATAGTGGTGGGCTTATTACCAGACATAGAATTATTACTGAATAAAAAAGGCATTGAGTCACATATAATACCTTTTACAGAGGTTAATGAAGGAAAGGATAAAAATCCAGACCTTGAGTGTGTCTGTAGTTAAATACGGTAGCAGTAAAATGATAGATATGTTTTGTGACTCGACGTTATCTGATTTATGCGGCGTGGAACATAATTCTTCTCTTTACAGAGGTTGTCAATTTCAATGACATCTCAGTAGGAGAAAAAACCTTCCAGGTCGCATACAACACTATTGCCTGATATTTACTTTAAGGACATGTCCACAAGTTTTGATTGTCTGATAATGTAGCCATTTTGTGTACATGTCAGAGTTTAAAAAAAAACTACAAGAATATGTTGAAAATTAAAAAAAATAAGTTCTTTTTACAATATAAACAATATTTACATCAGTCCTGAAATGCAGTATCAAAATTTTGAATTAGAAACTGAAATAAATTCCGTTTACAAAGGTTTACAAAAGAATACACGAAATATATTTTTTGTAGTAAATGTGACCCAGAACATATGTTTGGTGTTTTTACATTTTTACTTCGAGACAGACACTCTATGATGTGTGAATTGTGGAAAATTGTCATTTAAAAGGTGATAGATGAAGATTTCAAAAACAAAAAAGAAGATAGATGGGTGGTGTATTTTCATCACTATAGAAATGCAAACAATGAATACAATTTCATATTTTTGCAGACATTAATAAGTTTTATTAATCTGAGAAAACAATAGCCTGGGGATATATGTATATCCATGGTCGTGAGGCTCCAGCGGGGGCAACTTACTCAGTCCCTGAAATACAATGTAAATTTTCAAGGTTTTATATGTGTGAAAAACAATACAAACAATAGAAATTGTTATCATAGAAATTAAAAAGCAAAAAAATAGGCTTTTATGCCTTTTCTATTTGGAGGAGAGTGTTCCTTCTCCAAAAACTATACATCCCTACACGGAATATTGTTATATCTGGGAGAAAAATACTTAATATGGTAATTAATGTGAGTTTGTTCCTTTCTGTTTAATAGACAAGGAAGCTGTTTGAGAGAAGGAAGTTACTTAGTTTGTAGTGTTGATATAGTATTACTGAGAAAATTGTCTGAGGGTTATTTTACGTAGTAAATAGAGACATGAAGTACCATACTGCGATTAAAAAGTGTTGTTACAAGGTCAGTTTACTCAGAGAGTAAACAACAAAATTTAACTTCTTTCCGTTTTTAACAATATAGGTCTCTCAGGTATCTTGAATTTGGTTTATTTAATATTTTCTTTCACATACTCCTGTTGTATATGATTGTTGGGATGGCTGTTAATACTACACTTGTTTGACTCATTCTCCTTCAATGTTTATACACTACAATGTATATCATATGTACATAATGAGATTGGAGCAGAAACAAAATCTCTATCAAATTTGTTTAATTTTTATAGAAGCCCCACCCCCTCCCATTATCCAATGCTAGTAATGAACAAAAGCCCTTAATTCCTCTAAAAGAAAAGCCCCTGAAATATTTAACCCTACCTGTGGCAGATTGTGTTTTTCAGGAAGCTGAAAAACAAACTAGTTTCATTTAAGTTATGGTTATGTTCTTGGTTGAGACAATTTAACCCAGTTGTTCTGGATGGCTTGTGATGGGTCTCCCATATGTGGATCAGTGAGGCAGCCACCAGCTACTGAAGGGAGGCCGCATCTCAGAAGGATCCTGGCGGTGGATAAACTAAACAAGCCAACAATTGAACCTAATAATTGCTGCAATACTCCTTACTTACTCTCCATAATACATCTGGGTGGTTGGGTAGTGGTAACACACTCGCCTTTTAACTAGCCTCCCGGGGTTCGAATCCTGCAATGGACATGAAATGGTAAGGGGTCACCTGCACAACCATGTGGGTTTTCCCAGGCTGCTCTGGTTTCCTCTCACAGTAAGACCCCTGGTTTGTTTAAATGTGGGCCAACAATAGTGATTAGTATAAGTTGAGATAACTTGTTTTGCAATTGTTTTAAATAAATAAAGTTTATATATAATACAACTACAAAGTTAACATAAGAAATTTGAAATCTACAGTATTACACATAATAAGGCCATGATTACATAGAAAATAGCAAAATTATTTGAATTTCGTTTTGTCTAATACATGTATAATTATATTCTTTTGCAGACATGGCACGACTTCGAACCTTCATGAAAGAATATGACAAATCAGCTGAATTTCTAGAAGTCTATGGTGTCAAATTTGGTGTGGTAAGATTCTGCATGTTGTGGAAGAGTCGCCTCCCTTCCTTTTTTCCTCACAAGGATCGGTCAACACACATACAAAATAAGGCATTAAATTTCCTCTACATTACTTATAAGTAAAGGGATATATTTTACTTGTCTTGAAATATTTAGGAGTAAATGGTTATTTAGTTTGTTTGAAATAAATGAAATTCGTTTTCTTTCAAAGACACTCTGAGATCAGACATGTGTTCAAATAACTTCTCCTTTAAAACCAAATAATCTAGAGCCATAATATTTGTATTGTAACATGCTTTTACATGTCAGTTTCTTTCAATCAATGTCAGTTTCCTTTACTAAATGTCAGTTTCTTTTACTCAATGTCAATCAAAGTCAGTTTCGTACATCAGTGCTCTATTCTCTGAGCTGCTTTTTTTTTTAAAAGTTCAATTCAAGACTTCATGTGTATCTAGACTTAAGTAAAAGTGACTCGCAATTCTTGCGAATAAGTGGTTGTACATTGGAGATAAGATGTCCGGTAAAAATAATCCTCATATTTTAGTGTAGTAATGGATACAAAAATGCATTATCATCTGTTTGAGCCATTTGTCATAGTATGATTTGCAGATGTAAAACTTAGCGATTATTCATTTGGATTTCATCAGCAGATTTTTAACTGATTTGAAGTAATATTCATAATTCAAATTTTGTGTTAATTTCACATTATTTAATCAGTGATTTTTTAAACAGATTTGAAGAAATATTCATAATGTATATAAATTTTCAAGTTCTTTGCTAATTTCATTTATTTAATCTGTGATAATTGTGTTGACTTTCAGTTTGACTGTCGGTCACAGCTTGAGGAGGAAGTATGTGGTACAGAAATGGCAGAACACAACATCTACACATACAGACAGGGAGCCACACTTCTACAGCTGGAACTTCAAACCATGTTTGATGTTAATTCAATCATGTCCAACATTTTACAGTAAATATGTTGAATTATTTCAGACATTTTGTGACCCTTCATTCTCATTTTCCTCCAGGATCATCCATTATTTCAGTAACAAAAAGTTAGAGGTCCTGATACATATAGTACTGAAACTACTTAACAAAATGTTAAATTCTTTATGATTCATTGTCAGAGATGATGAATAGCATCTCAAACTCTTTACCACTTCCCCATGACATGACAAGTTATGAGAGAGCTGCATTGGATTAACCAAATATGATTGTAATCAAGATAAATTTTTATGCAGTTCTTGAACCCGTTTGCTTCAATGAAGACCAATTGCAAGAATGAATAGAATAGAATAGAAAAAAGGAAATGTTTTGTAATGGTGAGAATTCAATATGTCAGATTCATCAAACATTTAAATGTCATTTTTGAACTTTTAAATTAGATTAGTGCTTTTGAGAGAAGTTCCAATCCTACAGAGGCGAGAAGAAAGGGAAGATTTTGAGTACAGGAGTAGAGGAGTCAGGGACATTATATTCACATTCCAGAAAGCTATAGGGACATATGGTGAGTACAATGAGGTGTACATGTTATAGTGAGTACAGAGAGCTATAGAGATGTATAGTGAGTAAAGAGAGCTATAGGGATGTATGGTGATTACAGAGAGCTATAGGAAGGTATGGTGAGTACAGAGAGCTATAGGGATGTATGGTGAGTACAGAGAGCTATAGGGATGTATAGTGAGTACAGAGAGCTATAGGGATGTATGGTGAGTACGGAGAGCTGTAGAATGTATGGTGAGTACAAAGAGCTATAGGGATGTATGGTGAGTACAGAGACCTATAGGAAGGTATGGTGAGTACAGATATAGGGATGTATGGTGAGTACAGAGAGCTGTAGGGATGTATGGTGAGTACAGAGAGCTGTAGGAAGGTATAGTGAGTACAGAGACCTATAGGAAGGTATGGTGAGTACAGATATAGGGATGTATGGTGAGTACAGAGAGCTGTAGGAAGGTATGGTGAAGACAGAGAGCTGTAGGGATGTATGGCGAGTACAGAGAGCTATAGGGATGTATAGTGAGTACAGAGAGCTATAGAGATGTATAGTGAGTACAGAGAGCTATAGGGATATATAGTGAGTACAGAAAGCTATAGGGATGTATAGTGAGTACAGAGAGCTATAGGGATGTATGGTGAGTACGGAGAGCTGTAGGAATGTATGGTGAGTACAAAGAGCTATAGGGATGTATGGTGAGTACAGAGACCTATAGGAAGGTTTTTTTAGGAATGTATAGTGAGTACAGAGAGCTATAGGAAGGTTTTTTTGCGAGTACAGAGAGCTGTAGGAATGTATGAAGAGTTCAGAGAGATATAGGAAGGCATGGTGAGTACAGAGAGCTATAGGGATGTATAGTGAGTACAGAGAGCTATAGGGATGTATGGTGATTACAGAGAGCTATAGGAAGGTATGGTGAGTACAGAGAGCTATAGGAATGTATGGTGAGTACAGAGAGCTATAGGGATGTATGGTGAGTACAAAGAGCTATAGGAAGGTATGGTGTGTACAGAGAGCTGTAGGGAGGTATGGTGAGTACAGAGAGCTATAGGAAGGTATGGTGAGTACAGAGAGCTATAGGAATGTATGTTGAGTACAGAGACCTATAGGAAGGTATTGTGAGTACAGATATAGGGATGTATGGTGAGTACAGAGACCTATAGGAAGGTATTGTGAGTACATATATAGGGATGTATGGTGAGTACAGAGAGCAGTAGGGATGTATACTGAGTACAAAGAACTATAGGGATGTAGTACAGAGAGCTATAGGAATGTATGTTGAGTACAGAGACCTATAGGAAGGTATTGTGAGTACAGATATAGGGATGTATGGTGAGTACAGAGAGGAAGGTATTGTGAGTACTATAGGAAGGTATGGTGATGGTGAGTACATACGGAGAGCTGTAGGAATGTATGGTGAGTACAGATACCTATAGGAATGTATGGTGAGTACAGAGACCTATAGGAATGTATGGTGAGTACAGAGACCTATAGGAAGGTATGGTGAGTACAGAGACCTATAGGAAGGTATGGTGAGTACAGATATAGGGATGTATGGTGAGTACAGAGAGCTATAGGAAGGCATGGTGAGTACAGAGAGCTATAGGGATGTATGGTGAGTACAGAGACCTATAGGAAGGTATGGTAATACAGAGAGCTGTAGGAAGGTATGGTGAGTACAGAAAGCTGTAGAAAGGTATGGTAAGTACAGAGAGCTATAGGAATGTATGGTGAGTACAGAGACCTATAGGAAGGTATTGTGAGTACATATTTAGGGATGTATGGTAATACAGAGAGCTGTAGGAAGGTATGGTGAATACAGAAAGCTGTAGGGATGTATGGTGAATACAGAGAGCTATAGAAAGGCATGGTGAGTACAGAGAGCTGTAGGAAGGTATGGTGAGTACAGAGAGCTATAGGAATGTATGGTGAGTACAGAGACCTATAGGAAGGTATTGTGAGTACATATTTAGGGATGTATGGTGAGTACAGAGAGCAGTAGGGATGTATACTGAGTACAGAGAACTATAGGAATGTATGGTGAGTACGGAGAGCTGTAGGAATATATGGTGAGTACAAAGAGCTGTAGGGATGTATGGTGAATACAGAGAGCTATAGAGATGTATGGTGAGTACAGAAAGCTATAGGGTGTATGGTGAGTACAGGGAGCTATAGGAAGGCATGGTGAGTACAGAGAGCTATAAGGTTGTATAGTGAGTACAGAGAGCTATAGGAATGTATGGTGAGTACAGAGAGCTATAGGAAGGCATGGTGAGTACAAAGAGCTATAGGAATGTATGGTGAGTACAGAGAGCTATAGGAAGGCATGGTGAGTACAGAGAGCTATAAGAAGTTATGGTGAGTACAGAGAGCTATAGAGATGTATGGTGAGTACAGAGAGCTATAGGAAGGCATGGTGAGTACAAAGAGCTATAGGAATGTATGGTGAGTACAGGGAGCTATAGGAAGGCATGGTGAGTACAGAGAGCTATAAGGTTGTATAGTGAGTACAGAGAGCTATAGGAATGTATGGTGAGTACAGAGAGCTATAGGAAGGCATGGTGAGTACAAAGAGCTATAGGAATGTATGGTGAGTACAGAGAGCTATAGGAAGGCATGGCGAGTTCAGAGAGCTATAAGAAGTTATGGTGAGTACAATGAGCTATAGGAAGGCATGGTGAGTACAGAGACTTATAGGGATGTATAGTGAGTACAGAGACTTATAGGGATGTATAGTGAGTACAGAGAGCTATAGGAAGGCATGGTGAGTACAAAGAGCTATAGGAATGTATGGTGAGTACAGAGAGCTATAGGAAGGCATGGTGAGTACAGAGAGCTATAAGAAGTTATGGTGAGTACAGAGAGCTATAGGAAGGCATGGTGAGTACAGAGACTTATAGGAAGGTATAGTGAGTACAGAGAGCTATAGGAAGGCATGGTGAGTACAGAGACTTATAGGGATGTATGGTGAGTACAGAGACTTATAGGAAGGTATTGTGATCACCACTTGCTATTTGGGGTGTTTGGTTAGTTACTATTGTAAGTATGGATGCCATGGTTCTTAAAATTTTCTCCAGATTATTTTTTGCTGATGAAGTTTTAACCTTATGTTTTTTATCACAATATTTTGGGTCACAAATGAATTACATTTGACTGCATTATGAGTACAAACTTGTTCTTATTTCTTCTACTGTAGAATGTCTCACTCTAAAGATCTATATTGCAGATAAACACAACAGAATTTTGATACTATTGGGGAAGACATTGTTGATGTGTGATCAAAAATCACAAAACAATGAAACATTAAAACAGTTGACTTAGGTGGTAAAGTATATATGTTTTGATTTAGATGGTAAAGTATATATGTTTTGATTTAGATGGTAAAGTATATATGTTTTGATTTAGATGGTGAAGTATATATGTTTTGATTTAGATGGTGAAGTATATATGTTTTGATTTAGATGGTGAAGTATATATGTTTTGATTTAGATGGTGAAGTATATATGTTTTGATTTAGGTGGTAAAGTATATATGTTTTGATTTAGATGGTAAAGTATATATGTTTTGATTTAGATGGTGAAGTATATATGTTTTATTGCAGAACACAGAATATTTATGGAGGTCGCCTATGCATACTCAGACAATTTCCAGTTTGCTGTGTCCACCAGTAAACAGTCTCTACAAAACTTTGAGTAAGTGTTCTCTGTAGGTTCACGTGTACTTTTGATGTGATGCAGGTTTTGAATTTAGGTGATTGTTTTACAAGTTTTAAATGGTGAACTTTGACCTTGCTTTACAGAGATTGTATTACAACTACAACACTCTTTAGTTGATAAAATGGGGCAAAGTCACAACTGGCCGGGTCGGGGGATGAGTGCAATGTTCTATGGTATTTATAAGACAGTTAAGGGTGTTTCATTTGTTGATCAAGAAAAAACTATGTGCAACCCGGCCAAAAATATTAAGAAATTAAAAGATAAATAAAAACATGATAATACGTATTACTTACAAACTCTCTTTTATTTTTTCATTGAGTTAGTTGTCAATGTAGATAATATAATGGGTAATAGTTGCCAAGTTGATATAGTCAGGAGAGTCAAAATGATTGTCCTTGGAAGCCATTTTGTGAATCATGTGACTGCTCTTTCACTTGAACATAACTTGATGCTTAAACAGTGTTTTATATGATTTTCATTTGGTGATACCAAACAAAATTTATAAAATTATCTCGTAAGCATTTCTAAAGTACGCATCTATGCAATTCATTCATCTTCCTTTTAAGATCAGTAATGCTGTTCTACTTTATGGCAACTCTACCTAAAGTGAAGTTTTTTTGGTTGAGCTGTCTGGCAGGGTCAGATACCTGTATTGAAAACATTTATAAACAGATAAGGTCTGTTGGATACCAGATCTAGTATTTATTTTAAACATATATAAACAGATCTGGTCTGTTGGATACCAGATCTAGTATTTATTCTAAACATTTATAAACACATCAGGTCTGTTGGATACCAGATCTAGTATTTATTTCTTTGACAGGAACTGTTTGCTCTCTGTGTTTCAGTGACATGACAACAGACGACTCTGTGATCTGGCTTCTGCAGTGTAAGGACAGTCAAAAAGTGGACCCCTGTCCCAAAATACGTTACTATGGTTACATGGATCTAGCATCACTGGCCCAGTTTGTCAGGGCACTCACATTTCCTAAACAGGTGACTTGTCATTTAGTAAATCTAGAGTTTGAGGGCGGTATCGTCCAAGAAGATTTTTTAAGGGTCATGTATAGTAGGAGGCAAAGTTTACAAGGCGAGAGTTTCAGGAGAATTTTCAGTAAAACTGTGTGATATCATTTGAAGAGGCATTTAATTGTAAATACAGATTTAAAGGCGGATATTATTAGGAGGGTTATGAAAGAGTAGAATATATATATTTTGAAGTATCTTGTTGTTGGTTATATTTTGCAATTTTCATTTAAATTGAAAGAAGTAAACTTTTCATTGGAAGGTGGGCTAGTGAAATAAGGGATGAGACAGCAATCTCCCCCTTCACCTCCTCCCCCCCAACTTCTCTCTCCCCACACCAATATAACCAGCTATGCAGTATTCTTGTGTAAATAGTGAAAATGTCTTTCTCCCTCCCAAAAATAACTAGTTATCAGTTTTCATGTACAAGTGAAAATATCAACCAGCTGTACAAAATTCATGTATGATAGTGAAAATATCATCCCTCTGAAAATAACCAGCTTTACAGTATGTATGATAATGAAACATTTACATTACCGGGTGTGAGTTTTGTAGACCAAATTGGTCATTGCTTTATGTTTGTGTTGTAGTTTGATATCCCATCGGAAGGAACCACCTCACCGTATGCCTACACGGACAACTTAAATGTTATATACATGTACTACAAAGCGGACAGTCGCAAAACTGTGATGGAATTCGCTGAGAAACTGGTCATGAAATATAGGGGTGTATACGGAATAGTAACCATTGACATGTAAGTCACTCACACTTCTGTTTCCATGAGTTAGTGGACAAGGGATTAGATGTTAATCGTGGTTGAGGTCAGAGGACTTTACATTCCTTTATTTGTATCATTGATTTGGGTATAGATCTTGATTAACAATATCTGAAATTCTTTCTCCAACCCCCCAACTCCCACCCCATCTCCCTCTCCATCCCCCTCCCCAACCCCCTCCCCAACCCCCATCCCATCCCCCACCCCATCCCCCACCCCATCCCCCACCCCATCCCCCACCCCAACCCTACACATGGCTCCCTCATCCTCCCAGACATTCTAGTTCAGGGTTGACAAGTAATGATAGATAAACATATTCAGATTTTGTCAGTCGCATTTATATGACAGAGCAATTTGAAATAATTGCAATATAAAAAAAAAAAAATCATTTACTTTGCACCTTCTGTAGTGAGAATGCTGAACCCCCATACCCTTTTAATGGAGAGACACCTGCTGTGGGAATTCTTATTGAAGGGGAGGTAAGTTGTTTTATCTTTGTTCTCTTTATCTATACTGAAGACAAGGGGCCATGATAAGAATGGCTTTTAATATGAAAGTCCCTTTTACTATGTAAATGTACAGAAGCTGTTCAAATGTAAGAAAAATGTCCTGCACATACTTAGTCCACTGTAGCCAAATTTTGTATTGGTCTAGCTTCTTTCACTCTCCTATACAGAGTTATAGCCCTTTTATTACTTTGTCCATGTTAAGCACATCTCATATGGAGTTTGGACATTTTGTCCAATTTGATACCAGACAGGAGGAATATTTTCTGATGGAGAAGAATATGCCTGGCTTACAAAGATTTGGATTTTTCTTCTTTCAATAATATCTAAATATTCTTTGGATGTAAGAATTAATTAAAGAAAAATACATCTGTTTCATATTTATATTTTCAGGCATCAGCTATTTTCCTAGAAGGGGAGGTGACGGAAGCTAATATATTTCAATTTATATCAAAAACAGCTGAGGAATTCAATAGTGTTATGGTTTCAGACGATATTGGGGATCCTTCTGGTTCAGCAGATGGACAAGATGGACAATCTGTGGCAGGGGGAGAACCGAGTCCATTTGATGAGTCTGAAATTCTAGCAGGTAAAAAAAATACAGATATTACAGTCTATAATTCTAACAAATATTTAAAAGTTTTTCTGCTGTAAAGAGCTTCAGTAAATGATGGTTTACCAGGTATTTTCTAAACTGTATTCTGGTATCACGTGTATCAAGGTTTTCACTGAAATGTTATAGGTCAAGGTAAAAGGTTGAAAGGTCAAAGATTTTTTGTTGGAACTAAGTCTTTGTTAGTAACACTACACAGAGCCTCTGTCATCTTAGTTAGAAAAATGAGAGGTCTCAACTGTGGATGTGCCTGCCTCACAAAGTGACTTCAGCAGTTGTAAGGATAGGAATACTTCAACAAGTAATATTTGAATGAAATCAATGAACAATACTTTTTACGGTCAGTTGAGACACAGGATGACCAGGTGGCAGAAGCTGTGTTTAGAGCAAGAAGAACAGAGATGGACCTGACCCTGGTGCCAAAGCTGACAGATAAAACTTTTTCCAACACTGTCCAGCATAAAGATCTACTATTTATTCTGTTCTACCTTCCATGTAAGTTTTCTGGATCTGTTGATGGCGTTGTCAACTTTCCAATTACATATCGTCAAATTCAACAGGTATATAACATGATCACCAATAGGATATCAAATTTTCTTCTTCATAAAGTTATAATGATTATTGCTGTCATAATTGATTTAGTATGATGAAGTTGTGAATTATATCACATATCTGATGTCCTAATACTTGCAGTTTTACATTAGATTTTGGGCATTTAGGTTCACTGACAAGTCCTAAGTGGAGAAAACATGTGTATGATGCTGTTTAATTCATTGTTTGGCTCTGCTTTATCAGGCTTTAAATCTATAAATTCTATCCACATGTGTCACTTTTGTACAAGTTTTTGATCACTTTATAAATTAATAGGACTCTGTACAACTGTATACCCAGGACTCTGTACAACTGTATACCCGGGGGCATGTTAATGTTGTGACTGTGGAAATACTATAAGTTAGAAATACTTTACAAGTTTGTGAATATATTTTGTTTTGTAGTTGATGATAAAAGCATGGCATTCCTGCGTTTGTATGGTGACGCCTCCAGACAGCTCGAGTTTGACAGAAGGAATCCACTGGCTCGTGTTGATTGTCATGATTGGACTGATGTTTGTGCTCGGGAGAATGTGACAATTTACCCAACGCTGAGGATATACAGAAACGGAGAGAAACTTCGGAACTACAAAGGGATGCTGGACACACAGAATGTTGTTAACACAGTCAAGCTGTTAGTATAGCTTGTGTTTGTAAATAGTGTCAAATGGTTCATGCTTATCAAATATTAAATATTTGTCTCCTTTTTTTCTCAACGATTTCTCATTATTCTAGTTCTTCATTCCATAATGATTTGATATAAAATCCTGAATATATTTGCCCTGTGTTTGATGTGGTCATTTCAACAATTCATGAAATTGCCATCATATATGCATTGTTTTAACCCTGTTTGCCATATTTTATGAAAAAATTTTCCTGAAAATTCACTTTCTTTGAAAATACATACTACCTCTTTCTGTCAAAAATGGAACATTTCACATCAATAATTTATACATGTTACATAAGAGATGGGAGATAACTCATGGAATTTTTAATCTCTCCAACCAATCTAGCGACACTATATGGAATGTGATTTAATTAGTCAAACCTGGTTATATAGAAGTCAGCATGACTTTGAGAAAACTTCAAGTTATCCAAGTATTCAATTTTAGTTAAAATATTTGGTGTGAGGTTAAACTGGGACAGATGAATGAATTGCTTTAAACTAAACAGGTTGTTCAGTTTAGATAAATTTGAGACAGCAAGGTTTTACACTATTTAGTAACTGTGTTAGTAATACTTTGATAGATAAATTTGAGATAACTTAACAAATTATACACTTTCATGTTTTTATGTTGAGCTAGCTGTAAATCAGTAGAAAGACACCAGTGATACATTTCCATACCCATTCTAGCTTCATCAAGTATCAACTTTGTGTTTTTTTCCAGACTGAATCATACAGACATCATTGACCTAAGCAGTGTATCTGATATACAAACATTCCTTCTGGGTAAACTCCCCAGCGGGATGGAAATTGCAAGTGACTCGATGGTGTTAGGTCTATTTGAGTCTCAACACAAAAAAGGTAGACTGTTATTCAAAATGATTTTTTCAACAAATATTGTGAGTAAAAAAAATGCGAAGTTGATTTTAGAATTTATATTCACGCTCCATTGTTTAAGATTAATCTTCCTCAAATAATGTGGATTTATTTTAATTATGACACAATTTTATGTCAAAGATGAAAATTTGATTTTACTGCAATATTCTCATTTCTAAGTTTTCTCTCCATTGTGAGTTTGATAAGCTGCTGGCCTTCCATTTAAGTAAATGTCAATATGTCAGCAGTGATACATTTTAATAACCTGTCCCATTACAAAACTCTCTCCACCTCATTACAAGGTTTTATCGTTTTGTGATCACCTAATTTCAATTGGAGTGATGAATGTTAGAACAAAGATCCTTCATTACTGAGTAATTAGATCCAAGATTTAGATTTCAAAAGTTTTGTAGGATTCCAGTACTACAGTCTTATGTGTTTATGTAGATAGTGGTTATGTAATGTGATCACCTAATTTCAATTGGAGTGATGAATGTTAGAACAATTTTACTAATTATAAGGAGTCATTGCTGATTAAAATATTTATAAAACAATATACTGTGTATTGCTTACAGAGATGGATATATTTAGGAAGGTTGGTAAAGAGATGGAGGATAGGATCATGTTCGGAGTCAATAAGGACGGAAAAGGAACATCAATGTAAGTAATATCAAAATAAAAATATCAGGAATAACACTATAAATTTGTATAAAACTACAGTACTATACATTTGTTGGAAATACTGATTCAAAAATAGGGAAATTGTATATTTAGATGATATTATTTAACAGTAGAAATTATTTATAAAGTAAAATATCTTCTGTGGTGATTATCTCAAGTTGATTTTTGTGTCGCAGAATCAGGCCCCAGTTTCATGATTCTTTCTAAAAGAATTTTCTTTAGCTTTAAATTCCACATAGAATAACATTACATAAGTTCAGGAAATTGACTTAAGTTTAAGTCTTTCTTTAACTTATGTAATGCTTTCCAATGTCAGTTAGGATTTCCGTTAATTAAGGAAGATTTGTGCAACTGAGGCCACAGAACATACCATAATTCCCAGTAATTCTTTTGACAGCATAATTTTTGACAAGTCACTTGAAGCAATCTATGACATTGACACAAAGAATATTAATGCTTTCTTTTCAGTACTTTAGATAATGTTATTGACATGTTCACTTTGCCAAATAAATATTACCCAGTAAACAATTTTGAAAATAATTGAAAAAATTATCCCAAAAGACTACACATATTATAGTGAAGAACAAGCTATTTAACATTTAACTTTTCATGATTTGGAAGACAGATCTTTGAATTTATTCGTTAGCTATTTTATTTGACAGAAGAATTAATTATGTGTATCTGCCTTTCATAGGCTCTGAGCATTATGAGAGATAACTTTGTTTTGTTCCAGAGCTAAGGAACAATTTGATACAACATTACCAGCTGTGATAGTGGTCAGACAAACAGATCATGTGACCCCACACACTGTATACACTGGGGACTTCAACTCAGCACAACTAGAGAAGTTTATCACTGAAGCACGCATCCCCAGAATGGTAGGTAGCTTGATGTACTGTGTCTAGATAGAGTCGCGGTCAAGATCAAGGTTATATAGAATGGTAGGTAGCTTGATGTATTGTGTCTAGATAGAGTCACGGTCAAGGTTATATAGAATGGTAGGTAGCTTGATGAACTGTGTCTAGATAGAGTCAAGGTCAAGGTTATATAGAATGGTAGGTAGCTTGATGAACTGTGTCTAGATAGAGTCAAGGTCAAGGTTATATAGAATGGAAGGTAGCTTGATGTACTGTGTCAAGATAGAGTCAAGGTCAAGGTTACATAGAATGGTAGGTAGCTTGATGTATTGTGTCTAGATAGAGTCACGGTCAAGGTTATATAGAATGGTAGGTAGCTTGATGTACTGTGTCTAGATAGAGTCACGGTCAAGGTTATATAGAATGGTAGGTAGCTTGATGTATTGTGTCTGGATAGAGTCAAGATCAAGATCAAGGTTATATAGAATGGTAGGTAGCTTGATGTACTATGTCTAGATAGAGTCAAGATCAAGGTTATATAGAATGGTAGGTAGCTTGATGTACTATGTCTAGATAGAGTCAAGATCAAGATCAAGGTTATATAGAATGGTAGGTAGCTTGATGTACTATGTCTAGATAGAGTCGAGGTCAAGATCAAGGTTATATAGAATGGTAGGTAGCTTGATGTATTGTGTCTAGATAGAGTCAAGGTCAAGATCAAGGTTATATAGAATGGTAGGTAGCTTGATGTATTGTGTCTAGATAGAGTCACGGTCAAGGTTATATAGAATGGTAGGTAGCTTGATGTATTGTGTCTTGATAGAGTCACGGTCAAGATCAAGGTTATATAGAATGGTAGGTAGCTTGATGTACTGTGTCTAGATAGAGTCACGGTCAAGATCAAGGTTATATAGAATGGTAGGTAGCTTGATGTACTGTGTCTAGATAGAGTCAAGATCAAGGTTATATAGAATGGTAGGTAGCTTGATGTACTGTGTCTAGATAGAGTCAAGATCAAGGTTATATAGAATGGTAGGTAGCTTAATGAACTGTGTCTAGATAGAGTCAAGATCAAGATCAAGGTTATATAGAATGGTAGGTAGCTTGATGTACTGTGTCTAGATAGAGTCAAGGTCAAGATCAAGGTTATATAGAATGGTAGGTAGTCTGATGAATAGTATATGGAAATGATAAGGTCACAAGTGTGTTACCACTACACCACCTGACCACCCAAAAGAATTAATATCTAGATAGCTTGAAGGTTAAAATTAGGAGCAGTGTTACTTGATCAGAAATGAGACCATTGCATGTTGATATATTCACAGCCAGAGCTAACAGTAAAGATGTTCCCAGACTTGTACAGACAGAAAAAACCTTTTGTTATATCCTTCCTGGATGACCAAGAGATGTCACAAAAGGTCAAGGACACCCTGTCTTCCATTGTAAAAAGTGAACAGTTCACAGAGGTCATCTTCTGTTGGATCAGGTAAATATGAGTGATTGTAGTGTTGTCAGTAACATCCAATTCTCCTTGTCCATGTGACCTCCCATCTTTTGTGTGAAAAAAATCTGTAATTTGTGGACAGATTTCATTTTTTTTTGTCCAAGACATTTCAAATTCAGAGACAGTTTTATAAGCTGTACACATACATATTTTAGCTACAATTTTGTTTTAACACTTTTTGTGCTAAAGTATGATTGCACTAATTACACATTGACATATCATTATAGTGATTATGCAAATTGATGGTTCTCTGTTTGTTTGTAATTGATTATGCACTAAAATTTGATAGCACTAAAGTAAATACATTTATAGTATGTACTATATAGTATATACAAAAGTAAATTGAACTAAAATAGAGAGATTCAAATGCATGTATTAACTAAGAGGTTTAAAAAATTACTTCTTATTCAGTAGCAGTATTTTTTAAGAGGTATTGCTGTGTTACATCTGAGATTACCTGGACTTGTACATGATATTACCTGTACTTAAAGGAAGTGTATAGATAAGCTACATGTAGTACTCTTACAGTTCTTTTTATTTTACTGGATGACGGCTAGCCTAGCTAACATGTCAACCTACGATAAAACCACGGAATCCAGATGTTGATGACGGCTAGCCTAGCTAACATGTCAACCTACGATAAAACCACGGAATCCAGATGTTGATGACGGCTAGCCTAGCTAACATGTCAATCTACGATAAAACCACGGAATCCAGATGTTGATGACGGCTAGCCTAGCTAACATGTCAATCTACGATAAAACCACGGAATCCAGATGTCGATGATGGCTAGCCTAGCTAACATGTCAACCTACGATAAAACCACGGAATCCAGATGTTGATGACGGCTAGCCTAGCTAACATGTCAACCTACGACAAAACCATGGAATCCAGATGTTGATGCTCAACCTTCTTTGTCATTTGTATTTACCTTCCTTGTTAGGGCTCCATTGAATACTGTCGGCCATCCATTTTGATTCCTGCAACACCTGATCTACGACCAAAGACAATCAGGACATTGGTTCTTTCTTACTCGGTCAGGTGGTTTATATAATTCCTTTTATTGGTTTGAATTTTTAAATTTTTTTTTTCATTTGTTGTTTTCAACTCATATTAACAATTGTTGTAGAGCAACTGCAGATGATTTTGGAACCAAAATTTTGAAGAAATATAATCCTGAAGGCAGCACACCTGCTGTGGCGTTGGTGAATCTGGTCTTGGTATGTTTGTCATGAAAAACACTTATTTCATTTATTTTATCAGTCGTATGTGGCATTTAAACTGATAAAACTCAAGTCAAAATACCTGTTTACAAATTCATAGTTATTTGTTATTTTCTCTCCGATATACATGATTAAGTTTAACTTTAAGTTGATATTTCATCATCCACATCAATCTCCTATATCAATATCAATGACAATATATACAAATTTTAGAAAGATATTTTTGTTATCAATGGTGAGAAACAAAATGGAGTTACTGTTTCCAATTTTGATATTTTTTGACCTTTGAACTTTCAGGGTGAGGTATTTAACTATGATCAGGTGACTTTTGGTAGTGAAGAACTTGTGAGCTGGATACAGGGATCATTACAGGGAAAGTCTAGTCCAAATAGTAAGTAAATTGTCCTTGTAGGAGTGTATTCCTGAAGGAAAGTTAAAACACCTTCAAAACACCAAGGGGCCAACACACTATGACTGTATAAATTTTAGGTTGACAGCTTTATCACATACAGAATCATGAAATGGAGTTTGTTTGTAATACTTCTGATCAGCAGAAAATATGGATGAGCTTGTTACGAGGCATGGAATAAATATGGTAAGTCAGTCCCTCCCTGGGGGTTGGGGATCTATTTTTAGTAGTAAGTTAGTCCCCCAAGGTGTGGGGGATCTATTTTTAGTAGTAAGTTAGTCCTTTGAGATTGGAGATCTGTCCATAGTAGTAAGTTGGTCCCCCATGGGGTGGGGGATCTATTTTTGATAAAAAGTCAGTCAATCTAAGGGGGTAAGGTTCTGTTCTTAATAGTAAGTCAATGTTATTTTAGCATGTTGACTATTCTGATTGCTCCTCTCATTCTTTGCAAAGAAGAAAAAAATAAAAAATGGGGGGAAATAAAGCCAACATGGGGTATGTGGTTGCCTTCAGAGGTGGACACTGGGTTCCTAGCCCCCTCGTCTTTGTATCTGAAGGTATGTAGGTGAGTAAAGATCTTAACAGGCAAAAAAGTCAGGGTTTCATTTCATTAGTTTGTCCACAGGTTTTGTTCTACTTCAGTCTTATTCTGAATATTCAGGATATTCTGAAGACACCTAAAGTAGGGTAAAATCAGCCGACAAACTAATAAGTTGATCAACTTGGCCTTTTTATCTCTAATGATTAATTTCAACATATAATCCATTCTAGAATGTTATTGATTTTGTTTACAGCAAAACTGCCCCAGGGCGACTGGAAGCCACTGAAGGAGGGCTACAATTTTCTCGCCATGATGGACTGGGAGATGAAAAATCAGAAAAAAGTTGGTCATTCTCGGGATGCTGCTGAGGAGTATGGTATAGGTGAGTTATCACAGCTTTGTTGTCTTGTTGAATGGTCACTTGTTCAACAAATGTTACTGGTCATCCTGTGCTGACAGAGTTACGAGAATGAAAATTTACAACAGTGATTGTTTCTCCAACCCATGTTACTGGTCATCATGTGCTGACCGAGTTACAATGTGAGAATGAAAATTTACAACAGTTTCTTGGAATTTCAGATTTTGTATGAGAAAAGTTTTATTAGAGGGACCTTTATGTTACTGTATTTTCTATTTTGTAGGATTTGATGAAGAAGGTAACGAGGTGAAGAGATCATATGAGATTAAAGATGACATGTCACCAACAAGGTCAAAGAGTGCATTTGAGGAGGATCAGGTATGTCCTACATCTTGTTTATCACAAAAGACTTTGGTTTTACTGCCAAACTTCAAATAATGAGTGGAGTATACCATGGATACAATTTCTAACCATCTTACCTTTGTAAAACCCATTTCTTAAACCAAAACTGAATATTGCTGAAACAGCAACATAAACTCAAATTGTATGTTTAAATCACTCTATATGTATTATTTTATAAAAATAATGTTATTTTGTAATTTAGAATTACATGCCTGTATCACTTAAGCTGTATTCAAGTAACCCAGTTGAAACTGTTCAGGTGGTCTGAAACAGTTCTGGTGGTCTGAAACAGTTCAGGTGGTCTGAAATAGTTCAGGTGGTCTGAAACTATACATGAAGGCACTTGTACCGGAAGTTGTACCTGATATATGTTAAGCTCAAAATGAACAGTTTCAGAATTTCCTGTCGAGCATAAATCAATTAACTTAAATTAAGATACCATCCATTTCACTCATACTTAATAGCACAATGCTCAAAGAAATATGTGAGTGCATCGACCATACTTTTTATGCTGAAATTTTTATATCTTATGATATTCAGCAAGTTAGTTTTTGACAGGTACGCCTGGACGTGAAAGTGCCCTTACTATGCAGAGTTGTAATGGAATAACTTTTGTGTACCCTTTATATTGTAATTAAGAAATAACATGTATCACAAATCAGTATTACAATATTAAAGTAGATGTTTTCTCTACTGCACAATACTGTTAAGTAGAATCAATTTTTTGCTCATTATAAATGCATTATTCATCATCTTTCTTTTTTATCAAAATATTAGGTTCGTCATGAGTTGCTGGCTTTAAAAAAATCTAGACTTTATCATCACTCTGGAGGGAGGAAGAAAAACCATGAGGAAGAAGGATCAGATTCATCTAGAGTTGATGAGGTCAAGGTCACTGAAGATCAAGTCAAGGTCACAGGTCAAGATATACCATCACATGGACAGGAAAGGCACGAAGAATTATGATCTTGTTATAGTTATAATTGCTATTATTTTTATTTTGTTTTCCACGTTTTGTTTAACATTCTACCTAAACTAGCAAACATTCCAAAATCTTATCTTCTATTATTTCATTTTGTATTTTTGTGATCACTATTGTTTAGAGCTTTATACAGTTTTGTTTTTCAGTTAATTCAGATATAATATAAATCATTTATAAATAAGTGCAATACATTTGTATATGCAAATGGCTGTCCCATGACAAACCCTATTTAACTTTACCTGGAAGTAAAGGTAAAGTACAGTGATTATGGAGGTAAACCTAGCTTCTTGTAAACATCATATCATATACTTGCTTGGACAAGAGCTATGTTTTTATTGGCCAATTTTTTAAGGCATTTAAATTATCTCTTGAGCTTTGTGTAGGGGCTGTGTTATCTCAGTGGGTAGAGCTTAGTGTAGGGGCTGTGTTATCTCAGTGGGTAGAGCTTTGTGTAGGGGCTGTGTTATCTCAGTGGGTAGAGCTTTGTGTATCCTTCAGTAAGGGCTGTGTTATCTCAGTGGGTAGAGCTTTGTGTATCCTTCAGTAGGGGCTATGATATCTCAGTAGGTAGAGCTTTGTGTAGGGGCTGTGTTATCCTTAGAGCTTTGTGTAGGGGCTGTGTTAGTCTCAGTGGGGTAGAGCTTTGTGTATCCTTCAGTAGGGGTAGTGTTACCTCCGTGTGAAGTGCTTTGTGTATCGTTCAGTAGGGGCTGTGATATCTCAGTGGGTAGAGCTTTGTGTATCCTTCAGTAGGGGCTGTGTTATCTCCGTGGGTAGAGCTTTGTGTATCCTTCAGTAGGAGCTGTGATATCTCAGTGGGTAGAGCTTTGTGTATCCTTCAGTAGGGGCTGTGATATCTCAGTGGGTAGAGCTTTGTGTATCCTTCAGTAGGGGCTGTGTTATCTCCGTGGGTAGAGCTTTGTGTATCCTTCAGTAGGGGTTGTGTTATCTCCGTGAGAAGAGCTTTGTGTATCCTTCAGTAGGGGCTGTGATATCTCAGTGGGTAGAGCTTTGTGTATCCTTCAGTAGGGGCTGTGATATCTCAGTGGGTAGAGCTTTGTGTATCCTTCAGTAGGGGCTGTGATATCTCAGTGGGTAGAGCTTTGTGTATCCTTCAGTAGGGGCTGTGATCTCAGTGGGTAGAGTTTTGTGTATCCTTCAGTAGGGGCTGTGATATCTCAGTGGGTAGAGCTTTGTGTATCCTTCAGTAGGGGCTGTGATATCTCAGTTGATAACGTTGCCCTACATAATGTAAGACCTCCGGTGAAGATCTGGAGAGCATTATTTGATGTGATTGTATTCTGGCTAGACACTTTACCCTAATTGCTCTGGATGGCATGTGATGGTCCTCTCATATGTTGTTCAGAGAGGTAGCCACCAGCTACTACTAGGAGACCCTACCTCAAAATGACTGAAGCTGTTCCTGGGCAGTTAACCCAGCAAACTCACAAATCTTCAGTTAGAAGTTGAATTGAAATAGATCTTACAAATTTATTATACAAAACCGTCTGATAACATATATAAAGCTAGCATGATCAATGAGGCAAGTAAGTTGTTTACCAGGTACATTGTTAACTCACGATATACATTTTACCAAGGTCAATTTCTTCAGTATCTTTATCTTCCCACAAGATTGTTCAGTATCACATCTGTAGAGTATTTATTCTTGTCTGGACAAATTCAGAAAATGTGAGGGACAACAGCAGATATAATGATAAAGCAGCATTAATATTAATTATTACCCAATAATTGATTGATCAGAATCATTTGTTATTGTAGTACAATATTGTGTGAATTCAGATCATTGGCTTTGTGGTGAAGGAGATGATAGTCTGAGTAATCTTTCACCCTAATGTTTTAGACACAATGACATATTGATGTTATGTACCCTGTATCTGTGTCAAAAGTCTGATTTGTGGGCCAAAGAAAACCAGTGTGGCATCAGCAGTATGAAGTTTAGGGTATAAAATTGGTACCAGAATTGCAGATTAATTGATAGAGTTCAGGAATGACTTAGAAATCTCAGAAATGTGGAGATCTAGTGTAATTGCGTCAGTAAATTTGTTTATTTCAAGGTAAAACTAGACAGGCTTTTATCAGCAGTGTTCTGTAAGTAGAATTAAGCATTAGTAACAGATTCAAAAATATTGATTTTTCAATCTTATAAATGAAAAAAAAAAACCTCAAGAATTCAATCTTAATTGATTATTACAGAACATGTAAAACTGGAACCAGTTCCCATCACCATGGTATTTATGCTTAGTTTGGAAATCGGTTCATATCCAAAGTAATCTCTATCAGTGACATTGTACATTTTTGATGACAGATATAATTATACATTATACTGTTTATATTTTTTGTTTGGTTGTGGAATTAAGAAAATCAAAATGTTGCATAATTCCAATATTTCAATTGTCATAATAAAAATTATTATTGTCTATATTTATGTATATATAAATATATATGTAACTGAAACTGCAGCAGAGTTGTCTGATCATATCAGGGATGAGCTTATTTGTGATTAAATACGGTTAAATTAATGAAAACAAATAACGAAAAACCCACCTGAAATGAAATTTTCCATTTTTTTATAATCCTCCCCTTTTGCATTATATGGGATGATGTCTCTACAATCATGTTTATTGGGACAAAAAGATAGAATAGATAAATAAATTGCCATGACAATTTGCAGCATTATAACTTTTATTAATGGAAGTATTTACATAGTCGACAGCATTACTATTTAATCTTCACAAAAGCTTCAAAGCAACTTTTTTCTAAACCAAATATCTAAGTATATTAATATATACTTGTAGCTGTATTCCTGAAAGGAAATAATTTATGATTTTATATTTCTATATTATTTGTCATGTAATTAGTTGATGAGAATATGTTGTAATTATTTATTGATTATGAAATGTTAGAACATTTGACCGTTTTCATTACAGTTTTACTGCTAAAATAAATTGATTTTATTCAATGTTCTTGCTATAGACACATATTTAGGATGCTTGTTCAAAGATCTCTTTAAGTTCTAGTCAAAAGGATTTTCAACTGTTTAAAATTCTCAAAGAGACCATTAATCAATAAAAATCATCCCTGTGTATTACAGTTATATACATCTTATTAATAGTCATTGAAAAGTTTTAAAATTTATACTTTTGAAAATTGAAAATTGATATTTCTGTTATTAACTTTCTGGAGAGGTTGATCTGATGGTATTAAACTTTCATTAAACTTAAGATTTCCAGAAGTTTGTACGAATATAGTTCTATTTTGCCTAGTTATGAAAACAATAAGAAATAATATATCATATCAGTGTAGTGCTGTCCACTAATCCAGTCACCTCTGTTTCTTGGAAACCCTGACTAAATCTATTCTATTGTTTATAACCCAGTCACCATTTATCTAATAATCTAGTCACCTAACAGATAATTCAGTCACCTGTTCACATAGATATCTGGTCACCTTTGTTACTAGTTGGTAATCCAGTCCATTTCATCCCAGTCACTTTTGCTAGCAGCATATAGTCCGGTTGCTTTTAGTCATATTATATAATCTCCAGTCACATTAAGTCACAGCATATAATCTAGTGACATTTAGTCACAGCATATAATCCAGTGACATTTAGTCACAGCTTATAATCTCCAGTGACATTTGGTCACAGATTATAGTCACCAGTGACATTTGGTCACATCTTATAATCCCCAGTGACATTTGGTCACACCTTATAGTCACCAGTGACATTTGGTCACAGCATATAGTCCAGTCACATTTGGTTACAGCTTATAGTTCAGTTACATTTAGTCACATCATATAATCCAGTGACATTTAGTCACAGCATATAGTCCAGTGACATTTAGTCACAGCATATAGTAGTGATATTTGGTCACAGCATATAGTCCAGTCACATTTGGTCACAACATTTAGTCACCAGTCACCTATAGTCCAGTCACATTAGGTCACAGCATATTGTCACCAACCATAACATACAGTCCAGTCACATTTGGTCACAGCATTTAGTCACCAGTCACATTCAGTAGCAGCTTATGATCCAGTCACATTTGGTCACAGCATTTAGTCATCAGTCACATTTAGCTACAACATATAGTCCAGTCACTTTCGGTCATAGCATATAATCTCCAGTCACATTCAGGTCACAGCATATAGTCCAGTCAAATTTGGTCACAGCATGTAGTCTAGTTTGGTCATTGCATTAAGTCCAGTCACATTTGGTCACAGTAGAAAGCCCATTCAGCTTTGGCCTAGCAAACAACCTGGTTGCATTTTTGTTATATATATCTTATACTTCTGTAAGTCTTAGATGAATTTTCATTAATTTTTGTGAAACTCCTCATAATATTGATAGATATTATCAATTTCTTGTTTGTGTGATTTTTTAAATTTTGACCAAATTTTAAGATGCCTTCGGGTGTACTAATGGAGTTCAAAGAGATAGAATTGAAATCTGACAAACTCTGTATTTGCAATCAGTGATGAAAGAGAAAACCTTTATGATGTTTACAATTCATTTACCACAAAACTGATCTACAATTTGTCATTTTTCTACCTTTCAAAGTTGTGACACATTTCTTAATTTGTGAATTTCTTTTTACACTTTAAAAATTATTGATTTATTTGCAAAATCTCCTTTTAAGCGAATAAGTCTCTTTATTAGTCAGGTATATATAAAAATAATTCTCATATTCTACAGTTTTTTTTAACATCAAGATAACTGCAGGTGCTGTTAATGAACATGGAACAGTTTTGTTGTGTTGTGTAAATAAAACGGAACTTCTCCCCTGGTGTACTATATTAGAGGGTATCTATATTTCTGGTATGCGAGTGTAATTTGTACTAAATGTGTGATATTGTAATCTTAGGGTATGGTAATACTTTAAGCAGAAAAAATAAACATTAAATTACATGTAAACTAAGGGTCATTTGTTTGTCATCTTTTGTGTTTTTATTGTGAAGCCTTTTCTTTAATTCAGTAATCGTAAGTACTATACGTGTGTACACCTTTGAAACAATCACCCAAAGAACTACAACTTTTACGTGGCCCGAGATGAATGCTCAGCTCGTCTCTTGCTATCACTTCTTGCCTGTCAATGTGCATCTTCTGCTGATAAACAGTTGACAAGTTTTACTTCACAAAAAAAAAATCCTGAACCAGTTGTGATGAAATTTTGCAGAAACCTTTCATGGGGAAACATGAACCAAATTGTGAATTTCATCAGGTTGGTGATATAAGGTCTCATTACCATTTGGTATACTGTATGCAAATACAAATACTTTTCACACTGGTCATTTGTCTGATGGAGGTGACAGTGTTTGGTAGACATAAACTTCCTAAGTGGTTGTAATATAAGAACATTTCCCCAAATTGTAAATTATATTATCTGTAGCCAAATGAAATCAAATTTTAAAAAGGAGAAAAAATATTTAAGAGACGACAGAAAAAATCAACAAATGACATGCTGAGGCTCTCGAGGCAATTGGTAACTGTTAAATACTTAGTTTCAAACTGTACCTGTGCATGTATATAGAAAACAATACTCACAAATAAATAATCATTTTTTGTTTCTTTTAGATTCAAAAGAAATGGCAGTATTGTTATGGAATATTTGTACAGAACACAGATAATATATTGTAATATTCTTTTATTGTAAATATAACAACGTAACAAGTATATGTGAGTGAAAACATTTCATACAAAGGGATAAATATAACCCAAACCCAGTAAACACACACTGGTAGTAAACAAACCTAACAAGAAGCTTGGATTAGAACAAAGCTTGTGATAGATTGATCCATCATCGTGATGGGATCTAAAAACCAAACCAGGCGAAAGGCTGACCAACCAACGCGATGGAATCAGACCTACAAACCTGGTGACAGACTGACCAACCATCGTGATGGGATCTAAAAACCAAACCAGGCAAAAGGCTGACCAACCAACGAGATGGAATCAGACCTACAAACCTGGTGACAGACTGACCAACCATCGTGATGGGATCTAAAAACCAAACCAGGCGAAAGGCTGACCAATCAAGGCGATGGAATCAGACCTGTAAACCTGGTGACAGACTAACCAACCATTGTGATTGGATCTAAAAACCAAACCAGGCGAAAGGCTGACCAACCAACTCGATGGAATCAGACCTACAAACCTGGTGACAGACTGACCAACCATTGTGATGGGATCTAAAAACCAAACCAGGTGATAGAATGACCAACCCTCGTGATGGGATCAAACAACAAACCAGGCAAAAGACTGACCAACCATGATAATAACAACAAGAAAAAGGATGATAAAGCTCTCTACAAGTTTTCTCGTCTTTTTCTTCTTTTTATAACTCTATCCTATAATGCAATGATGTAAATACAGAGTGCATAATTCCAGATAAATGTTTACTATAATCAACTGAAACATAATTTTTTGACAAGTATCAACTGAAATATTATAGTGTTATGTAAATACAAATATGAAATGAATTTAGATCTTTATTCCGGGTTCATTTCTTTTAAAGATTTATTTTCATTTTATAAAATAACTTCTAAGCAATATGCCATTTTCATTTCTTTTTAAAGTTATCTGGGCATGTTAGTTCAACATTGTGTCTAATGATATAACATGTGATCGACAATTTTCAGTTTCTGGTAAATAATTACTTTTTGAGCAAATCTTATACCTTATATCATTTATAAATAAGGATCATTTACCTGATTTGAGACCCAAAGTATCAAAATGACTATAAAATCACCAGGTAAAATATCTACCAATTTAGGTTAGAAATGTCAACAATAACACTGTTATTGTGTCTACAAGAGTTAAGTTTTTCAAGCTGACGTTTCATACCAATTTTATTGGCTGGCTACATACTTAATATGTTGTTAATGTTTAAGTGAAGCAGTTAACTACAAATTAAAATTGGTAATGTGTACAAACTAAATGATCAGAAGCGTGGCAACACAACTTAGTAGTAAAAATATTGTAAGATTTCAAAACCAAATTAAAGAAACAATTTTCAACCTCCTAATAAAACAAATAAATTACTCATTAACAATGAGACTTCTTGCTCGCTCTCTCAGGCCAGACCTTTCAACCCTTGTTAAACTGTAACACATTTTAACTCTTCTGGTATTGACTGCACGAGATTGATGTGTTTTAGGATCCTCCGAGGGATTGTACAAGATTGATGTGTTTTAGGATCCTCCGAGTGATTGTACAAGATTGATGTGTTTTAGGATCCTCCGAGTGATTGTACAAGATTGATGTGTTTTAGGATCCTCCGAGTGATTGTACAAGATTAATGTGTTTTAGGATCCTCCGAGGGATTGTACAAGATTGATGTGTTTTAGGATCCTCCGAGGGATTGTACAAGATTGATGTGTTTTAGGATCCTCCGAGTGATTGTACAAGATTGATGTGCTTTAGGATCCTCCGAGTGATTGTACAAGATTGATGTGTTTTAGGATCCTCCGAGTGATTGTACAAGATTGATGTGTTTTAGGATCCTCCGAGTGATTGTACAAGATTGATGTGTTTTAGGATCCTCCGAGGGATTGTACAAGATTGATGTATTTTAGGATCCTCCGAGGGAAAGGCTGAACACACACCACACGTAGAAATCAAACAAATTATCACCAGTCTCCTGCTGTGATTGAAAACTTGTTGTAGTCCAAATTTACCAGTTCTTTGTCATTAGTAAATTCATATTTTGTTATTTTGGACATTGGGCTGCCTCTATGTGCAAGAAATTGTTTCCTGAAATGCAAAACCAAAGAAAGTTATAATACAATGTATTTGTGTATTAAAGAATTTACACATACTGGTATATGCTCCTGGATATTTTTTTGAGGAAGACTAAAAAATAACAGTTTTAGAGACGGGGATCAGCCAACCAAAACGGATCTTGAATTATCAATTTTCAACCCCAAACTTTTATCATTCTGATTCTGTTTTTTTTTTCAATGATTAAATATTACCCTTCATCAGGCCTTGGGGTGGCAGGAAGGATCAACACCTGACCTCTGTCTCAAAGGTCAAGAACTCCGAGAATGGTTTTTTTTTTTTTAGAAATCTTGCATTATTGATTTTTCTGAAGAGCGATAAACTGGTGTGGGCTTATTTATGAATACAGTATGTAGGAAATCTTCTGACAGAAATATTCGTTTATATATTTACAAAACAAAGTAATGATCTCGTGAAAATAGCAAGAGGCCCATGAGCCTTAAGGGTCATCTGACTATATAGACCATATAAAAGGCCAAATAGGCATGAAAAAACTTGCTCAACTACAACACAGCTTACATAGAAGACACTGGCTGGTTCATGAAGACATTTTCTGCAAACCTGAAATCACTTTCTTTATACATGCATTACACAAATACCATTACTCTAGACATGTTGCTTGTTGAAAGCACATGCTACAGGCCCACTATCAAGCCCCTTGACTATTGAGAAGAAGTTGCTTACACATTTCAACCCATTTGACCCAAGTGACGTTTAAAGTGGATCAAGGTCATTCAGATTTACAAACTTGACAGCCCATAATCACACCATGCTACAGGTCAAATATCAGTACCCTGAGCCTTCTGGTTATTGAGAAGTCATTTGAATGGAATGTTTACTGCACATTCTTTTACTATGAACAAAGCATACAACAAGATTCATAATCCAATTTTTTATGGAAGCAAAGTTATGCTCAGGACACAAAATTTTGACAAAGGGCAATAACTCTGTACTGAGGGGTCATGGGCACTGCCTTTGCTAGTCTGTGCCTTGCTTTTGTATCACAGATGTATACATCATGTTTCAATATCCTAATTTAAATGCAGGGAAAGTAATGGTCCTGAGACAAAAGCTTAAGAAAAGGTAACATTTCTAGACAAAATTTAAACAATGGGCAATAACCTTGTAATCAAGGATTGCAAGCCCTGAATTTGATATACTGCGCATCATCTTAGTATGATAAATGTATACATCAAATTTATTTCATTATCCTTGTTTAATTGCAAGCGAAGTTATGTTCCTGATACGAAATTTCAACAAAGGGAAATAACTATATAACTGAGGGGTCGAGGACCCTGAATTTAATAAACTGGACACCCCCCTGGCCCCCTAGTATGACTAATGAATACACCAAGTTTCATAATCATTGCTTTACTAAAGGCAAACTTATGATACAGACATGAAGATTGATGGTAGATGGATGGAAAAGGCGGTGACCATATGTTCCCCCCTCTACTGCATAAATTTTCAGGGATCATAATTACAGGTGGTGAAAGACAAACATAAATGTATGGTTGGAAGTCAAGTACATGTATATCAAAGGTTCTGATTTCAACAATTTACATACTCTCTCTACTTACATATGTTCTACTTGTCTCAGAGTGCCCTGTACTCTGCCTTTGACAGTTCCTTTAGCAGTATTCATCACCCATCCAACTGCTCCAATTTGGCAAGCTAGATCATATGTATGCTGAAAATAAAGAAGAGATGTATACATACAAAACAAACCCTATACAGCTGTATATCTATACGGCAGAAAACTAGGGCAGATTAGTAGTAGTTAATTCAGAAAACATATGCATTAATTATCAATTAATAATCAGTTATTAATTAAACTATAATAATTCATACAACACTAAATTTCAAATTTCAAAATCACTTTAGTGTCTTTGATCTTCAAGAACAAAATAACATGTCAATTTCGTCAAATTGCATAATTGTAAAGTTGTTCATTACATTTATAAAATGTGAAGATTTTGATTCACGAAAACAACAAGAATTCTATTCACTAAGTCTCTGTAACTCAAATGAAAAATAAAAGGCGCTATGGTGCTTGCTTGATGTTCAATTTGGACACAATATTTTTTTCCCAAATATGATTTTCATTTTTCACATTGTTGAGTTTAAGTATCAAACCCTACATGCTAAAAACTTATTTCTCATACAATCAGCTTTCTATCCAATTATTTCTATAAAACTTCAAAAATGCTACAACTACAAGTTAATATTATGATGAATATATATTGACAAAGGTAAAAAAATAAACAAAAAAAGACTAATCTAGGAATCTTAATTTTTGGTACATTGGTATTCAATTACAGTGATGTAAAAATGATATTAACTTTGTGAAAAAAAAATAGTAAAATAAATAGTTATTTGTGTCCCAGCTTTGAGCCCGTTACAAACTTATCTTGTACTCACCTGTCTGAAAAATACACCTGAAATGAAAGAGAAAATATGAATATAATGACACTGTATGAAGGTAATATTAATAAACCTTATAATTCAACACATTTACTTATATTTAGGTTATTTGTTATTTAACGTGATTTCGCACTCTGGTGACGTCATCATTTGTGCGTTAGTGGGTAAAGGGAAGGAACTCCTACCACAAACTGTTGCATTGGTATACACCAAAGGTAAAAATGCTGACGTTGCGATATCAAAACATTTATGTATCCGTTTAACCAACTGTAAAACTGGGAATACATTTCCATTATAAAAATTAGAATTTGAAATTTTACGGAATTTTCTTAAAAAAAAAAAAAAGAAATGTTACTTAAGCATTAAATGTCATTTGCAGGTCAGGGTCAGGAAAATTGAACGTGTTACTTCCACATCGTTTTGATACAACATATATCAAATTCGTCACAAACCTTGCACGTCTCCAAATATTTCATAGTCAACTGAAACGAATCTGTTGGCGCTCCCTGCCATCGTGCTCCCCTCAATTGGATCTACCAATTGTCCTCTCTACAAAGTCTTCTCCTGAGTTGCTTGGATTAGAGTTATCGAACCTTATTTTTGTAACTCATAACTTGATTGGATAAAACAAAGAGGAGGAAACAGGAGTTTTACCCTAAACCTCACATACACACCGACCCCATCCCCCACCCCATTTTGCCTTACAAGAACGGAAAATATCATATATGCTAACTAACGATTCTTTTTTCTAATTTCCATATTTTGTGTCATGAAGAAATCCATAGTGTCATGCATTAGTTGAGGCATTTTAACTCTCCAAGTAGAACATAGATCTACCTAATTGATTTTATCGATTACTAGTGGCTCATGGAATCAATCAAAAATAGTGTCCATTTCTAATGGACTTAGGTTATCAATCTCCGATGGTTAGAATTTAACCTCTCAGCAGAGACGTATATATGTATTATATATGTCTAGTCTCAGTATGTATATTTCTGGTAATGGAAAATGGACACAATTGTACATGTGCTATAGGAATGCAATAATGTCCTGAATTTTCTAGGTTTAAATGCACTAACGATCGATATTCCATGCAAGCGTGAATGTCAATTTGTACTTTTTGTTTAAATGATAAATTATTTCCAATATTTATATATTATACGTTTTAATTCAAATGCAGACCATAAAAAGAGGAAAACAATCCAGAGTAGAAAATATACTACCTTGTATTTATAGCATTATTGTTTTGATCTCCTCCAATAAGAAGGTTTTAACAAACAGAATGATATACGCATCGTTCTCAAATACGCGTGATATCGACGCATCGAGATTAAAGTATGGAAACTATCTAAACTTGATTTTACAATAATTAGTATTGTAGTATTTTGCCGATACCTGTGATACACGTTATACAATAAGGCAAACACAGAGACACGTCACATAATTATCGTAAGTGGTCCCAGTAGAATTTATAACGTGGTGATCTGTATATGACATTTCATCGTAAACTTCCCTAGTATGTGTGGCTTAAGTTTGTAATTAATATTTCTAAATATTTAAATTCAATATCAAGTGACATGCGTCCTCTGGTCCTCTCCACTCTTGCATTGCCTTCAACATTACAGAATTTTCACCGATACTATCCATTGTCGCTTACACGGGAATACACTCGTGAAAATAAATGTTTTCAATGTATCATTCAAATCAGGACAGAAAACGTAAAAATTGAGTTACATACAATATAGTAAATATATGATGATTATATACGATATAGGTCAGAAAATAACGATGATTATATACAATATAGGTCAGAAAATAACGATAATTATATACAATATAGGTAAGAAAATAACGATAATTATATACAATATAGGTCAGAAAATAACGATGATTATATACAATATAGGTCAGAAAATAACGATAATTATATACAATATAGGTAAGAAAATAACGATAATTATATACAATATAGGTCAGAAAATAACGATGATTATATACAATATAGGTCAGAAAATAACGATAATTATATACAATATAGGTAAGAAAATAACGATAATTATATACAATATAGGTCAGAAAATAACGATAATTATGTACAATATATACGATAATTATATACAATATAGGTCAGAAAATAACGTTAATTATATACAATATAGGTCAGAAAATAACGATAATTATATACAATATAGGTCAGAAAATAACGATAATTATGTACAATATAGGTCAGAAAATAACGATAATTATATACAATATAGGTCAGAAAATAACGATAATTATATACAATATAGATCAGAAAATAACGTTAATTATATACAATATAGGTCAGAAAATAACGATAATTATATACAATATAGGTCAGAAAATAATGATGATTATATACAATATAGGTCAGAAAATAACGTTAATTATATACAATATAGATTAACAATAATCATATACAATATAGGTCAGAAAATAACGATATTATATACAATATAGGTCAGAAAATAATATGCGGAATAGTCAGTGATGTTTCAAACTACGATATATTTACCGACAATACAATACAATACAATACAATACATCATGAATGCTATTCCTGCAACAAAGAATTGTATTTAACATTGAGGCTTAAGACCAAGAGTAAAGAACTATTCAACTCTCACAAATGGCAACAAATATCACTAGTAATTGATATTTAATATACAAACATAGGACTATTATATATTATGTCAAAACAAGTGCTATTTACATAGGCTAATACAGCAAGCGGTCAAATTTGACAGAATATGTAAGGAAGTAAAAAAGTTGTGAAACTGACAAATTGAACAAGTACTAACTGGGCCCACCCAGCTGTAGATCAGCCAAGAATAAAAGCTGACATAAAAACCACAATATTTTCTGGTTTGATAATGACGATGCCAATATTAAAAGAATTTAATACTGATTTTCCATAATACATGTACATATTAATTAAGTTAAGATGTTAGCGCTCCCTGGCCACATATATGTCATTAGTATCACGCCATATATCCAATCAAATTCCTCGTTACAAATCTCGCGAAAAGCAATATGGCAGCCAAGTAGCTAGCAATGTCATGATTACGATATCAGTATACTAGACAGATGGACGACAGAGCAGACGTGTTAGGTTTTTCTCCTCAACAGGAGAAAATTTACAACAACTTTCTTCCCTATGCCGACAAGATCGATGAAGAATCCATCGATGCCTTTGTGGAAATAAAAAGCAATTTGACGAAAGCTGTAGCTTTACGAGATGTCAAAACAGGAGCTAATCATTGGGTCGGGATGCTCTCGAGGTATTTCTCTAATCATGAAGGGTTGTAAACCATTTTGAAATATGTTATGATTTGGATAAGTGACGATTTTCTTGACATCGCTTAGTTATTTTTGTTTCTTCGATTTTTTATTATACAACATATCGTATTTTACATAATTTCACCGTATATCTGAATGAGTAGGCTTGTTAAAATATTTCTTTCAAACTTTTAGCCTGTTTGAATGAGAAAAGTAATATCAATTGATCTTGTAGAGGTTTGTTATGTATAGTGTAAGTACGTATATCTCACTTTACTAGTTCAGGAAATTGCTTTGCCACAACTGTATGTTGTTTTTATAAAAAATTATCAATAATCCAACTTGTATGAGTGTAGCAGCCATATTGGTGAATGAAAAAGCATAATTGATGTTGATACTGATAAAGATAAAGTTCTCTAGCTATTTTTAGATAGATGACATCAGAAATATAATCTCTGTAGTTACAGCATACACACAGTTGTCCATGGAAATTTCTGTCAACCAGTATGCAAAATGATAACATATGTTTTGAATTTTTTAATCAGAGTATGATGATATTCCACATCAGATTTCACTTGAGAAAACATTAAATGATTGCCCCAGAATTGATTTATTAAATTTTGGCAATTGCTGTTGATTCAAAGGCAACAGATATATAATTTGAAAAGAAATTAAGCTCTCCTGAGATTTGTATTTAAAAAAAATTACTTGAAATATTATATTGTCAAAAAATACCTAATGAGATATATCCAGTTAACATTGTGTTTTTTCTGATAATCACAGATAAATCTTATATCCCACATTGAAACTGACTTATTTAAAGGTGAAAATTTAAAATTTGAATTCAATGTAAAATTGCCAATAGAAGGGAAGATACTCAGCTTACAAAACACTGCATTGCATCTGTATTTGAAAATAAGTAAGGATAAAGAGACTTAATGAAATCAAAAGGACTACTGAGTACTTGGAAAAGTACTGGTAAGATACAGTCGAAGATTTATAATCTCTGTGCTGCAGCTACAAAAATGTAATAACAATGAATTAAAAAGTACCCATTTTCATTGCGTTGTCAGTATATTTTTTTCATGATAAACTTTTCTTTCTTTTATCAGGTATATCCGACTCTATGGACTAAAGTTTGCTAAAGAAGACCACATAGCATTAATCAAACTCATGTATGAGTTGATTCTCATACCAGACCTGGAGCTTTCACTTATTCAAATGTTTGCCAATCAGTTGATAAGTTTATTGAAGTAAGTACATGTCATGTATTAGAATTTATTTAGAAATTATTAGTAGAGTTTCTGTAGATCTTTGTGTTCTCAAAGTTTCATTCATATAGGTGTATATACATGTACTAGTACTGTGTATGAAGTGACTAAGTTTTCAATTATCTTTTAAATGTTTCTGTCACTGCTAATGCATTTAAACATATCAGGGTTGACATCAAACACAATTTCATATAAAACATGTTTTGAAAATCAACATCTGTTGTTATTAGTCTGGATGTGATGCTGGCACTTTAAATCTTCCATTTTGAACTCAAAGATTGATTTTTTAATTTTACAGATTAAAATCTTTATCAAACCTACATTTAAAAGAGACACATAAAAGAGAAAAAAACATTGGAAGGTGTTATATGTGTATATATATAGATAACTTTTTTTTTATTTCAGGAAGAGAAAACTACTATCACGAGAAGACTTGTGTTTGCCCTGGCGCCCCCTCTACCAACTTGTAGAAGCTGTAGCTTATTCTCCCTATGAACCTCACGGCCTGCAGTTATTTCCTCCGTAAGTAAGAGTATACATCAGAAAGAGCCCACATCAACTTAACATTGTAAGGATGTCGTGTATTGATGTTTTTTAGCAATAATTCAGGTATATGAAATACTGATTAATGCATTGATTCAATTAGATTCAAATTCTATAGTATATTTCAAACTTATTTTACGGTGCCATTGATGTATACCACGAGGATATCTGTTGAAATATTTAGAAGCAGTTTAAACATTAGTTCGTCATTTTTAATATGCATTTATTGAATTGATAACATAATTGAAATAACTAATTTTTTTCTGTCTGCAGTAATGTTGAAAACGTCCTGAAGAACCTGATCAAACACTGTCGGCAGTAAGTTCTCATTGGAATATGAAACAGTCTGATATGTTGACCGTCTTGATCCTATCAAGTTCAAAGATTAAAATAATTATAAGATAATTAAAACTACCATGTGTTTTATTCCTGATTATTTAACAATTTTGTAGTCACAATGCTTCCCAGAATTTTATTGAAGTTGAACACATTGTACCATGTACATGGATCATGCCTTTAGAAAAGAATATTTGTTTTTCAGTTACTTTCCATTGGAGGCTACAAAGGAAATGCTAGAGGAATGGCGACCTTTAATGTGTCCATTTGATGTAACAAACATAAAAGCCATCCACTACTTTGAGTATTTTCTTCCCACCAACCTCCCACCTCATCAACAGGAACATGGATGGAAGTAAGTGCCCAATACTATGGTATGTTATTGAAAGGGAGCATGTATGGAGAGAAAACATTGTACCAACTATATCTGTTCAGATTAAACAGGTTTTACATTTTACAGATACAAAGAAAAGATTAGAGTGGATTTACTGGGGACATATTAGACAGGTTTTAAGGGTCAGATTTGGCAAGTTTAAAATGTCAGATTAGACAGTATTTACTGGGTACAGGTAAGTCAGGTTTTAGATGTTTGACAGGAGATACATTTGCAGATTATACAGCGTTTGAGATCAAAATTATACACGGTTTACATGTTCACATTAGACAGGTTTTTACAGGTCAAATTATTCAGCATTTATTGAATACATATTAAGTAAGTTTTTCAAACTACAGAATAGAAGTTTTACAGTGAAGCAATTTCAATGAATAAGGATGAGACAGATTGTAAACAAAAATTATCCAGATCTTGTTTGGTGTTCTCAGGATTTCTATCTTAGAGGCAGGTGACTTCAATTTTGCGTTATTTCAATGTTATCCGTTATATAAGGATTTATCAATGTTCTGATTTCATGTTTCAGACTTTGGTTCACAGAGTTTATGGATATATGGAATTCATTCCAGAATAATCCAAAGTGGGAATCGGTAAGTTAATACAGATTCTCTCGGGATAATATCATGAATCTTGTCTTTTTCAATAAAATATGGATAATTAAAAAAATGGAATTGTTAAATATCTGTGTATGAATCAAGAATAATGTTAATTTGATGTGTGTTTTATTCTCAGGGACTTGTAAATCTGTTTTCTCGTCTTGCTAACGACAACATTGGCTACATCGACTGGAGCCCTTTTACTTGTCAGGTAAGTTTATAACAATGTGTGAGAATTGGTTTGATTTCATCAACAGCAATTCTGATCAAACATTGTTCGTATGATGACATGAATTATAAACAATGATTTTCACTTTATAATGAAAAGTGGCATTCATTTACAGTACAATTTTATTGCCATGATTTAATCAAGTTACGCTTGCTTATGTACTATGTTAGATGTCATATATATCAAACAAAAGCCATCTACTGTGATAAAAAGATTTCTGTTTTCTCTTTCTCTCAACTTTCATTTTGTATTCAATTTCAGATTTTCAATCGGTTCCTTCGTAGTTTTAATTTACCTGTAGGGACTCGCCTACAGAAGGTGGGCAGGTCTAATAACACCTATGATGTGTTTTCCTCTGTTCAGTGGATCATCGCCATGCTGGTAAGACAATGACTTATCTCTTTTCTCTTAATTTTACAATCATTAGCTTCAAATTTTAGTCAAACAATTACTTTTTTTTTGTCGAATTTGAGAAAAATTCTGTTGTGTTTTTCTTTAGGATTTTCATCCTTTAGAGCTTAACTTATGTCAACATCTGTGACAGGTATTTAAATAAGAAAGTTCTAAGTATTCTCAAATTACATACTGAACATAAGCAAACTACATAACCATTGAACACATTTCATTGCATATCCAACTTGGATTTTATTTTCAAATGGTGACAAAAGGTAAATGCCATTCATGTACAAGTACATTAAGATTTTGTTTGTTTTTATTTTACATGAGAGAAAAAGACTTTTACAAATGTTTCTTTTCCATTTAATTTTTGCAGGGAGGTAACTCTGGTGTACAAGATTATTTAGACAAGATCTTCAAAACCCTACAGACATTTTACCATCCCTCCAATCTTGGAAAATGGAATGTAAGTCAAATCTATTTATCTTTTAAACCAGGGTTGAGTATGGGTTATTGTTTGACCTAGGGTTGAGTATGGGTTAATGTTTTGACCTAGGGTTGAGCATGGGTTATTGTTTGACCTGGGGTTAAGTATGGGTTATTGTTTTGACATAGGGTTGGGTATGTATTATTGCTCTGACCTAGGGTTGAGCATGGGTTATTGTTTGACCTAGGTTTGAGTATGGGTTATTGTTTTGACCTAGGGTTGAGTATGTGTTATTGTTTTAACCTAGGATCGAGTAAGGGTTATTGTTTTGACCTAGGGTTGAGTATGTGTTATTGTTGTGACTTAGGGTTGAGTGTGTGTTATTGTTTTGACCTAGGGTTGTTTCTGAGTTATTGTTGTGACCTAGGGTTGACTATTGGTTATTGAAATGTAGTAGACCTAGCAGACATAAATCTGGTTAAATAAATTTTAAAAAATATACTTTACTTGAGACACATTTAGGTGATGTTTCAAGGTGTATGGTTTGACAATGCCTACTTAGGATTATTTATCTTTCTCAATTAATGTTGAAAAGAGCTGTGCTCTTCTTTAGAGATTGTGTCCATGGGCTAGATACTTTAATCCAGTTCCTTTGGATAGCATGTAACAGGTCTCCTGTACGTTGTTCAGACAGCCACCAGCTACTACAAGGAGACTCCGCCTGTTCACAAGGAAACGTGGCAAACAAACAAGTGAAATTCTCCATTAAGGCTGATTTACTTTCAAGAAAACCAAATTGAATAATAATAATAATAGTCAAAGTCAGAAATTTTCAATATGAATTACATTTCTAAATATTTATGTTCGGAAATAAAAGTATGATATAGGTGCAGAGCGATTGATATATTTGATATGTGACTTGTCAAGTATTTGAATATTTCACTTTTTCAGGTAAAACTTAGTGGTTTACTGATGACATTCCCCCGTCTCTTTGTGAAGAGGATACACAGGTGAGGAAGGAGGGGAGGTGGGAACAGGGGATGGGGATAGAAAGTGTGGGTAGAGGGTAAGGATATGGCTAGAAGGTAATTTTACAAGTGAAATTGAATCTGATACAGTTTGGGGTTATAAGACAGCTCAGGTGCATCAAATTATTTATCAATAATTTACATACCTTTCATGTTGATTCATATTTCAACTCGTGTAAAATTAGAATGAATAAACCTTTATAGGTTTAAGTAAATCAATTTAGTTTCTTGAAGAGTATATCATACCAGTCAGTAAAAGTTTTGTCATTTAAACATTGATTATTTCTGAACTGCTGGGGTGTAGGGGTTCTCTAATGATGTTACTATAGAATGGGTCCTCCTCCGATGTGACACAGCAGATAGAAGTTGAAGTCTACAGTATTTGAATAATGTGAATTATCTTTTTAAGGATTGTTCGTCCTAAACAGTGTAATAAATTCCTCTATACTGTATGCGAATGTTGTGATACCAGTATTTGTTCTTTAGTTTATGACTGTTGTAACATTTTATATATAATAAGGGACGATGGCGGACGGGAGATTGACTACCCCCGGACCATCCTCCTCTTGTTCTTGTTGCGATTGATTATCCTACGGTTTTATATTTTATATACTTACTATTTTACTGTATTTTGTGTTACAGAGAGCGATATCAAAAGCCTTCTTGGGAAAACCAGGTTCCAGACTCCCACAAGTTGTCTGAAGATGACATCACCAGATTTGTGGAGAGTATGAAACCAGTTGTGTTTGTCTCTATGTTTAGTAAATATGGCAGTCATGACTCCGCCATTGCTCTCCGACATCTGTCCAACATGAGGCCAGAGATCATCATTCCAACCTTGTTAGAAAAGTAAGTATGGAAACAAGGATTGCCTCCTTGTCTAAAAATATTTTAATAAGCTTGCATCTCCTGTTATTTCTTACCATGATTTGTAGCACTTTACCAAAAACGTGTTGGCTAGGCTGCACTGAGCTGAAGTGTTGAAGGAAATCTTTTTCATTGCTTATCAATAAAACTGCTCTTGTCTTGTTCTTTATATATTTTTGCTTAAGTTTAATGAACAAGGAAGGCAAATTTAAAATAAGGGCAGAAATTTATTTCACCTATATCTACATAATTCTGAGAGGGTGAAATAAACAAGGCAAAGTTGTATATAAAGGTATAAGGGTGAAAATAACCTCGGCCAAATGTTTTGGTACCCACTTCTTGATTGGTGAGAAAACCTGCTGGTTGACTTTGAACTGATTGTTGCAAAACATTATTTTTGAGGGAAGAAAATATTAGTAATAAATTGAAAGTTTTGTATTGCTGAATTAAGAGAAAACTCTCTTTGAAGAGTCAGAATTGGTTTTTGAACTAGAACATGTTTATGAAGAGTATTTCAAATTTTACAAAATATAAAAGACCTATAATTCTGAAACTGTTATGAAATGTCTACTCATTACTGTATTGCACTACAGGATGTACCCCGCGATGGAGAATCTGATTGAACCCCACCGTCTGATCGCCTGTATGACTTGTATTGTGGCCGTGGCACGACCCATGCTACATAACAGGAAGTGGTACCCAGAGGGTCGCTCTCACTTACTGCCACTTCTCAATCTCTCCCTTCCGGGAATCGACCCTAATGACTTCAAGAAATGTCTTGTAAGTCACCATTGAAAGAGCCTCATGTGTCATTTGAAAATAGAGTTTACTTTCTAAACAAGTTTGTTCTTTTTAATGAAAATATGATAACTTTAACTCTTCAACCCTCACTCCTAAATATTGTCAATTTTTTTCCAAATTCAATTGCACTATCACTGAAAGAAAATGGCACAGTGCAATTTTCTCTGGTACAGAAAGCAAAGAGATTAGGAAATAAGTTTGAAGTTGAGTGTTGCAGTTTTTCTACCAGAATTTAAATTGATCAACAAGATCTTTTTTATGTTGACCCTACATCGGATGATGACTGACTAAATGAGAAAAATATTTTCTTTTTAATCCAGATCACTTTCCAGATGATTTCCACTTTTGTTACTCTAGTCCCGATAGTAGACTGTTCTGAGGCTGTGTTTGTTAAGGATGATTTGACAGAGGTAGGTGGATACCAGTATTTAAAATCTACAAAAACCACGAGTTACACATGTACACTTGTTCTTCCACCATTAAGTGCATGTTTGCTGGTGGGAGACATGTAAAAAAATTTTCACACCTGTTATTACCAAAATATTATGGAAAAAATCTAAGCTAGGAAAAAAAAGCAAAAAAAAAAAAAAAAAAAGAAAACCTGAAATTCTTTAAACGTTTAAATGTCAAAGATCAACTATCAAATCTGTTAGTGTTTGAAGTAATCCTGATTATATTTGAAAATGATCTTATCTAAACATTCTCCAAAACACTGCCATGATCTTCAATTTTGTATTTTATTTTCAGGAAGAAAAGGAACTCTGCTCAGCAACTGCTCAATTTGAAGACTTTGTTCTCCAGTTTTTTGACAGGTAAATTGTGAAGAATGTTTAGAAAAGTAGTAAATACAGACCTGTTTGGTTTTGTGTGTTTTGTTTCCTCTATGTATTTTCTGAAAATTATATTTTGGGCAAATATTCTTGCACTTACATCTGCCAACGTTTGCATACGAGTCCCTCCATATCTGGTGTAGGCACACATACTGTAATCATACTTATGACAATTTAGTGTAGTATCATTTCATGTAATGCCTCCTTAAATATATGCGAATATAGCAAAATTAAATCTCCTATGAAAATTTTTATCCAACCAATGAAATGAAAGTGACAAAATCCACCTGTATTGATAAAAGGCATTGTTTAGAAAGTAATGTGTATTTAATGTTATGGGAAGACCTATATATTGATGTATAATTATACTGATGTGATTCTGTTTGTAGGGTGTTCACACTTATTGAAAACAGTGCCCAGGAACACGTTCACAGTGATGTCACACGCCTCAACCTAGAGCAAAGTATGCTGGAGGTGGGCTTGGCATCTACAGCTGTGTCAGTTCTTCAGCAGTGTTCTACGCCAATTTTCAAGGTTTGCTCATAAGTCTTAGTTTTCTCTATTCTAATGAAATCTTGTTATTATAGTTACCTTGATGATTGAATTAAAATTTGAAATTTACAGAGCTGGTGAATTTTTCAATTACCAGATTATCAGTCTGTTTATACAGAATTATGGGATATTATTGTATGAAAAATCTTGTGAGAAATATGCTACGGAATTAAAATGTGGTTTTCTTTTATCAGTTTGACATGTTTGGCTTGTTCTTTATGAAATATGATGTACCTGCTGAATTTTACATTCAGACAAGCCTTCTTATTAATGAACTGGCAATAAATTTTACAGTCAGCCTTAGACAGAATCCACCGATTTGTGACTGGCAGTGTGTTTGAGAGCCGAGTTGGAGGCAGGTTTGCTGGCAACCTATGTCGAGCTGTAGCCAAGGTATTGACAAACTTTGGTATCTTATGTATTTGATGATGAGGGACATTAATGGTGAAAAGAATAATTTCATCTCTACAAAGAAATTAAATGATTGGGGTCCATTAGGGGAAATATAAGTTCTTTAAAACCCTTCCGTACAAGGATATTTTCCAGATGTGGTGTGTTGCAACTTTATTGAATGGTGAATCTGTTTTCTGTTTGACCAGAAGGCTGGACCCCAATAGGGAAGAAGTTATTTGTCATGTTTGAAATTCTTTGTTAAATTACTGAATAGCTGAACAAGCCATGTTAGTGATGCAGGCCCCTTGGACCTCTTGTTTTTATTTTCCTGAGACGTAAGACCATTGTCTTGAAAACTGTGATAAGAATTCATAGAAGTTTCTATCCATCTATAATTACTCTGTGATCAGAATGTTGGAAATGTTTGATCAGAGTTTTGCTTGAAAAAATTCTTTTTGAGTCATAGAATCAATACTCTTAATTCTACATCTGGTTAAAAGACACCTCTCCACTGCAAAGTCTTTGTGGTCTTTCTGGTATATGTTGACATTGTTGACCATTTTTTACCTCCAGGTGAACCCTGAATTGACCCTGAAGAAATTTCTGTCACATCTGTGCTCTGATGTTAAGAATTTGCTAGAAAATCGTAAGTAAAAAATGTTACTGATGTTTGCAGAAGAAATTAGGATTTTTCCAGATAAGATTGTGTAGAGGATAGAATATTGGTCACAACCTAGGTAACATATGGTAAATAACATAGAGGCAAACTTCTGGAAGATAAAATGTGTTGGAAATATTTTACCGTTACAACTGTAATATATTATAAAACAGAAATCATTACTTTGAATGGCCCAAATGGCCTTTGCTGGTGTGAGGATGTTGTGAGGATTAAATACCTTGAATTTAACAAAGAACCAGATCACTGGAATATCAAAAAGTTTACTTTCAAAATATGACAGCTGATAAATATATCATTTGTCATTGTGGCCTGGTTACTTTTTCTTACAAATGAGACATAATCAATCTGTGTTTTCTCCATCAAATGATCTTTACCTGACCTTTCACCATGATCTTGACAAGTGCTGCACTTATTTTCAGTTCAAATATTGCATAAATGTACTAACCATAATGAGTAATTGCTATAAGATATGATAATATAGTGCAGTTGTATATTGCTGAAAATTTATTTTTCAGATGAAGATCTCAAAAATGAGGAACAACTGGATGATAGCTTTTTATGGAATTTAATCATGCTACCTCAGGTATTTTTTGTCATATGAACTTTGCGTGTAACAAAAACTATAAACTGTTAAACAAAATCAATTTATATTAAGAATTTACTGTTATGTTTGAATTTGTGTTTCAATCAACATAAATTTTAGTTTTTCAAAATATTATATTGTTGTTGCAAAAAGCCCAGGGGTCAGCACTTTAATTTTGTTTAGAATTAGACACAGGTGGACACCCTTATTGTGGGATAATAGGAATTGCCGGATATATTTGAAGTATTTTGTACATTTATGATTCTGCAGCTTGTGCGTTGTGATGGAGCAGCACTCTTGCCATACAAAGTGGAGCTACTGGAAATAATTCAGATGACCCTTCACCTGAAATGTATCCAGGGCTATGAGCTGGCTGGCCAGTTATTACGTTATCTACTCAGGGCTCTTACACTTATCTATCCTCTAGACTACAAAAGTTGTGCAGGATCTCTTGATAAACCATTCTCAGAGTGGCTAGCTATCAATGTGAGTATCACAAGTATTGCTAATGTACATGTCCACAAAATCCACAATAGATAGAGTTTTCAAAGTCTTTGAATTTTGAAAAATGTCTTGAAAATTTGCAGGAACATATTTCAAAACATGTATAATACATTTAAAATTTTGCAAAATTATCTTGAAACTTTATGGAAATATCATTTATATAATACATAGTCCTTATTCCTGCAAGATAAATGTTTTACAAAATTTGATGTGGGGGAGAGGGGACTGTTTCTTTCTATTCATTACATATTGCCTTATAATCTAGATGTAACATTCAGTAAAACAGATCTTACATGTGAATATTTTTGAAATTTTTTAAAAAAAGGTCTTGAGTTTTCTGGCACATATCAAAGTGCTTGACCTCCTTGACTTTGATCAATTGAAGTAACATGCTGTACAACACAAAACACTGTCTAATCTTGCTCACATTGAAGTTTTCCATGTTGGTGAATCCTTTCTCCAAGCTTGACCAATTTTGTGTGTCATCTGTGTTTAGGAGTGGGCTATGCCAGGTGACATCCACAACTTACAGATGAAATGGCACGTACCAAATGACGAGGAAATGCAATTTGCATCTGAGATTCTTCATGCTATTCTGGAACCAGAGCTTGAGGCCATCAAGACTGTGTCAGCAGATAATCAAATGAACAGGTTAGTGCTCTATACACACCTGATTTAGTGTTTGTTCAACACTCAGGTCTAGAATGTCCCAATAGAAAGTGACCTATTGGAAATATTTACGATAAGTCAAATTTGAACTTTGTTTGTTTTGTAACAAAAGCGAAACAAGTCATTTCAACTTATACTTTTAGATGGATAATGTAATGTGTTGCCCTAGTTTAGATTGCTACCTTTCAGTTTTCTTTCACCAGCAAAAATCTTTAAGTAAAAAAATCTGAAAATTTCCCATTTCCTAGTAAAATGCCTGCAAGTTACATTTATGTTTGTAGAGAGGAATTGCTGCGTAGACTGAATGCAATCCTGGAATGTTTACTCGGAGCTGGTTGTGTTCTACCCATGTGGGAGGATGCTGTCGTAAATATGTAAGTGTTTACTCGGAGCTGGTTGTGTAGTACCCATGTGGGAGGCTACTGTTGTAGATATGTAAGTGTTTACTCGGAGCTGGTTGTGTTCTACCCATGTGGGAGGATGCTGTTGTAGAGATTTAAGTGTTTACTCCAGGCTGGTCGTGTTCTACCCATGTGGGGAGATATGTAGATATGTAATTGTTTATATTGAAATAATTTTGATTTACAAATGAAATAGATATTGTTTTTGATAAAGTTATCAGGTATGGATTTTGATTACTGTATTTTGTAGAGTGGACAGCTGTGTATCCCTACGCCGACAGCATTGTCAGTCAACAGGCCAACACTCCTGTAAGTATGTTAAAGTGATTACTTGTAAATAATGGTGACATGGGCTATAGGTATAATGATTCCTGTGACATGTATGTTTTCCATAATATCACACTTGTCTGATGTAGATAATATCTGATTTACTTATCATCAATTTCTAAAGCAAATTGATTGAAAACATGACATGTTCTCTCTTTAAGTTAATTTTGAATGGATGTGATACTTGTAGAACCAATGCAGTTTGTATTTTAAGCAAAACTCATGTTCAGTATTTATAAGGTAGATTTTGAACAACATAATATTATGAATTGAAGTATTTTTAATACTTTGCCCTAAACATATTAATTAAAATCTGTTTAGAACGATATACCTTGTAACAGTCTACAATGTTGTTCCGTGAGAATGACCTTGTTACCTGTAGGGTTAATTGGCTGCAATTTATTTTTTGAAGATTAGGTATCATTGGTATTGATTTTAAGTCTTTGATGAAGATGTTTTAAGGATACTAGTATGTGCTTTGGTCATTAAAAGCTCTTATGTGACTTAATTGCCAGGTATAACATTGAATGGCAGAAATGTACGAGAAACTGTGGTAGATGCTGTCCGCCCTCTCCTGTGTAAGTAGACATTAGGTGGTGGGGTATCACAGAGACAGAAACTTAGCATGTCTCAAGTCACCTTGAATTTGATGTGGTCCACATGATGTGAAGGTCCAAAGCATTGTTTGTTGTGATATCAATAACAAAAGTCTTAATTATACAGAGATAGTGCTTAAAGCTTTCAAAGATTTCACCGGTAATTCCATTATTGATCCTCTGTAACCATTTTCTTTCTTTTTGTATAGCTCATATGCTGGCTACATGTGAAGATGATACCAAGAGCTTGTTCAAGTTGATACAGGTAGGCGTGGCTTTTTATGCTGCTGTAGATTGGAATTATTGAGTCATGGCTGATCAAACTCAAGTTTTGTAGAAATGATGGGTGAATTTATCAATATTGTACATCAGGAAGTGATTTTTCAGTCACAGTTCAGTGTCTAATAAAAATTTGGTGTATATCATGCATATTTATCTGGTTGTTTGGCGTTTAGCCAAGATATGTTTTTTAAATATACTGAATTTATCTTGTAATAACTGAACTTTGTATCATTGACTGTAAATAAGCCCACCCCTAATTTTGAATGACAGGAATCATGTGTTTGACTTCTAAGCTTATAAAAGCTTAGAGATGTGTCTAGTCAACTAATAACAAAGGAATTTTACCATGATATGGTGATCTCTCAGTTAATGTGATGATAGCTGATAACAAAGGAATTGTACCATGATATAGTGATCTCTCAGTTAATGTGATGATAGCTGATAACAAAGGAATTGTACCATGATATAGTGATCTCTCAGTTAATGTGATGATAGCTGATAACAAAGGAATTGTACCATGATATGGTGATCTCTCAGTTAATGTGATGATAGCTGATAACAAAGGAATTGTACCATGATAGGGATCTGAAAACATTTAATGTGATGATAGCGATGTCTCCTAGTAGAAATGTCTGCTCATGTCAGCTTGCTAATTTGAGCTTTAAGCTTTAAACAATATCCTCTATGGATTGATGAAGTTTGTGTAACACCTTCTGTGACTTTCCTGTGAAGGCGTTGAAAGCAGTGTTGAATTAAGGGTGATTACATGTTATTTATTGTCATACTGTTTAAGTGAATAATCAATATTTCTTTCTGAACAGATATATGAAACTGTAATGTTCTTCAATGGAACTCAGAAGAATGACTTTGATAAAAGATGGAAAAGTTTTCACTCAGTGAAGCAAGCACTTGAGGATCAGGTATGTACCTTGTCAAGCAGGAAACAAATTTGTATATCTGGGCGTATTAACATTAAATAGGGAAGGGCATTGTTAAATCAGCTGGTTTGTCCATGAACAAAAAGGACATTGTGGATTCAGCTAGTTTGTCCATGAACAAAAAGGACATTGTGGGTTCATCTAGTTTGTCCCTGGACGTAAGGGCATTTTGGAATTGGCTAGTTTGTCTCTGGACAAAGTGGATTGTGAAAACAACTAGTTCATCCCTGGATGAGAGGGATTATGAAATCATTTAGCTTGTCCCTGGACAAATGAGATTGTAGAAACAGCTAGTTAGTCTCTGGAAGAAATGCACTTTGGAATCATTTTGCTTGTTACTGGACAATCATTTTTTGCCTTCATTGTTCTGAAAGAGATTTGATAAAATTAGCATTTAAAGTATGCTTAAATCTTGATGCAAATGGCAGATGTTTTTCCAACCCAACCTTGGATTCTAGTGTCACTGTGTCATCTAACATCCTTATGAGAGCTTGAAATTGCTGGATATTTGGGAAGTCCTAGACTTATATGAATAACACATTCAGTCATGATTTTTCATGAAGCTTGAGTAATAAAACCTAGATTCACTTGTGAATTTGCTTGTTGACAGATGAGGACTAAGAAACGCCATATACGAGCAATACTTGTAGATCGAGTACAACTGCAGCAGGAGGTAAGATACAGATTTATTGTTCTGACATATATAACACCTCTTCTGGGTATCTTATCTTACAGAAATACATTTGAAAATGACACATAAGTATACTATAAATGTACTTGTTTTATCCGTTTCGTAATCTGATTTTCACAACTTTTCGCACAGGGAGTATTGTGCTGAAATATGATTGGGCTAATTAGGGTTTCTTTATGTTGTCTATCAAAAGGTGATAATGTACTAAAATTTCATTTATTTACAATAAATTTTATAAAGTTATAAATTTTATTTCCTGGCGAATTTCAGCTTGATTCATTGGAGTCTGTTTAAAATCATTCAAACCCACACATTTCTTGATCAGCATTATTAGGATAATTGGTGGCCTGACTCTGTTTCAGCTTCGAATGTTGAATGGCTGTAGACGGCTTTTCACTGAGAGACATAAGACCATGCTGTTGGATCTCCTGAGCTTGTCTGTGAGCCGATACAGTGATGTATGTAAATCTGATATCAAAGCCCACTGTATTCACATTTTAATTAAATAAAATACTCATTGTTGACATGGTAACCCTAGTTATTTACTATTGAATTATCTACTTTATGGACTAGCACAGACCCTCAGTCTGGTCCTGATCTATAGCATGCAGGGTTGAATTTCCATGGATGGTATCTCTCTGAAAGGATGAAATGTAATTCATACCAGCTCAATGCATGTTAGATTGTGTCAGAGATAGTAACACTATAGTGCCATGTTTAGTATAGGATGTTTGTTTACAGGTGAGAAAGACGGCCCAAGGTGTGCTATTCCTAGGATTCCATAATCTTCATTACTCCTACCGCTGTACAGTTCCAGTCATAGTCCAAAACCTAAAGGACAGCAACACTCCAGAGCATGTGTTCAAAGTAAGTCTCATGTCTACTGTAATTTATCATATCCATAATATTGTCCTGGTTTCTGTTGATGATAGAGGGAGGGAATGCAGTTCATCAGTCGTTTACTTGTTATTTCCAACCCCCCACCATCACAGTGTCTAATTATACAACTAGGTAAACTAGAAAACTGTGCTCCTTTAGAATAATGCTGGACCTTCATTTGTAAACTTCCTATCATAATATCTAATGGAATAACTTGGTAGAATAGAACTATTCTATGAGAATATTAAAAGAACTATTCTTCTTTCATACAATGTACCTGTTCTTTCATTTGAAAACTTTACATTATGGTAAACTGTATAGTTGGTAATAATCCTGGGGGATTTGATTTCACTATATTCACTGTCTATGAAGAAAACTTAAAAATACCCAGCAAACATCTCTACAGGGAAAAAATCTCAGAAAATGTATGATACATCTATATATTTGATCACCAGTTCTTAAAAATGTGCAAATCTTACTACCTGTGAACGGGCCTGTATTGGGGCAACCAGACAATGTTGGCCTTGTGACATTAAACAACCATGTTTTATTTGTTGTAGTATTCTCCTAGAAAAAAATGACAATCAATCTCGACTATCAATGGTTTTGCAACTATTTTAGAAAGAGATAAATGTGATATGCTTATGACATTAAATTTATGTATCTGATGACAAAGTTGACAAATTTTAGGGGACGCTGTATACTCTGCTTGGATCTGGCAAGAAGAACATAGCGATGAAGTGTAACTGGGCAGTACTTGGGGAGGTATGGACTGCCATCACACAGGCACAACATTCTGAGAAACCTTCCATCCTTAAGGTGATTGACGAGATCATCAACAAAGTCGTCAAGAACATGGAAAGTGTTTCCATAGTAGTCAAAGTAAGTGTGAAGAAAGAAGATATAAAAACTTGTGAAAACAAAATTTCCTTTCCATAGTAGCTATAGAATTTGAGAGTTAACAGAAAGAATATCAGCTAGTTCTACCAGTGTCATTTGTCAAGCATAATATTGCAGCATGAGACTTCATTACAGAGGGTTTTTAGGATTTGAAGGTAACAAGACATCATTACAGAGGGTTTTTAGGATTTGAAGGTAACAAGACTTCATTACAGAGGGTTTTTAGGATTTGAAGGTAACAAGACTTCATTACAGAGGGTTTTTAGGATTTGAAGGTAACAAGACTTCATTACAGAGGGTTTTTAGGATTTGAAGGTAACAAGACTTCATTACAGAGGGTTTTTAGGATTTGAAGGTAACAAGACTTCATTACAGAGGGTTTTTAGGATTTGAAGGTAACAAGACTTCATTACAGAGGGTTTTTAGGATTTGAAGGTAACAAGACTTCATTACAGAGGGTTTTTAGGATTTGAAGGTAACAAGACTTCATTACAGAAGGTTTTTAGGATTTGAAGGTAACAAGACTTCATTACAGAGGGTTTTTAGGATTTGAAGGTAACAAGACTTCATTACAGAGGGTTTTTAGGATTTGAAGGTAACAAGACTTCATTACAGAGGGTTTTTAGGATTTGAAGGTAACAAGACATCATTACAGAGGGTTTTTAGGATTTGAAGGTAACAAGACATCATTACAGAGGGTTTTTAGGATTTGAAGGTAACAAGACTTCATTACAGAGGGTTTTTAGGATTTGAAGGTAACAAGACTTCATTACAGAGGGTTTTTAGGATTTGAAGGTAACAAGACTTCATTACAGAGGGTTTTTAGGATTTGAAGGTAACAAGACTTCATTACAGAGGGTTTTTAGGATTTGAAGGTAACAAGACATCATTACAGAGGGTTTTTAGGATTTGAAGGTAACAAGACTTCATTACAGAGGGTTTTTAGGATTTGAAGGTAACAAGACTTCATTACAGAGGGTTTTTAGGATTTGAAGGTAACAAGACTTCATTACAGAGGGTTTTTAGGATTTGAAGGTAACAAGACTTCATTACAGAAATTTTTAGGATTTGAAGGTAACAAGACTTCATTACAGAGGGTTGGTAGGATTTGAAGGTAACAAGACTTCATTACAGAGGGTTTTTAGGATTTGAAGGTAACAAGACTTCATTACAGAGGGTTTATTAGGATTTGAAGGTAACAAGACTTCATTACAGAGGGTTTATTAGGATTTGAAGGAGGGGGGTGGGGGGGCATCAATAAATTATTTGAAATAAAATGTATCAACAAATTGTTTGATGAAGAATTTTGACGATAATGCTATTTGTACATAAGATATACATTGCTAAATTGTCAATATTCAACATTCAAACTTTACTCCATGTACCTGGTACTAATAAAACAGTCATTTCTTGCATCTAGATTGAACTCGTTAGCAGGCTGCGATAGACTTGACTCTTACTGTATTTCAATTTTTGACATTTTAAGCCACTGAATATTCTACTTTTTCCACCTGTTTATTGTGTGTTTTAGACAAGGCCCTCAGCAATAGAGGCAGCAAAAGCCCTGCTGGACACCGGGACACGTCACGCTTCCTTCCCAGTCCTGACGGATCAGGATTTAGAGGCTGCTAGAATTCGAGAGGAGAAAACAAGCAACAAGGACAAAGCGTATGTATTTCATTATAAGTAATTAATATTAGCTATTCAAAAATTGTTATTCAAAATATCTAAATGATGAAAATTTGTACTTTGAATCAGCTTTAGCTGTTTGATGTAATTGAACCAGCTTTAACTGTTTGATGTAATTGGACCAGCTTTAACTGTTTGATGTAATTGAACCAACTTTAACTGTTTGATGTAGTTGGACCAGCTTTAACTGTTTCAGTGCTCCAGATAACTTTTTGACATGTGGGGTTTTCACTCCTACCTTTATAAATTGAGGGTTTTGTAATTGGACCCCTGTTTCATCAAGTGTATGTTTTTCCATATTAGGGTAACACTGAATTTGTAAACATTTTTGACAGCTGTTTGCTATGTAATTGAACCAGCTTTAACTGTTTGATCACCAGAAACGCTTGATGTAATTGGACCAGCTTTAATAAGTGTCTGTTTGATGTTAATTGAGTTTTAACTAACTTGATGTAATTGAACCAGTTTAACTGCCGTAATTGGACCAGCTTTAACTGTTTGATGTAATTGACCAGCTTTAACTGTTTTTTTTCCTAGCGTGAAATTAGAAATATTGTGCGTGAAAACGCATTCACGCAGGCTATCTGGAGCACTGTGTTTGATGTAATTGGACCAGCTTTAACTGTTTGATGTAATTGGACCAGCTTTAACTGTTTGATGTAATTGAACCAGCTGTAACTGTTTGATGTAATTGAACCAGCTTTAACTGTTTGATGTAATTGGACCAGCTTTAACTGTTTGATGTAATTGAACCAGCTTTAACTGTTTGATGTAATTGGACCAGCTTTAACTGTTTGATGTAATTGGACCAGCTTTAACTGTTTGATGTAATTGGACCAGCTTTAACTGTTTGATGTAATTGAACCAGTTCTTACGGTTTGATGTAATTGGACCAGCTTTAACTGTTTGATGTAATTGAACCAGCTTTAACTGTTTGATGTAATTGGACCAGCTTTAACTGTTTGATGTAATTGGACCAGCTTTAACTGTTTGATGTAATTGGACCAGCTTTAACTGTTTGATGTAATTGGACCAGCTTTAACTGTTTGATGTAATTGGACCAGCTTTAACTGTTTGATGTAATTGGACCAGCTTTAACTGTTTGATGTAATTGGACCAGCTTTAACTGTTTGATGTAATTGAACCAGCTTTAACTGTTTGATGTAATTGGACCAGCTTTAACTGTTTGATGTAATTGGACCAGCTTTAACTGTTTGATGTAATTGGACCAGCTTTAACTGTTTGATGTAATTGAACCAGTTCTAACGCTTTGATGTAATTGGACCAGTTCTAACTATTTGATGTAATTGGACCAGCTTTAACTGTTTGATGTAATTGGACCAGCTTTAACTGTTTGATGTAATTGAACCAGCTTTAACTGTTTGATGTAATTGGACCAGCTTTAACTGTTTGATGTAATTGGACCAGCTTTAACTGTTTGATGTAATTGGACCAGCTTTAACTGTTTGATGTAATTGAACCAGCTTTAACTGTTTGATGTAATTGAACCAGCTTTAACTGTTTGATGTAATTGGACCAGCTTTAACTGTTTGATGTAATTAAACCAGCTTTAACTGTTTGATGTAATTGAACCAGCTTTAACTGTTTGATGTAATTAAACCAGCTTTAACTGTTTGATGTAATTGAACCAGCTTTAACTGTTTGATGTAATTGAACCAGCTTTAACTGTTTGATGTAATTGGACCAGCTTTAACTGTTTGATGTAATTGGACCAGCTTTAACTATTTGATGTAATTTGACCAGCTTTAACTGTTTGATGTAATTGAACCAGTTCTTACTATTTGATGTAATTGAACTAGCTTTAACTGTTTGATGTAATTGAGAACCAGCTTTAACTGTTTGATGTAATTGGACCAGCTTTAACTGTTTGATTTAATTGAACCAGCTTTAACTGTTTGATGTAATTGAACCAGCTTTAACTGTTTGATGTAATTGAACCAGCTTTAACTGTTTGATGTAATTGAACCAGCTTTAACTGTTTGATGTAATTGAACCAGCTTTAACTGTTTGATGTAATTGGACCAGCTTTAACTGTTTGATGTAATTGGACCAGCTTTAACTGTTTGATGTAATTGGACCAGCTTTAACTGTTTGATGTAATTGGACCAGCTTTAACTGTTTGATGTAATTGGACCAGCTTTAACTGTTTGATGTAATTGGACCAGCTTTAACTGTTTGATGTAATTGGACCAGCTTTAACTGTTTGATGTAATTGGACCAGCTTTAACTGTTTGATGTAATTGGACCAGCTTTAACTGTTTGATGTAATTGGACCAGCTTTAACTGTTTGATGTAATTGGACCAGCTTTAACTGTTTGATGTAATTGGACCAGCTTTAACTGTTTGATGTAATTGGACCAGCTTTAACTGTTTGATGTAATTGGACCAGCTTTAACTGTTTGATGTAATTGGACCAGCTTTAACTGTTTGATGTAATTGGACCAGCTTTAACTGTTTGATGTAATTGGACCAGCTTTAACTGTTTGATGTAATTGGACCAGCTTTAACTGTTTGATGTAATTGGACCAGCTTTAACTGTTAGATGTAATTGGACCAGCTTTAACTGTTTGATGTAATTGGACCAGCTTTAACTGTTTGATGTAATTGGACCAGGTCAATGTAGTGTGATTGCTTTCTCTTTACAGATTGTACCACAAGTTGGTAGCTGATCTTGTTGATCTGATTGAAAATGGAAACTTGTAAGTTATTCCTCCTAATGTTTTAGATGTTTTAGACATCACTGCACAGATTACTGGCTCCTAGATCAAGACTACTACACCCAAACTTTAAACTATCTTGAAAAATTTAAGAATTAGGTTTGTTGGTAAAAAAATTGATGTTGACCTGATATGTCAACCCTTGTTCAACAGTGTGATTTAAATGAAATTTAGATCAGAACTGAATAAATTACTTTGATTGAACATTTAATAGTAGTACAGTATAGTTGTAAACAATGTACACCACAGGTAAATCAGGAAAAAATAAGCTGTTTTGTTTGTCTCCTCAAGGATGTGGAAATTCTCTCAGATCGGTATGGAACTGTTGTGCCTGTTGTTGCGTCATGATATCCTAACACCTGCCTGTGCTGTCAGACTTTACACTAAAGGCATGATACATGATTCTCTCTATGTGAGAAAGGTAAGTTGTGATGACATTTCATTGCTTTTTGGATAATTTATCAGTTGTTGATTTTTCTTTCACTGATTATTGTCATTTTAAGTTTAATAATGGCTATTTTTTCTACAAAAAATTTTTTTTTTAATGACATTTTCCATTGTTCTTGCCCTCAGATATTAAGAAAATTAATTCAGAATGCTAATTAAAATGAAAAATTTGATGTAATTTTACCAAAAACAAAAATATCTTTTATCAATTGACTGGCTTCCATGTTTTTAATAATGCAATGAAATTGTTTTTACAGTAAGACATTAAAAGAAAAATCAGGTTTTAAATTGTTTGTAACTGAACTTGTGTTGAACAGTATAAAGATTTTCAGAATCTCCTAAAAATTTTGACTGGTGCACTTCACCCTGCCTTAAACCATTGTTTGCTGGACTAGTGGTGAAAGCTTACTGTTCATAATGTTGTTAATGTAACCCATTTATATAACACACAGCTGTCACTTAGCTCGATTTCTGCAGTCCTGAAACAGCAGAAGAGAAGGCACAAGTCAAGAATATTTGACCCATTCAAAGTCTCAGGTACAACGGCGCCCTCTGATGGCGACTTCCGGCCAGGAAATCGCAATGATAACCTTTGGATATGTTATGATAACGAAAAACTACCTCTGACAAAAGAACAATGGGACAGCTGCACATTTGTGGAGAAAACACACTGGGGATACTATAACTGGCCAAAGTAAGCTGACAGTATTCTTGTTGTAGGTGGAAAGTATTCTATTTATATGTAGTTAATTGCCATATCTGACTTTAATTGGAGTGAAATTGTCTCCAAGGATTTCAGTTACCATTTAAAATCAAGAAAATTTTCCATTTCTGGATATCATGAAAGTAAACTTATATGATCTGTGAATACAGATATGTTTGTTAGAATCAATGCCCTACATGTGAGGGGGATAGCACCATGGAAACCACTTAATATTGTGTTGGTCACATTCCGCTTATGATCATATTTGATGCATTTTCACTGTTCTGTCAAACACACAGCAGAGCACTTGGTGACCTGTTACTGTAGTAGATACTATCTAAAAGCAGGTTTGTGTAGAAATGAAAAAGACAATTTGCTTGTTTTGTGAATGATATGATTCAGATGCCACTATCCTTTATTCATTGGTCAGAATATTATGTAAGGTGTACAGGGCTTGTTCTTGAATTCTTTCTGGGCTCAGTATATAAGTTCATGTCACATACCATTGGAAAGTTCCTTTGAGTAGGGAGGGGATCATCTTCCAGTGTTAGGTTGCTTCGTAGAATTGTGAGAAACGTTACTGTTATGTAGTAATTATACTTAAAATGTCCTTTTTTTCATTGATGTTCACACACTATAACAATGAAAGCATTTACTTCTGTGAGAGAATTCTTGTTGATGTCGTCATTGTAAGTTCACATCCAACAGTTTTGAAATAGATGGAACATTATGAAGAGTTTTGTGATGTTATTTGTTGAACTTTCAGAGAGTTATCATGTACCTTATTTTCCAGAGAGATGAAGACGTACGCTCCTACCTCAGAACAGCCAAAGTTAGAGCGGAAGTTAGAGGAACTACGTGAAGAGGAAGTTCCACTGTATGAGAACTTGATAAATCCTGAATTTGTGGATAAGTTTGTGGAATTCCTTGCATTGGAGGAACATAAAAGGAAAGACAAATTTCGAACAAAGACCATGACTTTATTTAAGGTACAGTGAAGTACTGTTGAGCTAAAACAGAATTCTCTTTGCTTCATAGAAAAGAAAACATAATAATCTTTTGAGTTTATACATAAATTCATTAAACCATAAAAAACACTTTTGTATATTAATTTTGTAAATGTAAATTTTGTAATTTAAATTTAGATGTGTAACGCTCACTCCTAAAGTATATTTCAAATATCAATCTGTGATTTTGTAATATATAAGCAGTATTTTTTCAGGGCTTACATCGTAACTTTGGTGACACTTTCCTTGAGCTGTTGAAGCCACATATAGAACGTCTTATCAATGACACAAGTCACGACACTCATGACAGTAGTCAGAGGTGTGCCATGGAGATGTTGTCAGGGATCTTACGCGGGTCAAAACACTGGTCCTATGAAAAGGTAGTCTAAATACTGGCCCTACTGTAGTGTACAATCTAAATACTGGCCCTACTGTAGTGTTCAATCTAAATACTGGCCCTACTGTAGTGTACAATCTAAATACTGGCCCTACTGTAGTGTACAATCTAAATACTGGCCCTACTGTAGTGTACAATCTAAATACTGGCCCTACTGTAGTGTACAATCTAAATACTGGCCCTACTGTAGTGTACAATCTAAATACTGGCCCTACTGTAGTGTACAATCTAAATACTGGCCCTACTGTAGTGTACAATCTAAATACTGGCCCTACTGTAGTGTGCAATCTAAATACTGGCCCTACTGTAGTGTACAATCTAAATACTGGCCCTACTGTAGTGTACAATCTAAATACTGGCCCTACTGTAGTGTACAATCTAAATACTGGCCCTACTGTAGTGTACAATCTAAATACTGGCCCTACTGTAGCAATCCTACTGTAGTGTACAATCTAAATACTGGCCCTACTGTAGTGTACAATCTAAATACTGGCCCTACTGTAGTGTACAATCTAAATACTGGCCCTACTGTAGTGTACAATCTAAATACTGGCCCTACTGTAGTGTACAATCTAAATACTGGCCCTACTGTAGTGTACAATCTAAATACTGGCCCTACTGTAAGGTACAATCTAAATACTGGCCCTACTGTAGTGTTCAATCTAAATACTGGCCCTACTGTAGGGTACAATCTAAATACTGGCCCTACTGTAGTGTTTAATTTAAATACTGGCCCTACTGTAGTGTACAATCTAAATACTGGCCCTACTGTAGTGTACAATCTAAATACTGGCCCTACTGTAGTGTACAATCTAAATACTGGCCCTACTGTAGGGTACAATCTAAATACTGGCCCTACTGTAGTGTACAATCTAAATACTGGCCCTACTGTAGGGTACAATCTAAATACTGGCCCTACTGTAGTGTACAATCTAAATACTGGCCCTACTGTAGTGTACAATCTAAATACTGGCCCTACTGTAGTGTACAATCTAAATACTGGCCCTACTGTAGGATACAATCTAAATACTGGCCCTACTGTAGTGTACAATCTAAATACTGGCCCTACTGTAGGGTACAATGTAAATACTGGCCCTACCTTAAGGTACAGCCAAACTCTGGCTCTATAATGTGGTAAGAAACAAGCATTAGGCTTCATTCTAGACACTAGCCTTACAATGATAAAACTGTAGTCCCTATGAAAACATACTGTCTATAACCTAACCCTGCAGTATTGAGAGTATTTCAATATATAAACTAATCTATGTTATTACATGAAGTACTGGCCAGTGAACAGACACCCGTTATGCATAACATAATGGACTGATATGATTGTCAGAATTCCTCTTTTTAGAAGTTGTGTAAATGTTTTCCAATTTTTGGACCCAGGTGGAATCCTTGTGGAAGTGGACAACACCTCTCCTGAAAAAGGCACTGAACAACATGACAGTGGAAACGTTGGATGACTGGGGCACATTCTTTACTGTCATATCGGTAGGTTATTTAGGGATTAATCTATTATACCATCAAGTACTCCCTAAGTGCTAAGTTTACCACACCGGCCTATAAACAGATTCCCTATCAAGAAAATATACTGTCATTTTTTCCAAATCAGAGCTAATTAGTATATTTTTACTTAACATATTTTCAAATGATACTAATCATGATAAAGAAATATTGACCTTACCTCGATATTTAATTCATGTATTCTTCATGTATGTCATATATTTTAACTCTATCCCTCTTTTGAATTTCTACCATAAGGACTCTCATTTCTCAAAATTGGCCCAAAAATCCCCTTTTTCCACAAGAGGTAGTATTGCCTAGATCCTAGATTAAGTCATGGGCTACTACTAACAGAGGGCAATCCTTCACCCTGAGAAAGTAAGGCTGTTTTTACATGACGTGGTTGATATGGTTCAGACACCAAGTAATCCATGATAAATATACGTTATCTGTATCAGATATGAGAATTATTATAGGATGAGCTAAATATACAGTTTCAAAATTTCCAGTTCAATAAATGTCCCAGTTGTAAAATGTGTTCCATTTTAACTTGTGGTGAATATAGTAATAGGAGTTTATTGCAGCCATATTACTATGTAGCTGGGGATAAGGTAAGGGAAGAATTAAAATGCTGAATATTGTATTGGTAAGTCAGTGAAGTTAGCAAGATTTTATGTGCTTTGATTAATTGCATCTGACTTCTCTTCCAGAAAAGGTGGAGGCGGGCTTATAGATGGACATACAGAGTAATTATGTTTTAAATATTATGCAGGTAGTATGTTGAGTTGTCGAAGGAAAAATAAATTTTTGACTTGGAATGTTTTTACTGTTTACAGGAAAGCCGGGATCCAAGAAAACTACATTGGTATTTTGAACTAGTCATGGAAAATCCTCTGAGTGGAGAAGGAGGCTCCTTCGGAGATTCTAGGTATGATGAGCAGTTTGTTAATAAATAAGCAGTAAGGCATTATATATTTGATTGGAAGATATGGAGGCCCAACAGCTTCATTGTTAGGTGTCAGAATACAGAACAGCTTCCCCCTGAAGGAGAATGCTGTAAATCACTTTTTTGTGTGAGATTTATTTTTACGTTAGTATGTGAGGAGTCGCTCCCGAATTCAAATCCTTCGAAATTATTTGTACAGAAATAATTCTTGATCACAGCCATGCTGATCTGGTAAACAATATCCAAGTCCATATATTTAACAGCCAATCATTCACAAATCTGAAGTCATTTCTAGATCATTGTTTGCAAAATCATGTATTTGCAAATATGTCAGAAGAGGTAAGTTTGCAAAATAGAATATTTGCAAAATCTAATCAATGGTTCAAAATTTGATTTGTCCTATTTCTCAAATGAAGTGATATATGCAACTAACTTCAGTTTTAAAACTCGATAACATATTTTCCTCATTTCTTGTTTATAGGATATAGAGATCGGTAGCAGGAAAAAAAAAATTTAAATTTCAACACTTTTATAAAGGAAAAGAGTTATTATAATATTTCAATATTCCATAGCAAGCCTAAACATGTGTGGATGTTTTTAATGTGTCATAGTTGAAACCATTGTTGTGATGTTGTTGTTTGGTAGTCGGCTGTATGGAATACAGAGTGCTCTGAGCCAGCAGGAGTGGAGGGTGTCAAAACTATTACACAGACTTCTGGACTACCTCATGCCTCATCTCTCTCATCCGTACAAAAATGTACGGGACAGAATTGGAAGGTAGGACTTTGAAATGTCAAGTTTCCTGTAAAACGATCAGGTCTATTAAGCTTACACATTTTTTCACAGCTATATTCCATAATACTGTATATCTATGATTGAGTTATATGCCACCTTACATATCTTAAGTAAATAAGGTAGTATACAACCTTAAGTATTCACTACTGTGGTAGCAAAGTCTTGTACATTGCAAGAAAAGAAATAATTTTCTTAACATTTATTTTTTGTCATGATTATGAAGAAAGATTGTGAATTTTTTAACACTTTCAGTATCCTGTCAAGTATATTCTTGTACGACTACTGTATGAGTCCTACAAGTGTGACATTGTCACCGAAGCGTGAAGATTTTATGAAAGTTGTCTTGCCACAAATTGACGGGCTGAAACACATTGTGCTGGATGAGGCAGCTACAGAGAGCATCAGTAAGTCACATTTATATTGAGATAAATAGAACTACAACTTTATTTTGATAGTTAAAGGTATTGATGAATCACTAAATAGCTAAGGATATTCATCACTTATTCTAAACCTTTAAGATATTGATGAATGAAATTGCTTGTTAAACATCAGATTTGAATTTTCATTGTACATTTCAGAGAATGGAGGTGGAGCTAACCATGTCCTGGGGAAAGGAGAGGAATTAATGGAGGTAGAGGAAAGTGAAGAGGATGAGGAGAGGAAAGCCTCTGTGAGGCTGTGTAAATCTGGTGAGTTAAACTTCAGACAACTCGAAGAAGGAGAGGAAAGGCTCTTAGAGACTGAAAGTCTGGTGTGTTCAAACGAAGATACCTCAAGCAAGGAGCATGAAGCTTCTTTGAAACTAAATATCATGATTAAAAACTTAGATAATCAAAGAAGGAGAGGAAAGCCTCGTAAATCTGGTGAGTTTAACCTCAGATAATATGGATGAAGAGAGAGAAGTCTGTCAGAGACAGTAGATCTGATGAGTCTTGACAGAATTATAATTTCCTTTATACAAGTACACTGTTGTTTTGGTTTATGCTGTTAGTTTTTTCCATATTTTCAGTGATGAAGTGGGTACTGAATAGCCTAAGTTTACTGATGAACTTCACATCAGCACCGCCAGAGTTCTTTCAACTTTTACCAATTGTAAGATTTTTATTATGTTTTATACGTTATAAACTTTAGTACATGTGTATTGTCATCATGTTGACATAAGGTTATATTTTAAATTCAGAATGGGATATCATTCATGAAAATAAAAGTTTTTAGAAATAAACTTGTATGCATAGTCAATACCAGAAACATATTGAATTTTAATTTTTTTCTATCGATGAATGGATTATTTTAATTGATGAAAATTAAAATATTTAATGCAAAATTTATTAATAAGGGGTTCATTCATGTTAGATGTAATACTAAACAGATATGACACTGGTGCAAATAATGAAGTTTGATTGACTTATTCAGATGTGTACCCTGGAGAGTGAGACTCGTGACGAGGAACTGAAGACGGATTGTACGCTAGCTCTATCTTATTTTGCCCAGTCTCTTGTCCAGCCAGACATGGTTCCTCTAGCACTAACCACCATCAGAGAGGTAAGATACATTAGTCAGTAGCCTTAGTGTAACCCTGGTAAATACTGCTTGGCTAGAAATAACTTCTCTTTAGTTCAATTGGTTGGGCATTACACTAGTAGGCCAAGGGTCCCGGGTTCGAATCCAAGCAGAGGCATTGAAATAAATAATGACCTCTGTTACATTAGGAAGTGTAAAGACTGCATATCTTTATCATTTACATGTAAAAACAACACTTTGGTTTTCAGCAATAATATCCGACAAATACAATGGCAGATAAATGATATCATCTCAAAAAGTTTGAATAGAATCTAAATATCAGGTCTGCTTTGTATAGATTCTCACCACTGACAATACCTTATATAGCATTTATACAGACTGTTGATATGGGTTCTAAAAAAATGTCTTCTAAAATGTGCCTTATGACTGTTTTGTAATCGATGTTGTCTCTCCTTTTGTTTTTGCGTCCATGTTATTATTGATTTAAATCCTCTTTTATTTTTCATTCCGTTTGTTTTAATTCTTGTTTTTGTCTTTTAACATCAGCTTTTCATTTTATTTGTATATCATTGAAGTGTATATAGTATTTTGTAATCTCATGAATATCTTCCTTCCTTTAACTTTGATGTTAATAATATACTCCCCATATGTGAAGTTGCCTCTTGTTTTTGTCATACATCACCATTTTATATCTATACTTGCTTGATAAGCCAGTGCCTAGAAATAAACCAATCTATGTATATTGCTGATCAGAAAAATTACTAAACCCATGCTTATTCCTTCTCCTATAAGTAGCCTATCCAAAAGACTTTTAGCCAATATAATGTGATCACAGTGGAGACCAGTATTTACACAGTAATAGTTCTTGATGTGTTGGGTTGTAAAGTGGTGATTTTTTCAGTCTTTTTCTGACTCTTTTATTATGTTGTTGTGCTTTGTCGGGTAACAATGTTACATTTTTATTCGGACTCTTGTAACCATGTTGTTGTGCTTTGTCAGGTAACAATGTTACAGTCTTGTTCTGACTCTTGTAATCATGCTGTTGTGCTTTGTCGGGTAACAATGTTACAGTCTTGTTCTGACTCTTGTAATCGTGCTGTTGTGCTTTGTCGGGTAACAATGTTTCAGTCTTGTTCTGACTCTTGTAATCATGCTGTTGTGCTTTGTCGGGTAACAATGTTACAGTCTTGTTCGGACTCTTGTAATCATGCTGTTGTGCTTTGTCGGGTAACAATGTTTCAGTCTTGTTCTGACTCTTGTAATCATGCTGTTGTGCTTTGTCGGGTAACAATGTTTCAGTCTTGTTCTGACTCTTATAATTGTGCTGTTGTGCTTTGTCGGGTAACAATGTTTCAGTCTTGTTCTGACTCTTATAATTGTGCTGTTGTGCTTTGTCGGATAACAATGTTACAGTCTTGTTCTGACTCTTGTAATCATGCTGTTGTGCTTTGTCGGGTAACAATGTTACAGTCTTGTTCTGACTCTTGTAATTCCACTGTTTTGGGTTTTCAGGTGACGGTGCTACAGTCTTGGCATGCCCGGGTAGCCATCCTCAGCTACGTTCAGGTAATGGTGTTCTGTAACTACTTCACCTTCCACACACCGGAGCACATCAATGAAATTGAGGATATTGTCCTCGGATTGATATGTGATGACCAGCTTGAGGTGAGTACTGAATCTTCATGGCCACATGGATGTGTCAAACCTGTATATAATTATGATGTGTCATACCTGTATATAATTATGATGTGTCAAACCTGTATATAATTCTGATGTGTCAAACTGGTATATAATTCTGATGTGTCAAACTGGTATATAATTATGATGTGTCAAACTTGTATATAATTCTGATGTGTCAAACCTGTATATAATTATGATGTGTCAAACTTGTATATAATTCTGATGTGGCAAACCTGTATATAATTCTGATGTGTCAAACTTGTATATAATTCTGATGTGTCAAACCTGTATATAATTCTGATGTGTCAAACCTGTATATAATTCTGATGTGTCAAATCTGTATATAATTCTGATGTGTCAAACCTGTATATAATTATGATGTGTCAAACTTGTATATAATTCTGATGTGTCAAACCTGTATATAATTCTGATGTGTCAAACCTGTATATAATTCTGATGTGTCAAACCAGTATATAATTCTGATGTGTCAAACCAGTATATAATTCTAATGTGTCAAACTGGTATATAATTCTAATGTGTCAAACTGGTATATAATTATGATGTGTCAAACCTGTATATAATTATGATATGTCAAACCTGTATATAATTATGATATGTCAAACTGGTATATATTTATATGTCAAACCTGTATATAATTCTGATGTGTCAAACCTGTATATAATTATGATATGTCAAACTGATATATAATTATGATATGTCAAACCTGTATATAATTATGATATGTCAAACCTGTATATAATTCTGATGTGTCAAACCTGTATATAATTATGATGTGTCAAACCTGTATATAATTCTGATGTGTCAAACCTGTATATAATTATGATATGTCAAACTGGTATATAATTATGATGTGTCAAACCTGTATATAATTATGATCTGTCAAACTGGTATATAATTCTGATGTGTCAAACCTGTATATAATTATGATATGTCAAACTGGTATATAATTCTGATGTGTCAAACCTGTATATAATTATGATCTGTCAAACCGGTATATAATTCTGATGTGTCAAACCAGTATATAATTCTGATGTGTCAAACCAGTATATAATTATGATGTGTCAAACCAGTATATAATTCTGATGTGTCAAACTGGTATATAATTATGATCTGTCAAACCTGTATATAATTCTGATGTGTCAAACCAGTATATAATTCTGATGTGTCAAACCAGTATATAATTCTGATGTGTCAAACCAGTATATAATTATAATGTGTCAAACCGGTATATAATTCTAATGTGTCAAACTGGTATATAATTATGATGTGTCAAACCTGTATATAATTATGATATGTCAAACCTGTATATAATTCTGATGTGTCAAACCTGTATATAATTCTGATGTGTCAAACTTGTATATAATTCTGATGTGTCAAACCTGTATATAATTATGATATGTCAAACTGGTATATAATTATAATATGTCAAACCTGTATATAATTATGATATGTCAAACCTGTATATAATTCTGATGTGTCAAACCTGTATATAATTCTGATGTGTCAAACCTGTATATAATTCTGATGTGTCAAACCTGTATATAATTCTGATGTGTCAAACCTGTATATAATTATGATGTGTCAAACTGGTATATAATTCTGATGTGTCAAACTGGTATATAATTCTGATGTGTCAAACCTGTATATAATTATGATCTGTCAAACCAGTATATAATTCTGATGTGTCAAACTGGTATATAATTCTGATGTGTCAAACCTGTATATAATTCTGATGTGTCAAACCTGTATATAATTATGATGTGTCAAACTTGTATATAATTATGATGTGTCAAACCTGTATATAATTATGATATGTCAAACTGGTATATAATTATAATATGTCAAACCTGTATATAATTATGATATGTCAAACTGGTATATAATTATGATCTGTCAAACCTGTATATAATTCTGATGTGTCAAACCTGTATATAATTATGATGTGTCAAACTGGTATATAATTCTGATGTGTCAAACCTGTATATAATTCTGATGTGTCAAACCTGTATATAATTATGATCTGTCAAACCAGTATATAATTCTGATGGTGAAAGAATAAAAGGAAAAACTGAAAGAAAAAAATATCTTCTAAGGGAGATCTATGAAAAACGCTTTGTGAGGCTTTGAAGAAAGTGGAAAACATTTCTTGATGGTTTAGAGAGAAGCTAGAAAAATATCAAACTAATATATTGGAGAAATCAAGAATCAGTGTTGATGCTAGGGGCTTTTTCCTGGAAAAACATCTGTTTTACTCCAGGACTCCAAGATAAATTACTTCTATTCATGGTTCAGTTTCCTGGTTATTACTTATGAGGAAATCATTTGTTTTATTTAAATCAAAATTAAATGATGTTTATGGTAGTGCTAAAGAAAACAACTTTGTTGACAATTTGGCAGAATGGGTTAGTCTTATATTTCTTGACTTCAATTCCTTAAGACTAAGTAGTAACATCAAGTTACGGTGGTAAACAGCAAATTTTTGACAGACCTTTCTGAACATATTGTACCTTAATTGATGGCATTTGAAAATATCAACAAATGCACTACATCTACATATACAAGTATGTAGTTAACATAGGTAATCAATTTCTATTTACATGTAATTACAGGTGAGAGAGATGGCCGCCATTACACTGAGTGGACTGTTACATTGTGGGTTCCTTCAGATGAATCAACACATGCTGGTGAGTGGTGCTAATCTTGACATTTTCACATAATGTAGGTCTTAATTTCTTAACACTATTGTTATTTTTTAGGTCAATATTCCATTTTTAGCTTTTCAATACCACCACAATTTTGTAGATTAATGAAACTTTGTTTATTTTGCCTTTAATTGTATTTCAGGATCACTTTGAACATCTCAGTAGAACAAAAGTGAAAAAGAGGAAGAAGTTGAAAGACAACCTTCCATTGGAAGCCCTGGTGAAGCGACATGCTGGAGTCCTGGGCCTGGGAGCTTTTGTACAAGCATATCCCTATGATGTGCCAAACTTCATGCCACAGATACTTATGGATCTCAGCAACCATGTCAACGATCCGCAGCCTATACAGGTAACACCCAAATGGTGCTTGTTAAGTGTTAGAGCATTGTGAGACCCTCAATGATAAACAAAAGTAATTAATACACTAGATAAGTTTATTCATGTTGAATTTATCAGTCTGTTTTGAAATAGAGTTAGTTATGCAAGGTTGTATTGACACACATTTAACTTATAATGCACAACAAACATGTGACCATTCTTATATAACATCTGAAACTTTGAACAAAGATATTGAATTGTCCCATTTTTCGCTGAAAATGTTTCATGCAGAATTAATTCTCTTTGAGTTTTGCATCGATCTTGTTGAAAATTGGTAGACATTATCATTATGGAATGAAGTTGTGCTTTATGACATGGTGTTGGACAGGTGTATATTGCCTTGTGACTTGGTGTTGGAAAGGTGAATATTGATTTGTGACTTGGTGTTGGACAGGTGTGTACTGCTTTTTGACTTGGTGTTGGACAGGTGTATATTGCTTTGTGACTTGGTGTTGGACAGGTGTGTACTGCTTTGTGACTTGGTGTTGGACAGGTGTAAATTGCTTTGTGACTTGGTGTTGGAAAGGTGAATATTGATTTGTGACTTGGTGTTGGACAGGTGTGTACTGCTTTGTAACTTGGTGTTGGACAGGTGTGTACTGCTTTGTGACTTGGTGTTGGACAGGTGCTTTGTGACTTGGTGTTGGACAGGTGTATATTGCTTTGTGACTTGGTGTTGGACAGGTGTGTACTGCTTTGTGACTTGGTGTTGGACAGGTGTATATTGCTTTGTGACTTGGTGTTGGAAAGGTGAATATTGATTTGTGACTTGGTGTTGGACAGGTGTGTACTGCTTTGTAACTTGGTGTTGGACAGGTGTGTACTGCTTTGTGACTTGGTGTTGGACAGGTGTGTACTGCTTTGTGACTTGGTGTTGGACAGGTGTGTACTGCTTTGTGACTTGGTGTTGGACAGGTGTAGGTGTGTACTTTTGTGACTTTGTGACTGTGTACTGTGTTGGTGTTGGACAGGTGTGACTACAGGTGTTTATTGTTTTGTGACTTTGTGACTTGGTGTTGGACAGGTGTGTACTGCTTTGTGACTTGGTGTTGGACAGGTGTGTACTGCTTTGTGACTTGGTGTTGGACAGGTGCTTTGTGACTTGGTGTTGGACAGGTGTATATTGTTTTGTGACTTGGTGTTGGACAGGTGTGTACTTTTTTGTGACTTGGTGTTGGACAGGTGTGTATTGTTCTGCCATGCATCAACAGATTTTGATTTTTTTATTTCCTGTTTGTCCACAGATGACGGTAAAGAAGACCCTGTCAGATTTTCGTAGGACACATCATGACAACTGGCATGACCACAAACAAATGTTCACAGATGATCAGCTGGTGATACTCACTGATCTCCTAGTCTCTCCCACTTACTATGCTTAAGGTGTGTGATAATTCCCCTTTTAACATTAGAATCAGATTACTGTAATTTTACTGATGTTATTCTACATTAGCTCCAAGATGAATTGGAAAAAAATCTACTGATTCAAGAGGAAAATGGAAAAGATAAAAATTTTTGATTCCTCTAATAAAAATAGATTTCATGAAAATTTTATATCCCATCAATACATTATTAGCTCACCTGGCCCAAAGGGCCAAGTGAGGTTATGCCATAGCACGACATCCGTTGTCCGTCCAACCTGTGTCCATCAACTTTTCATTTAAACAACTTCTCCTGAAATACCGAAAGGCGTAGAGTTATCATATTTGGCTGGAAGGTTCCTTTGATGAAACCCTTTGCAAAAAGAAATGACCTTGGCCCATATTCAAGGTCACAGAGGTCAAATGTGTTAAAACCTTTAAACGACTTCTTCCAAAACACCAGAAGGCCTAGAATCACTACATTTGGCTGGAAGGTTCCTTTGATGAAGCCCAACAATGTTTGCGAAAAGAAATGACTTGACCCATAGTCAAGGTCACAGGGGTCAAATGTGTTAAACGTGGAACATATACACAGATATAGTACTGTTTGTCATAAAGATCCAGGTGAGCGATACAGGCCCCCTGGGCCTCTTGTTACAGTTTGATGTGAAATATGATGAAAATTAATGTTTTGTTCCATTATGTTGTAATACTCAATATTTTGATTACAGAATGTCCAGTCATTATCAAGGACCAATTGGATGTCAGAGTTCATAGTTTGGTCAGAGCTCATAGGACACAATATAGTCCCTGAATCACAGCTGGCTTTAACAGTGTTGACTCTTCCAATTTGATGTAGAGAAAATTATGGGAACTTCTTTGGGAGGCTTATCAAGGGTCATGACCTAAATCTTTCTTTAAAGGAATATGGCCATGGTCAAAGGTCATTAATTGATACCTAGAAAAAGAAAAGTTCCAAATGCTTGCACCTGAGTGACCTATAAAATTTCTGATCTATTTGATTGATGTTTGAAGGAAAATGAGTGGAGAGAGATGGACTGAATTATGGGCTCTTCACAGTTGTTGTACTGATGAAAGACTGAATGTAGAAGAGCTGAAAACTTCTTTCGTTCGATTTTTAATCGATCCTATTGTGATGATTTTCCCCATTCCTTAATGAGGTTCAAGCATATATGAACCATAACAAGCTAAAACATCTAGATTTAAAATGTGTGAAGCATGTGTTGAAAATTGTTGAAGTTTTGTGAATTTTAGAAAATAAGTTGGAGCATTGCATGAAAGATGGATGTGTGTTAATTAATATCCTTGTTTAACAGTCATGGGGAAGTAACCCTTGTTATCATGATAATGAACATTGGAAAGAAGCCTGGTAAAGCAAGATAAATTCTTTCTGTTTATGTTAAGGGGAGGTAACCCACTTTCATAATACTGACTGGTATATCTCTTTAAGCAATGTTAGTCATATGCTTTTGGTATATGATTAGGTCTTGGTACTCATGAAATATTTAAAATCAAAAAAGTGTTTATTTACTTTCACTGAAATAATTTGATTAGAAATATTAACAAAGTACATTTTTATAATTAGAATATTGGAATAATTTTTGTAATCAGCAGTTGATATAAAGTGTATGTATCTACATTATATAATTTAGAATAGAATTATAAGAAATATAAGTACTGATTAGGTCTAACATGATGTTACCACCTAAATACATATTGAATTCTTTAAAAGGTACGGGGAAATTTTCTGTTGTGTTTTAGTTTGGTAATGATCATTTCTGTTAAATGGAAACAAATTAGAGCAATTTGTTCAAAGTAATAAGTTTTGTCTTTAAATGTCCTTATTTGCATGACATGTGACACAAATAGACTGCAGTTGCATGAATTAATGATGGCTGGGTTTTTTTTTTCAATTATGTTAACAGAAAACAAAAATGGTATTGTTTTGTGTCTTCAGATCAATGCTTAAAATATTTGTTTTATTTGTCATGTTATGTTGAAACAAATTATTTCATTCTTTACTTTGATAATGATATAAGGTGATATATATTCATCAATGTAAGACATGCTCAAGAGGTTTTCATCCACAACATTTTATCTGACAATTGGCCTGCGGGATACTATTGAAATCTGGGTGAGTGATATAGGGCGAGCTAATTGCAATTTCAATAGAATAACAACGGTTTCAGATAGGGCTTTTACCAGGCCTCGGCTCGTTATCACATTATACAGTATTGTAGTTGATGAAGCTGATTAAAGTTTTATCTTGGTCTGTGCTCTTATTCCATAAACATGATCATACTTAGCAGTGTATGGAATAGGAGCACAGATCAGGTTATGATTTTAATCAAATTCGTTGTTAGTGAAATATAAACCACATCTTAATTTTCTTTTAACCTTTTATTAAAGAAGGTGCTATTAATATAAGGAAGTTGTTTACATCACATGCAAAGATTTCGATTTACTTCTTTCATAAAGTAATGTGTTCATATTTTCAAAATATGACCGGTGCTTTTTTCATTAAATTAAGTATAAATATTTTATGCTATATATAGACAATGAAATCAAATGAGAAATATATTTGCAAAACACATGATATGATAGTGCCAGTTCATATATGTTTTAAATCTGGAATTTATTAAGCACTGTTTGGGGAAGAACTATGTTAAAGATATCAGGGTAGTTCTGTTATCCTTAGTACAACTTAAGATATGTTATTCAGTTAATCACAATGTTGTGTACTTTTGTTTGTTATATTATTTATTTTTTCTTCTCTTCATTTATTCTTTATTTTAATACAATAGTAAGTTGATATTTTACTTTTTAAATATAATTTTTATCAATTTAAGGTAATTCAGGGGGCGACACCTTCAGGTTAAAAGATTGAAATTAATGTGTAATGGTCATAGTGAAGATACTGGCAGGTTTTCCAGATGAAAAAGTTGTCGTTTTGATTTTATGGAAGAAAATTTTCTAATGTATTCAGGTTTTATACTTGCTGTAGTGACAATGGGCAAAATGTAAATTCAAATACGAAAATTACAGCTATCTTTGTCAAATTCTATTTCTATTTATGTTGTTTTTTTTTTATTGACTTCGGTTTTTTTTTCTTCGCAAAAAGCAATCCATTATTGGTATGTTAGAAGATTAGTTCACCATTTGCCTTATTAGTTTAAAATTATCCAGTTCAGAAATCAAGCTTTCCTGATCAAAGTTTCCTTATTGCATTTTTAATTAAAATTTCTTTTGATACAATTGTCTTAGGTAAAAGTCTTTGATGGGAAATTGTCTGAACCATATATGTTTAATTCAATAAACAGTTTTTAGTTCCAAAAAGTATAAAAATTTGAGGAAATATTACTTTACTGTACAAAATAAGGGTTTTTTGTTTCCATGGTGTCTGAAATGTTCTTTTGTATAAATGTAAACATAAGTACAAAAGCTCTATGGTGTCAAATTAATCTGATATTGTGTCAAATATGATCCCTGTAAAATATTATGTAAATAAATCAATTTCAAATTTGGATTGCATTGGTGTTTTTTTGTTTATTAGCATTCATGTCTCTGAGCTTACATTTTGAACCCACTTGAGTTACTTGGACAGTATGGCATCCATCATCCATCTGTCTGTCAACTGTATAAGTGAATTTTGATGAATCTTCATACCATAATATCAATTACCAAAGATCATAATCTCAGATTCTTGGGATAATTTTTTCTTTCGGTCTTTTGTCATGGAGTTATGTTGAAAAAAATTATAGATTTATCTATGAATTTACTTGTACTGACTAAAAAACACTTTTATTTTTTCTTCAATTTTGAATGACCTCATTGACTGTTAAATGCACAATTTAGTCCAATCACCAAAGATTACATAATTTATAGGATTTATAGATGATGACCACTGAGGCTGGTTGTTAATCTTACGAAACTGGGGAGAAATTTATCCTATGCCCAGATAGCAACATTTTTATAGAATTTACCAGTGCAGTGGCCTCATTCGCCTCCCCTATCAGGAATTTCCCTTTAGTAAATTGTCTTGTGTTAGAGATGCTACAGTGGGAAAAATGTATCCTTGATTCTTCCTTCCAATTACATATAAAAAAAAAACCACAAATGACACTGCCATTCAAAAGGAATTTCTCAAGTGCTTAGTGGTCATTGTAAAGAGAACTGCTCTTTAGCAATGTCATGGCATCACTTTTACAAACTTTTTTTTTTTGAAAGAGGGGAGGGGTATTTACAGGAAGCTTAGATCAAATGTCCTGGTTTATCATGGTTATATCCAAAGGCAATACAGGTTAACTCAAGATCTTGAAAGCAATCAACATGACAGTGCTTAAGGTAGACATATTTAAGTTTTCAGCTGGGGTCAGTGATTTCTGGACCTATTGAAGGTCTGTCAAACATTTGGGAAAATTCATAGTTTGTGAAATAAGTAAATTTTTTCGATCTGATTGATTGTCGAGTTCACATATTATTAGTAAACTATAAATTGTCCAGCCAGTGTGGAGAAGTTCTATAGAGGGTCACGATCTGGGCGTATCAAGTTCCAACAATTCCTGTATACAACATTGCTGACTTGTACGATGCGTTACAAGTTACACTTTTCTCTGTATACAACATTGCTGACTTGTACGATGCGTTACAAGTTACACTTTTCTCTGTATACAACATTGCTGACTTGTACGATGCGTTACAAGTTACACTTTTCTCTGTATACAACATTGCTGACTTGTACGATGCGTTACAACTTACACTTTTCTCTGTATACAACATTGCTGACTTGTATGATGCCTTACAAGTTACACTTTTCTCTGTATACAACATTGCTGACTTGTATGATGCGTTACAAGTTACACTTTTCTCTGTATACAACATTGCTGACTTGTATGATGCGTTACAAGTTACACTTTTCTCTGTATACAACATTGCTGACTTGTACGTTACAAGTTACACTTTTCTCTGTATACAACATTGCTGACTTGTACGATGCGTTGCAAGTTACACTTTTCTCTGTATACAACATTGCTGACTTGTACGATGCGTTACAAGTTACACTTTTCTCTGTATACAACATTGCTGACTTGTACGATGCTCTGTTACAACATTGCTGACTACGATGCGTTTTCTCTGTATACAACATTGCTGACTTGTACGATGCGTTACAAGTTACACTTTACAATTGTGTTCTCTGTGTGATAATGATTATTGATTTATCTTCAAAATTAAAATATGCTTTTATACAATCAGTAGTTATAAGAAAAGGCGGCGATACCCAAGAAACTATAACAAAGATGTTCTGTTTCTTGATACAAATGCTTTAGATGTGCTATCTCAGTCCATTCTTATCTAATTCCGCATGGTGTCAGAGACCTATTCCAGTTTTGACTGAATTTTGTGTTTCTGATATCCAGCGAGTTTGCGTAGAACCTTCCGTCGTCTGGTTTCGCGGTTTAACCTTCTGTTCATTAGAAGCATGTCAGTTCTGGTCTTGTTCTAGGCTGTCGGGGGAAGAGGCCCCTTTCTCAGTACTTGGGATCTTCATCAGATTGCCGTTTTTTCGATAAATCAAACCACTGATTGAGGTGTTTCCATCCCAGTTGTCCACTACGGTGGTCAGAAAGTTCAGCTTACATTGTTCGTATCCCTTTCTGGCCCGGATGAGCTCCTCGGGGCATTTTTGTGAACCCAGTCCGTCAGAGTCACCAATCACTGTTAGTGGCGCCACCTTGCAACTTGAAGTCTTCTTGAATACGTCCATTGTCATAGTCACAAGTTTTAGGAATGTGTTCAGAATCAATGTCGCCGTATCCAGGATAAAATGACATCATTGTGGTTGTGACGTCACAATTCGAAATCTTGCTACCACGATAACATGATACAAATAGAGGTGTTGCTGATGACCGCGAGGTTATTTTTTCACCCCCCCCCCCCCTCAAAAAAAAAATAAATAAATAAAACAGGCGCTTTGTGATTTTTGTCTTTAAATGCTATCGGAGTAAAGTTGTAAATAATTATTATGTGTACTTATAGTAATTTTGAATCTCACAAAGATGGGTCAAAATTCTTTTTTCTCCAAGCAATCAAATGATATAATTTACCGTCAATGGAGAAAATGACGAAATGACGAAAAGAGGGGAGAAGGAAAGCGACGAAATAAAAGGAGGCTAAAGAGTTTTGAATTCTACTTTGTTTAATGGACCGGGTGCCAACTATGCTGCGCACGCGCACAATACAAGCTCTTGCAATGTATATAGAAACACGCCGCCGTGAAATGACCTTAGCCGTTGATAGGACGTTAAGTGATATAAAAAAAATTACCTTAGAAGTCACATTTCAACGACTTCGTCACCATAACCGATAAGCTAAGGGTCGTGTTTGCAGGTTTGACCCGTATACAAAAGTAAAGGAGTCCAAGTAATGACTTCTGCTGATGCGCAAACAGGTCAAGAATTACCTCACTCGGTTACAGCGTCATCCTCGATACTGCAGGGGTTACAATCATTTTCACCCTTTGTGCCCCTGGAATATGTCCAGTCCTTTGCATTGAGATTTGAAGGAATTGAAAGCTTTTTGCTTAGATTATTAATAAATTTGACTTTAATCTGTCTTATAGTATGTACACCTTTATTATGGTACGGCGAAATTTTGTCCAGTAAGCATCGCTAAAACTACGTTTGGCTTTCTTATGTACACGTTTACGTTACTGAATTCCGTATTTCGTTTGACATCCAAACAGTTGAGAGACCGGTCAATTTTTATATTACCTCTTCCGTTAATTTTTTCATAACTCATGTATGCCATCTCTCAATATACATTGATATCTTAGAATTTCCTCGGTTGCTTTAAAACATAGCTGTATATCCGATGTATTAAATGCTTTCGTTTAACTATTTAAATGATAAGTTAATCTTCGATAATAATTTTAAACGACGCAGATATTGTTTGTCCAGTTGTATACAAGATTCCAGACCATCTGTACTAAACATCTAGGTTATCGTATGTTTACTTCTGATAACAACGTTTTAATAGGAAATTTCAGCAAGTTGATATCAGTCTGGCTGATATCACGCCTCTCATTCTTATTTCTTTTTACTTTGCCACTTCCGCTTATTGCTGCCTGATTTGAACAATAATAATTCTGACTTTGAAGAAACGCGGCTTTTTTTTCTTACGAAACAATTTAGAATCCCACTCAAATTTCCGGACGGTGCCGTTTCTACATTGGTTTATTAGTGATACCACTGCCGCTGTCGTCTGCGGACATAAACAGCTGAGCATAGCAACTAGGAGTAATGATGGTAAAGGCAAGAACTTGCGGCAAACACTGTCGAGTTGGATGAGTTTAAAAACATGTGATAAAAAGACTATCATATGGCCATTTTTATGTTAGAGCCCATATCAGCCCTCGAGTCCAAATATCAGTCATCGGGCCTTCGCCGGGAGTCATGACTCGGGCTATGATATCAAAATGGTAGTTTAATAATCTCTTATTGCCATTAACAATTTAAGACCATTGGAAGGCTTGTCAAAATTTACTAGTTAAGTTAAATCGGAACTAATTGTATTGTAAATTTTAATATGCTGTAAAAAATACATCTGTTACTTAAACACTAAACAATTCTGTTACTTAATTTATTATTCTTTCTCGCTAATATATATCTATTTGAAAAATTATCGGATATATTTAAGAAAAATATACTTCATAACATAAAGATATAGAAAATATACATGCATGAATATAAATCAGAAAAACATTTTCTTTGGCATAATTAACTTATGTAGAAGGGAAACTGTTTTCACAAGTGTTTCATTGCTGTGGATAACTTATTTATTTCCATTTTAAAAAATCAGCGTTTGTTTAGTTATTTTATATAGTGTTTTACTTTCTGTGTATTGACAAAGAAATTATCTGAAATGTACAAGATATGTTTCTTTACAACACTCACACTGCAAACTGTGGAGTTTATGTGTGAAACCATCATCAGATGCTGTGTCTTCACCTAATCCAAGGTTACAATGAATAGAAATCCAAAGTGCTATTGGGATATTTTGGTATATACCGTCTTCTTAACGCAGCTGTTGAGAAGACAAATGTCTGGAATAGATTTTGTTAATAATATTTTGTAGAGGAAACGAGTCAGATAAAATTTTGATGAGTTTTGAACATACTCCTTCCGTTATTGAATAAAATAATGGACAAGGTGTTAATGTAATGTAAAAATGAAGATATCTCAATCTGTTCTGTTATTTTGTTTGTGCACTAACAGGTATTTCCACTTTAGAGAGGCTACGGCTTTGTCTTACGTTAAAATTCAGCAATCAGGACCTTTTCTTAAAGGCCTTAAAAAAACTCAAGATTTACATTAGCACAATTGGAAGAGCTCAGAATTAGTATATACTTAATTTAAAGGTTAAAGCATAACGCTCATTATTTATTTATTAACATTATTGCTTAAAAATGTGTGTATATTTTATGAAATGCCAGCACTTATCTTAAAATTCATTTTAAAAAATCGACTTTATAACAGACGATTTTTAATTGAATCATTATAAAACCAAAATATTTCTTATACAAAAATAATACTTATTACCAAGGGAAATAACTCTTGCAACTTTGGAATACTTGATTATAGAAAAAAATACCTGTGAAAAATTAATCATAAGTAACCGAAACATACGGCCGGAAATCTCGGAATAAGAACCTAGAATTCATTATCTATGGGTAGATCGGCCAGATGTGATGACTAAGCATCTGGTGCACACTGTATTTCGTGTAAATGAGATCACCTAGCTCATCTCCGAAAATAGCACTGTTGTGAAAGTCTCGTTTACGTTGACGTGAAATCGGACAGACGAGTACAAAGACACTTTTTGAAATATTATGAGTTCTTGATGTCATCGTATAACCTATAATGACGTAGATAACATGAACTGTCATCAACCGCTGGACTTACACAAGCCATTCTAATGATAAGGTCGCCGAAATCCGTACACAAATCTCTGGGTTTTCTTTTGTTGTTTTTTTATGGGAAACCGTTTCTTATGGACGACACAATAGCAGCTGACTCCGGGGATGTTTTTTGTACCCCTTCAAACCAGCTTTTCTGCGTGTAATTTTCATAACAGTTTTCAGGTTGTTTTACACCTACTACTTGCATGCCGAACGAATGTTGATTTCAGCATTTCATGGAAGAGTTCGGCAATAAAATGGTCCCACATTCCCTGGAGCCTCAATGTATTTTTCGAAATGGTCCGCGATACGCCTTACTGCCTTACAGAAAAGACAATACAGAAAATATCTTGAATGTTTTAATGTTCTTACTGTGATAATTTAGAATTGTACATTAAAGTTATAGTATTCTAACGGTTAGATAAATTTCTAACATATTTCCTTTTTATTTTGTCTCGGCCAAGTAATGAATTAATAACTCCTCACCCAAACTCCGACGGGTCTATAACAACACAGTTAAACATTTTGAAGATGTTCTGAAATTCAATTTAGGTAAAATTTAAACATTGCTAATATCTTACCTGTTTGCGAGTGGTGCTTGATGATTTTGTTCAACACTGATTCAGTTGTCCTAGGCCTCCTTTGTAAGTCCTAGTCTGTCGACCAGTAAACTGGACATACTTACAAATGCTGTCCTCCCCCAACGTTAACTGTTCACACACCAAGTTCCTATGTTCATTGGAACAGTAGAAACTAGGTAAGGTGGCTACAATTTTTCATTCAAACCGACATTCAAAATATCTTTACCGCTTGAAAAAAGGAAATCTCCTCTAGGTGGGGTAAAATTTCTCAACTTTTTTGGGCCACGCAGATTAAAAAAATGATTTTGTTTCTTTCATGTTAATAATTGTACACGTTTCTCCTAAGAAGACGACGGGATGAAGAGGTCCTCGTGTTTCTATTTAAGTCCAAGATAAAGGTCTGGAGACTAGTTTGTTAACAGTGTTTTGTAAAGTAAACAAGTCAGATAAAATTTTGATGAGTTTTGAAAATACTCATTCAGTAATTGAATAAAATCATGGGCAAGGCGTTGATTCAATGGTGCAGAAATGAAGATATTTAAGTCCGTGCTGCTATTTTGTTTGTACACTATCAGATATTTGACATCAGAGAGAGATTTACAGCTTTTTCCCCACATTAAAAATCGACATTTAGGACCTTTTTTCTGTAATAAAAGTCCTTAAAAAAATTAAAAGATTTAGACTAGCACCCTGGAAAATGCTTACAGTTGGTATATAGTTCATTTAAAAATAAAAACGTAATGCTCATCATTAATTTATTAACACTATTCGTTCGAAACGCAATATAAATATTTTAAAAACGAGCAGTCATCTAAAAAAATTAATGTTAAACAATCCATTTGATAACAAACGATTTATAGATGACTTAATATAAACGAAAATACCTTCTCGTACAACAATATACTTATTACCAAGGGAAATTAACTCTTGAAACTTTGGAACAGTAGATAATAGAAACCAAGATATGTGAAGAGTGCAACATAGATAACCGAGATGTTGTAATTTATATGTTCACTATTATCAGTAAAAAAAACCACGACTTTCGGACGTACGACTCACCACATCGATTGTTGATTATGAAAAGTTTGTTCCTGAAAATGCTTTCCCAACTTTTCACTGTTCGTATTATAAATTCTAGAATTACTCCAGGTATTCTCATGGTTTTATCTTTGATTTTTAATAAAACTCCGTCGCCTCCTAGGCTTCAAAATTCAGGCCCTTAGCATCACTGACGAGTTGTAGAAGAACGAACACGTGTACACTTTAAAAATTTAATTCCTATGTGGCCTGGTGAACTATTTCACCATACAGTAATTGTAGTTATTTACATTTGTCGTGTTGTTTTAATTGTATCATTTCTTACATAATATAAAGTACAGGTCAAGTCAGTGTAATGGTTTTAATGCAGAGTATGACAGACAGACCTGGGCGTGTTCTATGTATGTATGATCATGTGATCTACCTGTCTTTGTGGTGTCCAGTTGAGCATGTACTGTCCATGTCCTGTGTGCGTGATATATATGTATGTAATGTCCAGAACTAACTTGACCTTGACATGACCTTTTAGTTGACCTTGTGTTTTATTGGTTGATACTTTTTGGAGGGAAAGTTCCTTTGTTAAAGCTTTCCACCCAGGGAGAAAGATAGAGACCTTTGAAAGGACCAGTTGTGTTTTTTTGAGGTCTTGGTACTTTTACCTATTGGCAAAGACAAGCATTCCAAAATGTAACGGATCAGATATATGTTTATAAGATTGGACTGGTCCAATGTAAAGGATCAGCATATGACCCTGAACCCATAGTTGGGGTAGGCAGTATTTTTATCAATTGTTTTAATTCTAATTATATGTTCATGAAGTATAAATGCATCCTTGGGCGATTCATATTTGTCTCAACAATAGTCTGTTTTCTTTCATTTAAAAGAGCTGATTTGGATCATATTCATTATCTAGTTGTAAAAGAGGATTATCTCCCCTTGTTTATACTTTATAGTATTGGAATGTATAGTAACTAGGAGGAGTTCAATACTTAATAGTAATCTTTTTTTCACCTTTCTAAGTCATCATGATTGATCATGTATGTACATGTATAAAGAGAGGTGTAGACATAAGTGAATGAGGTAGATGATAGAGATTTTTGCTTGGGTTTTTATATGATTAATATAATTGTAACTTGTGTTACTTACGGTAGACATGTTATTTTGTATTTGTAGGGTTTTCAATTCAATTCACCTTTCTTAGACAAGATATCTGATACTCATGATTGTGTGCTGTTATGAAACCATGAATCACCAGAGTTAATAAACGATCAAACCCGACCCGGTTGTATATTGTCTTTGATACAGAGTGCTTCAAGAATTTGCAACCCGGTTACACTTATTTAATTGGAATCTTTTGAAAACCATATATATATATATGTATATATAATTTAGGCTATCACAGACTTTTGTATAGAGAGCATCAGCATCAGGTTTTTGAGTCGTCATCCATATATAGTTAGTATTTCATATTTTGTGAATTCTTTAGTAAATAATGGAGAGTCGAAACAAGACCGTCTTCCAGGAATGGCGATCCTATGGACTTGTCACAGGCATAAGGACTTGGCTAACCTACAGATTATATATATTGTGGTGACACACCCATGACCTACATATCTCCAGACTTCAACTTACTATGAAACATTTTCCCTCCAATTTCAACTTACAAAACCACAACCACAGTGTATAGACAGAGGCGACTGTATCTGTGTAACTATTCATTTTTTATGTAAACTGATGACTCCTCACCAAATGCAAAATAAGTCTTTTTTCCCCACAAAATAAGGTTTATTTTCATGAAGATTCCAGAAAAAAGTCAAAATGTATTTGAAAGAAATCAACATTTAATAACTGTTTTTAGAATACCACCATACCATTAGGTATGCGTTTCATCTTTTTCTTATAAAACAGTGTTGAAATGAAACAATGAAAAATAATGAAAAATCAAACACTCTGCCCTTTAACAGGATACACAAAATGTTGATCCTCGTACAGACAGCGGCCCAACATTGAAACCCTTTGGTAAATCATTAGGAATACAAGTTTACTGAAGACAAATTAAAAGATTTTGGAATTACAGAGTCTCTTATACCACTGACTATTCTGAACCGAAATCTATGGCAGATTTCCAACAATTGGATTAATACCAAATCTTGATCTTTGCTGCCACTCTCTGCTGGACATCAGAAAGAGAAAATTTATTTCAATTTAATTGTTAAATTTTAAATTAAAGATCACTTCACTCCCTGTTGGATGTTGTTGGACCATCATGTATTAAAGTGTTTACAAAACGGGATGTAGATCTAGATCTGGTTTTTATTTCATTGCATTTCCAAAAGAAGTTTAACAAAACACTTCTGACTGACAACGCAAGCTGGGACAACAAAAAACATTCACACTCTGACACTAGCTATGAGACTTTTTATCCTGAAAAAGACAGGATCTAAATTTGGTCTGAAACAAAACGATAACTTTGAAAAAAAAAAAATGATGCATTTTAATGCTATTTTAATTTACAATGTTTGTTTCTGTAAAGCCATATAGGCCTTTTCTTCTGAAGATTTCTACCATTAGATTTGTCTTACTACATGTATTATAAATACCATATAAACAAGTGACACTGAAAGAGTATATCTTAAGTGGAATGCAAGAGCAGGCAAACAACATGAGATTTCATTGACATTCAGTCACCATATGTAAACCTATTTATTTACATGTACATGTTCATTATTGTCAAAATATATTTTAACATACTCAGATCTCAAAACTCAACAGATCATTTGATATTTACAATAAATGCTGGTCAATTTTGCATTCTTGCAATGATTGTATATACAAAACATCTGTTATACAGCTGAATTACATTTACATGTAATAAAGCTGATGTGCGATATAACAGTGAATGACAAGTGATGAAAATTTCACAAATATACAACAATGATAGTGTGCACATTGCAATGATTTGAGTATTGGCTTTGGCTTTCAATTACCTACATCATAAATCTAACACAATGGTAAGTGTTTTGTGCACATGCAAGAAAGTTTTGTTGATACATGAAACTCACATAACTTTCCAAAAATCTCTGTTCCTGTTTATATTCTTATAAAGGCATGACTTCTGTTTAAACACAAAGTCAATCTAAAAGTGTACTAGACAAACGTTTTACTTGTAGTTAATACAGTTTTCGACATTGATATCCTCGTAAAAAGTAAAAAATTGTCTTTGAATTACATCATGAAAATCAATTCATAGGCCTCCCATATGTCGAACATTGTATTAAAGGCTAACATTTTATCTCTTAATATATTACTAACGGTGTCTGTTTTTGAAATATATACATGTTATTGACAAGGAAACATAACCAGTGAAAAACAGATTTTACAGCACCCGTTTATCCAAAAGACAGCAGATTACAGTAAGACATGGTTAAAAAAAAAAGCTACATTTAAGGCAGATCTGCCTTTTAGTATCCCCCATGAAAAAACAGTCTCTCCTTCCTTTTCCAATTTCACAGACACGTACAAGTATAAGAAGTGACACAACAATAATTTACCCAAGGCTGAATTCCATCAGACAAAATTCAAATCTTGGCCTACAGTGAACAGGTCTCAGTCAACAATTTGTACATTCAACATAAAGCAAAAAATGATTCCATCACTTCCCTCCAGTTTCCAATTCACCAAAAGTTGCAACTGAAATAAAAATTGAATATAAAATGAGATAATAAATACATGATATTGAAAAACAATTAATAAAATCCATTTTTTCTTTTAAAAATAAAAAATTATCAGGCATCACCAATATACTCAATTAGTCACTACATATATGTAATAATTTTGATATGTTTCACTTTAGTTGTGCTGTAGTAGTACACTTTATTTGTATATTAAAAATATTTGGCTATAAACGTTGCTTTAACAAAACCCTATAAAATCACACACATTTCCGACCTGTTTCAATGACATTACCTTTCTGATTTTGATATGAACTTAAAACAAGAGATCCCAGAGGGATCTTGGCGCCCACCATTTGAGGATCTGTTTTCAGTTCTTGAAGATTTGTTTATTTATTTTTTTTTGTTACAGGTGTTGTAAATGTTCATGAACTGGTCTTCATTGAATGTACTCAATGATGGCACAAGCTATTTTTATTAAGCACCTATTAGCAAATATCATTTGAGAAAGATCCCAAAGTATTATTACATAGCAGTCAGTTACAGGTGGATAATGGACATGGTCTTGAATCAATATGATAGAATATCGAAGAAAATATGCTTGTGCTGTATTACTGTCGACATCCAAGAAGGCTGCCTGTGGGCCACCTTGATTTCAAATCAGTCCAAAAAAGGTACAATGCACAACTAGGGACCAAGGGAAACCAATACCTATGAATATCAGAAGGATCCATCCAGTACTTCCTCAGATATAGCAGTAACAAACTTTTACTTCCAAAATCCAAGATGGCTGCCTCAGCCATCTTGATTTCAAATCAGTCCAAAAAAGGTACAATGCACAACTTGGAACCAAAGGGAACCTGCATATGAAATTTGAGAAAGATCCATCCAGTACTTTCCAAGAAATAGCAGTAACAAACTTTTACTTCCAAAATCCAAGATGGCCACCTGTCAGCCATCTTGAATTCGAATCAGTCCAAAAAAAGTACAATGCACAACTAGGGACCAAGGGGAAACTGCATATAAAATTTGAGAAAGATCCATCCAGTACTTTCCAAGAAATAGCGGTAACAAACTTTTACTTCCAAAATCCAAAATGGCCACCTGTCAGCCATCTTGATTTCGGATCAGTTCAAAAAGGTACAATGCACAACTTGGAACCAAAGGGAACCTGCATATGAAATTTGAGAAAGATCCATCCACTACTTTCCAAGAAATAGCAGTAACAAACTTTTACTTCCAAAATCCAAGATGGCCACCTGTCAGCCATCTTGATTTCGGATCAGTTCAAAAAGGTACAATGCACAACTTGGAACCAAAGGGAACCTGCATATGAAATTTGAGAAAGATCCATCCACTACTTTCCAAGAAATAGTGGTAACAATCTTTTATATCCAAAATCCAAGATGGCCACCTGTCGGCCATCTTGAATTCGAATCAGTCCAAAAAAAGTACAATGCACAACTAGGGACCACGGGGAAACTGCATATGAAATTTGAGAAAGATCCATCCAGTACTTTCCAAGAAATAGCTGTAACAAACTTTTACTTCCAAAATCCAAGATGGCAACCTGTCGGCCATCTTGAATCCGAATCAGTCTAAAAAAGGTACAATGCACAACTTGGAACCAAAGGGAACCTGCATATGAAATTTGAGAAAGATCCATCCCGTACTTTCCAAGAAATAGCAGTAACAAACTTTTACATCCAAAATCCAAGATGGCAACCTGTCGGCCATCTTGAATTCGAATCAGTCTTAAAAAGGTACAATGCACAACTAGGGACCAAGGGGAATCTGCATATGAAATTTGAGAAAGATCCATCCAGTACTTTCCAAGAAATAGCGGTAACAAACTTTTACATCCAAAATCCAAGATGGCCACCTGTCGGCCATCTTGACTTTGAATCAGTCCAAAAAAGGTACAATGCACAACTAGGGACCAAGGGGAACCTGCATACGAAATTTGAGAAAGATCCATCCAGTACTTTCCAAGAAATAGCGGTAACAAACTTTTACATCCAAAATCCAAGATGGCCACCTGTCGGCCATCTTGAATTTGAATCAGTCCAAAAAAGGTACAATGCACAACTAGGGACCAAGGGGAAACTGCATATGAAATTTGAGGAAGATCCATCCAGTACTTTTCCAGAAATAGCGGTAACAAGAATTGTTTACGGACGGACGACGGACCACAGACGCAGGGCGATTTGAATACCCCACCATCTGATGATGGTGGGCTAAAAAAGAAGTAAATAAGGTATACTGTACATACATTAGGATAAACTGATTTCACTGGTACCAAATGAGTGTAGGTATAACTTTGAGTTGCATTAATGGGACATTCTATTCCACTTCCTGAATATTGGCAGGCATCAGGATTAGGCACAGGAAATGGGACTGAAACGCCTGCTATCACACCATGTACATTTGCCACAGCTTTTGTTTGTTCCTCACCTGCATGTAGTAATACAAATAAATTAGAATAAAATTAGAGATTATTACAATAACTGATTTAATACAAGTTGCTAATGGTGATATAAGAAGGCATCAATGGTACAAAAGAAAATGTACTGTTAACTAGGAGTATTCATTAATATTTGATCATCATTATTTTCTCCCTCAAAATATAGTTAAATTATGTAATGTCAATCTGGTTTTTTTTATTTGATTTTTTTTCAGGAAACTAATTCATCTTTGCAGAACTCTTAAAAAGCTGCATAATATTACATCTAGAGATATGATAACCTATTTAACAACAGTCTAGGTTTATTATAAAATATCACCCCAAATATATTAGCTTGATAAATCACTCATTTGAAACACTAACACACGCGCTCCAGCCTTTCAGCTCAGTTCAACTAAATAAGCACTCATTCCCTAACACTCACTCCATGCAGCCTTCCAGTTAAGTACAACTTAACAAATATTCATGTCCTTTCATTCACCCCAGCTTCCAGTTCAATAAACTAAACAAACATTCTTAACCTTACCTTCACTTCATGCAGCCTTCCAGTTCAATTCAACTTAATAAACACTCCCTCTCTTATACTCATCCAGTCTTCTAGTTCAGTAAAACTAAATAAACTTATACTCATAGAAGCCTCCCAGCCTAGTACAACTGTTAATTTACTCACACCAAAGCCTTTGAGTTCATTACAACTTATTAAGAACTGATTAACATGGGCGATACTATATTCCCTCCTCTCCAAATGAAAACAGAGGGAGGAGGGCAAAGCTATGCTGTTAGTCCTCTAACTATTTAATCATCCATTAAATATATTGATAAAAAAAACCTTTATACATGAAATTATGATAATAAATACAGGACTTTATATGTGATTTATAGAAACAAGTCATTTTATTGATTCTTAAGCACGCTATCATGAAAAAAATTGTACAGAATATCATAAATCACATATCAAATGGAAACAAATTTAAGATCATCAATCAATTGATTATTCAGGAAAACGTTTTTGAAAACAGACAAACTTGGCTCCATATCACTATTCTCCATTATGATGCCATATCCAATTTGCGTATGACACTTCTTCAACATCTAAACTTGATGATGAATAGGTTATGTTACATGTATAATATACAAACATGGAAAAATATCACATAGGAATATTAACTGAATAATAAGGCATGTATGTCTAAATCATTTCTAATGAATTCATTATGAAAGCTTAAATTAACTGCTTACTCGAAGAAAATGTCACAGTAAGAGATGCATTTGTGTTCTTCTCAAGGTTGCATATTGAAGCAGTCGGTTCACAGTTCTTCACTGTTATATTATGGATGGTACCTGAAACAAAGTTATTTTTCATAATTTTACCAATGCCTGAACACAAAAATAGTCAATATTCTGTTAGTTGTATAAAGTGGGCTAAATAATATAACAAGAAATATCTATAAAACAATAATCACTCCAAGAGATTTGTTCATGTCCTCATTGATGATCAATGTATTCTAAAAATATTTTTCTATTAGTTGGAGTGTGGAGACCCCAATTCTCAGCCCCCAATCAGCTACCAAACTCATTGCTATACCATCTGACAGATTAAAACAAAGGGCAATAACTCTCGGATATCAAAATGGGAGACCCTGATTTGATTCCATGTTAGGCTGTTGCATCACTTTTGAAAACCTTTAAATGCCATACTAGTAAAATTTTAGAACATGTATCCATTCCCTGTTATGATGTTATCTTCCATCCTGTTATAGATAAGCTTCTCTGATACTGGAGTAAATGTTACTTCCAAAATGGTTGAGGTTTACCTAGCAACATACATATTACAATTTACAAACCTAAAGTTTGTGTGAATAATTTGATTTAACAAAATAATTTGATGTCAATAATCACATTTTTTATGTTGTAATTGATATTTACATTTTTATTGACTACACTCAGTCAATATAAAATGGAAATACATCTATCAATAACAGCATGATAAATGTGGCATAACAAATTACCTAAATCTACCTAAATCTTACCCTAATCTACCTAAATCTTACCCAAAACTACCCAAATCTACCTAAATCTTACCCAAATCTACCTAAATCTTACCCAAAACTACATAAATCTTACCCAAATCTACATAAATCTTACACAAAACTACCCAAATCTACCTTAATCTTACCCTAACCTACATAAATCTTACCCAAAACTACCCAAATCTACCTAAATCTTACCCAAATCTACCTAAATCTTACCCTAATCTACCTAAATCTTACCCAAAACTACATAAATCTTACCCTAATCTACCTAAATCTTACCCAAATCTACATAAATCTTACCCAAAACTACCCAAATCTTACCCAAATCTACCTAAATCTTACCCAAAACTACCTAAATCTTACCCTAATCTACCTAAATCTTACCCAAAACTACATAAATCTTACCCTAATCTACCTAAATCTTACCCAAATCTACATAAATCTTACCCAAAACTACATAAATCTTACCCTAATCTACCTAAATCTTACCCAAATCTTCCTAAATCTTACCCAAAGCTACATAAATTTTACCCAAATCTACCTAAATCTTACCAAATCTACCTAAATCTTACCCAAACCTTACCCAAATCTACCTAAATCTTACCCTAATCTAACTAAATCTTACCCAAATCTACATAAATCTTACCCAAAACTACATAAATCTTACCCAAATCTACATAAATCTTACCCAAATCTACGTAAACCTTACCCAAATCTACCTAAATCTTACCCAAACCGTACCAAAATCTACCTAAATCTTACCCAAATCTACCTAAACATACCCAAACCTTATCGAAATCTACCCAAACTTTACCTAAATCTACTTAATTCTTACCCAAACCATACCCAAACCTTACCCACGCCTACCTAAATCTTTCCAAAACCTTACCCAAAACTACTGAAATGTTACCTTAATCTTACCCGAAACTAACAAAATCTTACCCAAGCCTTACCCAAATCTACCTAAATCTTACCCAAATCTACCCAAATCTTACCCAAAACTACCGAAACTTTACCCAAGGCTACCTAAATCTTTTCCAAACCTTACCAAAACCTTACCCAAATCTACCTAAATCTTACCCAAACCTTACCAAAATCTTACCCAAACCAACCTTATCGAAATCTACCCAAATCTACTTAAATCTTACCCAAATCTACCCAAACTTCTCCCAAGCCTAGCTAAATGTTTCCCAAACCTTACCCAATTCTACCCAAATCTTACCCAAATGTTACCAAAATCTACCTAAATCTTACCCAAACCTTACCCAAACCAACCTTATCGAAATCTACCCAAACTTTACCCAAATCTACTTAAAACTTACCCAAACCTTACCAAAACCTACCTAAATCTTACCCAAACCTTACCTAAAACTACCGAAACCTTACCCAAATGTTACCAAAATCTACCTTAATCTTTCAAACCTTAATTTCCTGGCCTTACCAAAATCTACCTAAATCTTTCAAATAATTTCCTGGTATACTCAGTATATTATACTGTACTGATCAGTAACTGTTCAGAGTTTTAAATATAACACACTGCTATTCTGTACTATAACATCGTGTATTCAAAACTGTTCTAAAATAAGCTACAACAGAGGTTCATTTTTCTTAAGCAAAATAATCAATCTAAGAGGCACACAACTCTTGGATTTTTCGTGTCCTAGAAGTATACATGTATGTAAGTACTTAACAAACCTAATATATTCTTACCAGTTGTTTGCGTATCAAGGCACTCGCTCCAATTTTTTGCTGTAGCGAAGCTGATAAACACACACAGAAGGAGTGTCTTTAATAATCCCATGTCTGTAAATGTTCTGTAAAAGATCAAAACGAAAGTAAATATTCATGCACTCGCCTAGCTTATCGGTTCCATGGACAAATCAGGCGATAGTCGTATGATGAACTGCGTAACGTAAAACATTTACACCCTTTGATTGCAACTTCCTATTGTTGTCGTTACCGTGGTTGCTGTCACGTACTCGGCTGAACCGGTAGGAGGAAAGGCGTGTAGTCTATGCAGTAAGGCATTATTCTGCAGCTACACTATACAACATGTTTTCTTTTTCTTTTTCTTTTTAATAATTTCGAATGATTACAATGCTGTAATCAAAATACCTTCAGCTGCCGCCCCTGCACCCCCAAGCATGCAATTGAATGAAGGCCTCGCTACGCCACTGGATACATACGTTTCTAGCTAACTATTTCTGTTTGTCCGAACTGTTCTTTGCAGTAGTGATCATGTGACCAGTTGAAGCGGTCTGACCTACGCGTGTGATAACGTTCCTATTTCTCAGGTTACCGTGACTCAAACACTCGTGTCCACTTAAAACCCGTAGTTTCGAACTTTGACACGAAGAGACGGAAAGGATGAAATTGTGATTTTAAGGTCATTGGATATATATTTTTACATTTAGTTAGCTTCATTTTGATTATTTAGTCTATTTGATGGAATTCTTATGTCAGTGTTACCAGAGACGTATATATGTCTCTGGTGTTACGTGTGATAAACTGCAGATCATTTCTATAACTTTAAAATGAACTGTAGCGTTATAATGGCTTGAAGAACATATTGTTTATAAATGTATTATTGAATTCAGATGTATAAAGTGGTGATGACCACTTGGTCATAAATATTTTGAATAATTAGTATTCCATTTATAACGGAATAATTGTTCGTTGTCATATTGGGCTATGTCCCTAGATTGTGTATAATTAGTGATTTACATTGTTTGTTACATTGTTTGTTAAGCATGTCTTTTTATGTTTATTTCAAAGTGTTTTCGTATCATTCTATTACATATTTGTAACAGGTAAATATATATTCATTTCGAGTTGTGTATTGTTATCTGTAGTGAAACGGGGAAACACCTGTTTCTATTTTTAGCGTATTCACGTGTTGTGCCTGTGCCACGTTGGTCCTGTGTGCGTCCCGTGTACATCCTGTCTTGTCCATATTTGGCGTTGTTATTTAGTTATATGCTAAACAGGGTGTAAGTTGTGAGGAAAGCATGCGAGTGTGAAAGTTAATTAAACAAAAAACCGTGTTACAACCGCGCATTTGTCGCAGTCGACCGTAGACCAGGGTAGGGACGTATCCTCGGGAGTCCACTTGGTACAGTATATTGAAAAGACAACTGGACTTTGACACATTTTACCAGACCTTGTACAGGCTTTGGAAGGTAATTAAACTAACGTTTAATTGTATTATACATTGAGTAATAGTTGCGGAATTGTGAATCATAATTGTTTAATTATTCCATACCGGTCCAAATATTTCCAGTTATTGTCATACAGAATACGCATCTAATAGGTATTCTTATACAGCCGTTTGTTTGTTTTTTAGTGTTTTCTTCCATGTTCGTCCGCCGGTTCATCAATAAATAATTACAAGGAGCAGAACGACTGGTTGTTTTCTTTGACCTGTGACTTATCATTTAATGTCGACTGCCTGTCTTATTTCATTAAATCTTCCGTTGTATAAGGGAGTAAAGACGTCATGGTGTCTGAAATTACATTAGTCCCTTGTTACGGAACTCTTTCAATTTTTATATTGGTCGCAAAAATCAAATAACTGACAGAAAGCCATCAAAGTTTGTTATTTTCTTGAAAACAAAATGGATAGTCGTCCAGGGTTAGGGTTATTATATTATCATGAATTTAATGAAGGATTCTGTCTTGAATAGCAGACATGAAAACTACCCTGTATAGTTAACTGAACGAAAAAGAAAAGGAACACACTTGTATTATTTTTTGTGATATATCTCAAGCTTTCGATCGTGTTTGGCACAGGGGCCTGATAGCTAAATTGGAATCTTATGGAATTTCGGGATCATTGTTAAATTGGTTCACAAATTATCTTCACCAGCGTAAACAGAAAGTTTTAATTGGAAATTCTTATTCCGGTCTAGGTAATATCGACGCTGGTGTACCCCAGGGCTCAATACTCGGGCCGCTTCTCTTTTTGTTATATATCAATGATATTTCAGATGTTCTTGAGTCGGCCTCTAGGTTATTTGCAGACGATACATCATTATTTCATTCTGCTTTTTCATGTCACGAATTACAGACTGTTCTCAACAGGGACCTTGAATCTTTAAATCTTTTAACCCTCTAAAAACAGATGTCCTTTTTATTTCAAATTCAGTCAATACTGACGGGGATCTAGATTTACTTTTTTAAAAAGAAATTTTAAGTTTTACAGAAGTTCAGTCAGGAGTAAATTTTAATTAAAATGGAAAGTGGGGGAGCCATGTTGAGGCAGTATATATCTCGGTTATGAAAAAAAATAATGTTTTACGAAAACTGAAATACTTGTTAAAAAGAGATTCTCTGTTAAAAATATATAAATCCTTCATTCTACCTGTTTTTGAATATGCTTGTGAGGTATGGGATGGTTGCTCTGTTTAGGATTCTGAGAAATTAGAGAAAGCACAAAGAGAAGCGGCTCGAATTATAACAGGTTTACCTTTGTATGCTAGTAATGAATCACTATATTTTGAAACGGGATTGGAAACATTATCAGAGAGAAGGAAGACACGTAAGTTAAATGTATTATACAAAATGATAAATAATTTAACCCCTTCTTATTTATCGGCCCTTTTGCCAAACACAGTGGGTTACAACAATCAGTATAATTTACGGAACCAACATGATTATATCATTCCTTCTTTCAGACTCTCCCTAAGTAACTCGTCTTTTCTGCCATCAAGTTTACGTCTGTGGAATTCGGAAGACAGTTCAATAAGAACATTACCATCTTTGAATGCTTTTAAATCTTCTTTATCTAATGACGCTAATTCTTGTCCTCCATCTTATAATTTTGGCGAACGTAAGCTAAATATATTACATACGAGACTCAGACATCAGTGCAGCTCTTTGAAAAGTGATTTGTTCCGTGTTAAGATTGTTGATAACCCATCGTGTGCTTGTGGACATTACTGTGGGGATGTTGGTCATTTTTTCCCAGAATGTAAGCTTTATAATAGAGTAAGAAGAACGATTTTTCAAAGTATGAACATGTTGAATATAGATCAAGTAAATTTACATCTATTTTTCTTTGGAAATGAAAATCTGTCCCTAACCACCAATACAGAAGTATTCGGACACGTGCAAATTTTTATCAAATCCAGCAACAGATTTTAAGTAAAATGTACTAAATGTTAAATACATTATGTATGCCTTGTTAATGTTATCATGTAAATATTTATCATGTATTGTATTAGAGGAAAAGGCGGTCATAAGTTGAAATAACTTGTGCCTAATCCTCTGCTCAATTTTGGGGCAATAAATATGTTTAAATCAAAGAAAAGGACTCGCTATGTAGTCGTCAGAACTAAAACTTCCTAAAAATCAAATGGCTGTAAATATACATCGCCGACCTGGAGTTCCTGTTACCCAGCGACTTCTTCCATGTGCTCATTTGCATATATGTCATTAATGTAATAAACAATGTTTTTCATTGGCTGCTCCTCTCAGAAATCGATTGTGATGTCATTAATATCCGTGACCATGAATTTACGTCATGATCGATTGATTGAAATTGCACAACAAAACGGCGTCTTCGTTCGGTTAGTTCTAATTAAGCTGGATCTCTATACTATTCCGATATGTTATTTCTCTTTGTCTCCCTACGCTCCCTAAGTGTTGCTAAATTGGAAACACCAAACAAAGAAAAAACAAAGCAACTAATAAACATATTTAGTATATATATGGTATCTTTATTACACACAATTGTCCTCCTGCAGTGCCAACACTCTGAAATTAAAATTCAATTATTTCCTGAATAAGAACAGCGGACAAAGCGACGTCGAGGACGGAACAATGTTCTGATGTCACATTTCCATAATATTGGATATAATTTACCAGTTGCCTGACTTGGTTAATGAAACACAACCACTTTAAATTATAGGCATATGTCTCTTGTTTATGATAAAGGATACATATGTTTAATACAGGGTATGCAAACAGTGTTGTCGGAGAAAAAAAAACAACAAAAGTTTTGTAATAAAATGATATATCTAATGAATTCATGTACTATTTACAACAAATTATAGGCAGAAAAATGTTACCGATGTTTACTCGTTCCCAGACGTGCAATTTTATCCTCCAAAAACATTTCTATTTCTTTAACGCTTTACGTGTAGATGTAGATATGCATCTACCCCCAATTCAAAGCACTGACGGGACTTAAAATAGAAATCATAGAAATCACATAAATTATATACCTTTGATCCAGAGTTATTTTTTCAGAAAGCTGAGAAAAATAGAATGGATGACAGAAAATATTTGATATTGACAGTTAAATCGTATCACTCGATCAAGGCAAGTGAAATCATACCTATCACACTGTCTTCATATAAGTTTATAAACTTTTTAATTGGTATCACGATCATGGGCCTAGTTTCTGTCGCCAACAATACCACGCATCAAATGAATCCAAGCAAAAGTCGAAGGATGCAAATATTTGGGGAATGTTCCAAATATGCAAATTTATCCATTTCGATGATAGTGAAAACTTCAGTTGTTTTATTCTGGACTCAAAACAATTACCACTGACTGTAACATTTATACTTCAAATGACTACTGTATTTATATTCTGTGTTTCAGCATATGAACCATTCACATCATTCACAGTTAAATAGTTTCGTTATGTCCTCGGCTTTTTTGGTACATGGATGTGCTATATGAAATTTACTATACAAGTATACTTCACAAACACTCAGAGTCTATGTGAAAGAAAGATTCTCTCAGATTTGAGAAAAATATATCTTCTGTCTCTCTCCACTTCTTTTTTTAAATATAGTTTCCAGATGTAAGTTCGTCCTTACGAGACCTGGATTCCGCGTCCGCCTTAGCTCTCCGCTTCCTGTTCCGGATGAAGCGAAGAACACAGAGCAACGTCTGTCCAAGGCACAGGAGCAAACATATCCACGACGCTGTCTACAACACAAAAAGCAACTTCCGGTTAGCATCAAAACCCCACGTGTTATGATTCTAACTCAAATCGAAGGCAACCAAGGAAACCATTGAAAACGTACGGCACTACGTTTTCCATTTCGTCGATAACATCCACCATGTTAACTTGTGAATGAAAATAATGTCATATTCTCGAAATAAGACCAGGGTAAAACCAATGAGCACCGAGCTCGACGAATTTGATACGAGATATTTCCAAATTAATTCTTTCCCAAGATCTTCAAAATGTCTCTCAAACCCCTGTCATGAAAGTGGATGTGATGTTAGGAACAGATCCTTTGATGCGAAATCTATCGTGAATTGTAGCATGTTGGACGTTAATCAGATCGGAGGTTTTATTTGACTCTGTATAGCCACTATTACTGCAACTTACCTCGGCTATCGACAACTGCTTATGGAATTGACCAACGTTAAATTTCTTGTTTGTCACTATGTTTGTCCATTCATGGCCCTGTGCATCAACGCAACTACAATATTTAATAAAGTTAAATTCACGTCAGATTGGTTACAAATCGTTATGATGTTCAAAGGAATACGATGTTTAGTCACTTAATATGACACAAATATTACATATGAAAGCCTTTTGTATGGTGGTGATAATTTATATATAAAATCAAAGGAAGTTACTTGTAAGCATATTCAAAACTTGATTATTGAAAGTAAAAGATATCCCTAACTACAGGTTAATATGTTATCTACCTAGTTGTTGTCTCCTAAACATTTCTATTGCTGTCACCCTTTTTCTGTTTCTTCTTCTGTTCTAAAAGTTCTGAAACCTTGTAAAATGTATTAGGTACTGATTATTGTAAGGTCATTGCTATGCTTTGCATTTGGCAAGGTGATCCAAAAAGGGAAAACGGTGTGCTTTTTTCAGCCACTCTGTTTATTTAAACAAGAGGCCCATGGGCCTTAACGGTCATCTGACAAAAAGCAAGCCAAACCTAGAAAGTGGGTTGAGGTCATTCATTTGAACAAACTTGGTAGCCTCTCCTCCAAGCATCTTACAGGCCCAATATCAGCACTCATGGACTTTTGCTTGTTGAGAAGAAGTCGTTTGTATATTTTAACATATTTGACCCCTGTGACCTTGAAAGTGGGTTGAGGTCATTCATTTGAATAAACTTGGTAGCCTTTCCTCCCAGCATGCTACAGACCCAATATCGGCACTCATAGACTTTTGCTTATTGAGATGAAGTCCTTTGTATATTTTAACATATTTGACCCCTGTGACCTTGAAAGTGGGCCAAGGTCATTCATTTGAACAAACTTTGTAGGGCTCCATGCCAGCATGCTATGGGCCAAGTATTAGCCCCCTAGGCCTTCTAGTATTTGAGAAGAAGTTATTTAAAGATTTTGACATATTTGACCCCTGCGACCTTGAAAGTTGTTCAAGGTCATTCATTTAAATAAACTTGGTAGCCTTTCCTCCCAGCATGCTACAGACCCAATATCGGCACTCATAGACTTTTGCTTATTGAGATGAAGTCCTTTGTATATTTTAACATATTTGACCCCTGTGACCTTGAAAGTGGGCCAAGGTCATTCATTTTAACAAACTTTGTAGGGCTCCATGCCAGCATGCTATGGGCCAAGTATTAGCCCCCTAGGCCTTCTAGTATTTGAGAAGAAGTTATTTAAAGATTTTGACATATTTGACCCCTGTGACCTTGAAAGTTGTTCAAGGTCATTCATTTAAACAAACTTGATAGCCCTTCATCCCAGCATGCCACAGGCACAATATCTGCAATCTGAGCCTTTTGGTTATTGAGAAGAAGTTGTTTAAAGATTTTAACATATTTGACCCCTGTGACCTTTAAAGTGGGTCAAGGTCATTCATTTGAACAAACTTGGTAGTCCTTCATCCCAGCATGTCACAGGCCCAATATCTACACTCTGAGCTTTTTGGTTAATGAGAAGAAGTTGTTTAAAGATTTTAACATATTTGACCCCTGTGACCTTTAAAGTGGGTCAAGGTCATTCATTTGAACAAACTTGGTAGAGCTCCATGCCAGTATCCTCTGTGCCAAGTATTAGCCCCCTAGACCTTCTAGTATTTGAGAAGAAGTCGTTTGAATGAAAAGTTTACGGACGGCGCACGGCGCACGGCGGACGACGACGGACGAAGCATGATGACTATAGGTCATCGGACCCTTCGGGTCAGATGACCTAAAAAACTGGATGCAAAGAAGTAAACATATAACCTACTTTTTGATGTATCCTTTAGATGTGAGCTTACTGCAGAAGTTTGAGAATCCAACACTGATGAGACATGATGTGATCAGGACAAGAGCGGTTAGAAGTGAATTGGTCAGCACGAACGGCATGACCCACATCTGAGACCTGTTGAAGAAGGGAGACAGGCTTCATTTTAACATATATTCATCGTTTTTGCAAATCCCATGCAATTAACCACTGAGCCGAAATCGTGACGTCAGATCAGTTTACTGGGTTTATCGGTCCGTCAGATATTTGTTTACATTGTTTGTCGGTCAGTCAGATATTTGTTTACAGGGTTTGTCGGTCCGTCAGATATTTGTTTACAGGGTTTGTCGGTCAGTCAGATATTTGTTTACAGGGTTTGTCGGTCAGTCAGATATTTGTTTACAGGGTTTGTCGGTCAGTCAGATATTTGTTTACATTGTTTGTCGGTCAGTCAGATATTTGTTTACATTGTTTGTCGGTCAGTCAGATATTTGTTTACAGGGTTTGTCGGTCCGTCAGATATTTGTTTACAGGGTTTGTCGGTCCGTCAGATATTTGTTTACAGGGTTTGTCGGTCCGTCAGATATTTGTTTACAGGGTTTATCGGTCCGTCAGATATTTGTTTACAGGGTTTGTCGGTCCGTCAGATATTTGTCCGTCAGATATTTGTTTACAGGGTTTATTTGTCCGTCAGATATTTGTTTACAGGGTTTATCTGTCCGTCAGATATTTGTTTACAGGATTTAACTGTCCGTCAGATATTTGTTTACAGGGTTTATCTGTCCGTCAGATATTTGTTTACAGGATTTAACTGTCCGTCAGATGTTTGTTTACAGGGTTTATCTGTCCGTCAGATATTTGTTTACAGGGTTTATCGGTCCGTCAGATATTTGTTTACAGGGTTTGTCGGTCCGTCAGATATTTGTTTACAGGGTTTATCTGTCCGTCAGATATTTGTTTACAGGGTTTATCTGTCCGTCAGATATTTGTTTACAGGGTTTATCTGTCCGTCAGATATTTGTTTACAGGGTTTATCTGTCCGTCAGATATTTGTTTACAGGGTTTATCTGTCCGTCAGATATTTGTTTACAGGGTTTATCGTCCGTCAGATCCGTCAGATATTTGTTTACAGATATTTGATATTTGTTTACAGGATTTAACTGTCCGTCAGATATTTGTTTACAGGGTTTATCTGTCCGTCAGATATTTGTTTACAGGGTTTATCGGTCCGTCAGATATTTGTTTACAGGGTTTATCGGTCCGTCAGATATTTGTTTACAGGGTTTATCTGTCCGTCAGATATTTGTTTACAGGGTTTGTCGGTCCGTCAGATATTTGTTTACAGGGTTTATCGGTCCGTCAGATATTTGTTTACAGGGTTTATCTGTCCGTCAGATATTTGTTTACAGGGTTTATCTGTCCGTCAGATGTTTTTACAGGATTTAACTGTCCGTCAGAGATTTGTTTACAGGGTTTATCTGTCCGTCAGATATTTGTTTACAGGGTTTATCTGTCCGTCAGATATTTGTTTACAGGGTTTATCTGTCCGTCAGATATTTGTTTACAGGGTTTATTTGTCCGTCAGATATTTGTTTACAGGGTTTATCGGTCCGTCAGATATTTGTTTACAGGGTTTATCGGTCCGTCAGATATTTGTTTACAGGGTTTATCGGTCCGTCAGATATTTGTTTACAGGGTTTATCTGTCCGTCAGATATTTGTTTACAGGGTTTATCTGTCCGTCAGATATTTTTACAGGATTTAACTGTCCGTCAGAGATTTGTTTACAGGGTTTATCTGTCCGTCAGATATTTGTTTACAGGGTTTGTCGGTCCGTCAGATATTTGTTTACAGGGTTTGTCGGTCCGTCGGATATTTGTTTACAGGGTTTATCGGTCCGTCAGATATTTGTTTACATGGTTTATCGGTCCGTCAGATATTTGTTTACAGGGTTTATCTGTCCGTCAGATATTTGTTTACAGGGTTTATTGGTCCGTCAGATATTTGTTTACAGGGTTTGTCGGTCCGTCAGATATTTGTTTACAGGGTTTGTCGGTCCGTCGGATATTTGTTTACAGGGTTTATCGGTCCGTCAGATATTTGTTTACAGGGTTTATCGGTCCGTCAGATATTTGTTGACAGGGTTTATCTGTCCGTCAACAGCCACGGTCACGAGTCCCTTTGTGTACTATACCAAGACATTTGGATAAAGTGCCACGCGAAGACAACACAACCGGTTCATTTCTCAGCTTCCTGAGTAACACAAACCATCACGATTAGGGAGTATCAGTGCCCGTGCCACGTCCGATATACCACTTCTATTCCAATGTATATTGTCACTGGAAAAATATCATGATACCAAAGATCGCAACTGAGTGATTTATTCTGATCGAACTGACGATGTTATGGAATCCAGGGATTTCATACAATGCCCATTTTCAATTTGATTGGACATCATCGAATTTCCATAGCAACTCGAACATGTCTGTTTTGAAAAACTGTTTAAAATTATGAATTTGATCATGTTCTGAAATCACATTTTTTTCAAGGCATTATGCTTCGATAGTGAAAATGTTGATTGTGTTATAATAAAAAAGAAGAGATTTCTGTGCTAATTTTCTTTCCGCTCTAATGTTTTTCTTTCCAAAATAAAGAAACATACCCAAATGTTGATTGATGGATACTACAGGTAATTAAAATTCAAGAAATGCGATCCACCTTGTTAACAGCATTCACGTATTCAAAATCTGTGATTTGTTTCGATAATTCATGAAAAAAGTTGTTTCATTCTGCCCAAACCTTTCAGAGCTATACTCAGGAGAAGTACAACGTAACTGAATCAGCACGTCATCTACTCCGTCACAAACTGTAGTCCAAAGGAAAAAATACTGGACGTCATATCAAGCATTATACATTTGAATATATAAAAACGTTAAAGTCTGTGATCTTACATCGAATAATGTCTTACTTAAGGTCAAACTTTCATACATCTCTAAAAGTGATATCATTTATTGACATCAGATGTCACGGTAAAAAAAATATAAAAAAAAAAAAAACCGCACATATGTATACCTTTGTAGGCGGAGTCCTAAATCTCCATATAGAGTTATCCCTGCACAGGAAGTACCACAAAATGTCCCCACTTTAAAGAAACTCGCTCATCAAGAGAGTTGGGTTAAACAGTGCCAGATGGCTATGTTATCAATAAAACGAACCAACATTTATATACAGACTTCGTTGTTTAGTATCTTGAATTAAACACAACATGTCGGAGCCGCTGTGGTTTTTGACGGTACTTACGCTATAGTTGGGTCAGCGAGAGATTTACGGAGAGCGAAAGAGCTGTAGATGCCGAGGCCGAGACAGTAAAAAATGCATCCAAACACACTGATCCAGATCGGCATTTGACAATTGACCACATCACTGGACGTCATAACAAACGAGGTTTGGTTTTTCCAGTCAAAGTGTCCATATAGAATACAAGATCCTTCAAATTTTATCTGAAAATGGTTGAAGCAGATTGAAATTGAATTTCTCGAGTTCGATAGACGCGTTGCCGTAAAGAGCTGTCCCCAAATAGTGACGCAAGAACATGAAAACCAGGTATCTATTCATTAACATATGTGTACAGGGTGTACAGTGTACTCTTTCGACTTTTTTTTTTTTTATAAAGATAAGGTTACTATTTATAAATTGTGTAAATTAATGCATCGAGCAACACGTAACTGAAATATTCTTTTTTGTTGTTATAATCGGGCAATCAAATAGGGGACACGTAATGTTCAAATCAAGTGTTATCACAGTAAACTTGTGAGAAAGTGTGTCACTTCTCGAGTATTATCACAGTGAACTTGTGAAAAAGTGTGTCACTTCTCCACTGTTATCACAGTGAACTTGTGAAAAAGTGTGTCACTTCTCCAGTGTTATCACTGTGAACTTGTGAGAAAGCGTGTCACTTCTCCAGTGTTATCACAGTAAACTTGTGAGAAAGCGTGTCACTTCTCCAGTGTTATCACAGTAAACTTGTGAGAAAGTGCGTCACTTCTCGTGGGGTTGGGGTAGCTAAAGAACTGGAATGAGAGTGCTGAAGGTTGGAACTGATGGGGATGTGCAATTGAAAGCCAAGGGAGATATGTAATTGAATTGCCGATAGTACAAGTTGACGAGTCTAGACCAAGTACAATGGAGTAGGTAGACTCCCCACCCAACCCGTCCTCCAAACTCACAATTCCGTATAAAACCTTTCGTTCATTAAGAAAAATCAAGAACCAATAGAAAACGAAAACAAAAAACAACTGACAGTGTCGCATGTTATCTGTTATTGACTATACTACTATGGGATAACTTTGGAATATATTTACCGTTGTCACTCCCACAGGGATGGAGACGACCAAACCGCAGATGGACACGGCGAAGTATAAACAGGTCTGCAAAAGAAGCTGCAGGTCCACAAACGCCATGATGGGTGTATATACGGGTAATGTGGTGACCTTATATCACACACAATCGTGTGTGATGTTTGTCTTAGTCAATCTTTTTGAGTCTGGATGATAATAATTGCCGATAACATCAGCACTATCAGTACTTACGTAGTGCTTGTTTCGGTTTTGTTATATTCTCCTCTGGTCAGTTTAAAATCAATTAACAAGTTCACCAACATCCTATGATAATCCATAAAGGCTGTTACAATCTAAACTCATTCTAATTATGTAATATATATAACACTGATCAAGTTCTCGCGTTACCGTACTGTCAATGTCGTACATGGAACGGCTACACGCCCCCTCCCTATCACGTGAGTTTGTAGTGACAACAAAACGTGTCGCGGTATATAAATACTTAAGTCGGTTGTGTCCCTTGCGTCATAGCTTAATGTCTGATTGAAAGTCTTCAAGACTGTGGGTTTGGGATTATTGATACATTCCTCTGGCCCCTGTCTGGCGGCCATCCCTCCCCCATCCCTCTGGCCCCTGTCTGGCGGCCACCCCCCATCCTCAGGCCCCTGTCTGGCGGCCCCTTCCCATCCCTCTGGCCCCTGTCTGGCGGCCCCTTCCCATCCCTCTGGCCCCTGTCTGGCGCCCCACTCAGTGTAATAATACATAATGCATATTAAAACGATGTGTTTGGCTAAGAGTTGCTATTATTAGTAGTCGTGCTTCTTCGCATACCAAAACCACAACTCCGAGGGTTCGTTTAAGCGTTTATTTTCAGATAGTAATAAAAAAAAACCTGCAACAGATACAACATATATTACTACGAATCACACCTATTACACTTAGAATATCACAGAATCAATGAATGTCATCCTGACCGTAGTCAGTTACCAATTTAACAATTACACTGTTAACTACATTCCTATAAATTATACAGAAATTACAGCTTAATTATAAATTAACGAATATATATTAGACATTAATACACATAAAATACCCACCTCTTCAATGCGAAGAAGGTTTTTTTTTCCGGACGAAGTTCGCCGAGCACCAGTTCTGGCTCGAAGCTTACACAATACAAAAGGAAAGTACGATACACAATAAAGTCTTCTTCTTTAAAGCTATAGACCTATACGCTTATTACAAAATGTAAATTGACCACACCCAATATTTGAATTTAATAGATTCCGAAAATATTTACTTTTACTTGAAACAAAACTATTACGTAAATTAAATATATTATCAAATAGATACTATATTACATTATACTCATAGCTACATACTAAGTATCGGGTACTTACATTACTCCTATAGCTAGTGCCCCACAAATAACAATTATGACTAGGTAACTTGTTAATGTCGCCGCATCGGCCGCTCTGCCCAAAATGACCAGTGCGCTCCCTGATCACCCAATATCCCCCGTAAATATACTAATAATCAATAAGACAGACTGGACAAATTGGTTTACAAATACAAACGTCACATCCATCTCGCGCTCCACTCTCATTTTCACGTGCCATACTCGCGCGCGCGCTAAAATCCATGTCGCAATGCGCCACGTACCGAATAATACGAAAGGTTGACTTCCGGTTCTGACACGCGAACGCCTTACGATAATATTAAAACAATAACAATTGTATATAGCACATATATTAAAATATGTCAAAATAACATTACTACAGTGTCGTCCTAACTTCCTGCCGTCACATGGTTTGCGAAATAAAAAAAAAAACAGACAGATAAGATATGCGATAAATATAATCTTGCATTTGTTTTCGTCTCCTTTGAGATATATCTACTTCATCACGAATTTTACAGTGATACAAATCAGAGACGTACATGTATCTCTCTATACACATACAGCTGTAACTCTTCAAAAAGTTTCATCAATCTCATTCTCATATAAACTCATCCACGGAAATGAAAAAATAGATTCGTCTAAAATAATGGTCAGTTTATGGAATCAGACACCTATTTCATTTGTAATTCTTCCAAAAATACTGAAGATGTTATTACACTATGAGATACACGACTGATTCAAATACCATGTCAAGGACTGGGAATGTAGGATCAGAGCATGTCAACGACTGGGAATGTAGGATCAGAGCATGTCAAGGACTGGGAATGTAGGACCAGAGCACTGGGAATGTAGGATCAGAGCATGTCAAGGACGGGGAATGTAGGACCAGAGCATGTCAAGGACGGGGAATGTAGGACCAGAGCATGTCAACGACTGGGAATGTAGGATCAGAGCATGTCAAGGACTGGGAATGTAGGATCAGAGCATGTCAAGGACTGGGAATGTAGGATCAGAGCATGTCAAGGACTGGGAATGTAGGATCAGAGCATGTCAAGGACTGGGAATGTAGGATCAGAGCATGTCAACGACTGGGAATGTAGGATCAGAGCATGTCAACGACTGGGAATATAGGATCAGAGCATGTCAAGGACTGGGAATGTAGGACCAGAGCACTGGGAATGTAGGATCAGAGCATGTCAAGGATGGGGAATGTAGGACCAGAGCATGTCAAGGACTGGGAATGTAGGATCAGAGCATGTCAACGACTGGGAATGTAGGATCAGAGCATGTCAACGACTGGGAATATAGGATCAGAGCATGTCAAGGACTGGGAATGTAGGACCAGAGCACTGGGAATGTAGGATCAGAGCATGTCAAGGATGGGGAATGTAGGACCAGAGCATGTCAAGGACTGGGAATGTAGGATCAGAGCATGTCAAGGACGGGGAATGTAGGACCAGAGCATGTCAGGGACTGGGAATGTAGGACCAGAGCATGTCAAGGACTGGGAATGTAGGATAGAGCATGTAAAGGACTTGGAATGTGGGACCAGAGCATGTCAAGGACTGGGAATGTAGGATCAGAGCATGTCGAGGACTGAGAAGGTAGGACTAGAGCATGTTAAGGACTGGGAATGTGGGACCAGAGCATGTCAAGGACATGGAATGTAGGACCAGAGCATGTCGAGGACTGGGAAGGTAGGACCAGAGCATGTCAAGGACTGAGAAGGTAGGACTAGAGCATGTCAAGAACAGGGAATGTAGGACCAGAGCATGTCAAGGACTGGGAATGTGGGACCAGAGCATGTCAAGGACTGGGAATGTAGGACCAGAGCATGTTAAGTACTGGGAATGTAGGACCAGAGCATGTCGAGGACTGAGAAGGTAGGACTAGAGCATGTCAAGGACTGGGAATGTAGGACCAGAGCATGTCAAGGACGGGGAATGTTGGACCAGAGCATGTCAAGAACTGGGAATGTAGGACCAGAGCATGTCAAAGATTGGAAATGTAGGACTAGAGCATGTCAAGGACTGTGAATGTAGGACTAGAGCATGTCAAGGACTGGGAATGTAGGACCAGAGCATGTGCTGTAGTGTCAGAAGTAGGACTAAACCAAGTCCTGTAGTGTCAGATATAGGACCAGACCTTGTCCTGCTTTGTCAGAAGTAGGACCAGGCCATGTCCTGTAGTGTCAGATGTAGGACCAGGCCATGTGCTGTAGTGTCAAATGAAGGACAATGCCATGTCCTGTAGTGTCAGATGTAGGACCAGGCCATGTCCTGTAGTGTCAGATGTAGGACCAGGCCATGTCCTGTAGTGTCAGATGTAGGACCAGGTCATGTCCTGTAGTGTCAGATGTAGGACCAGGCCATGTCCTGTAGTGTCAGATGTAGGACCAGGCCATGTCCTGTAGTGTCAGATGTAGGACCAGGCCATGTCCTGTTTTGTCAGAAGTAGGACCAGGCCATGTCCTGTAGTGTCAGATGAAGGACAATGCCATGTGCTGTACTGTCAGATGTAGGACCAGGCCATGTCCTGTAGTGTTAGATGTAGGACAAGGCCATGTCCTGTAGTGTCAGAAGTAGGACCAGGCCATGTCCTGTAGTGTCAGATGTAGGACCAGGCCATGTCCTGTAGTGTCAGAAGTAGGACCAGGCCATGTCCTGTTTTGTCAGATGTAGGACCAGGTCTTGTCCTGTAGTTTGAGATGTAGGACCAGGCCATGTCCTGTAGTGTCAGATGTAGGACCAGGCCATGTCCTGTAGTGTCAGATGTAGGACCAGGCCATGTCCTGTAGTGTCAGATGTAGGACCAGGCCATGTCCTGTAGTGTCAGATGTAGGACCCGGCCATGTCCTGTAGTGTCAGATGTAGGACCAGGCCATGTCCTGTTTTGTCAGAAGTAGGACCAGGCCATGTCCTGTAGTGTCAGATGTAGGACCAGGCCATGTCCTGTAGTGTCAGATGTAGGACCAGGCCATGTCCTTTAGTGTCAGATGTAGGACCAGGCCATGTCCTGTAGTGTCAGATGTAGGACCAGGCCATGTCCTGTAGTGTCAGATGTAGGACCAGGCCATGTCCTGTAGTGTCAGATGTAGGACCAGGCCATGTCCTGTAGTGTCAGATGTAGGACCAGGCCATGTCCTGTAGTGTCAGGCCATGTCCTGTAGTGTCAGATGTAGGACCAGGCCATGTCCTGTAGTGTCAGATGTAGGACCAGGCCATGTCCTTTAGTGTCAGATGTAGGACCAGGCCATTTTCTGTAGTGTCAGATGTAGGACCAGGCCATGTCCTGTAGTGTCTGATGTAGGACCAGGCCATGTCCTGTAGTGTCAGATGTAGGACCAGGCCATGTCCTGTAGTGTTAGATGTAGGACCTAAACGTGCCCCCCTGTTTCAGATTGATGACCACAGCAAGTTAAGTTTTGGCAGGTGTAGGATCAGGGGGTATGTCTTGTAGTTTCTAATACAGGACAACGGCATACTCTGTTTCAAGACCTGCTCCAATTAAAAGTTTTGAATACTTATAACTTAAAATGGGGATTTGCATAAGATACAGAAAATAACACGGACTTCTACATAAAGTAAATAACAGGTTTATTTGTCAACAAACTAAGTATTACACAATCTGCCATCAATCTATCGACATGAACAATCCTTTGCTATATAAAGGGTACAGTTTCATTTCTTTACAGATCTGCCCGATTTTTACATTATATGACACACTTTGTAGAAATGATACACTTGTACTACAAAATATAGAAGTCATGACATATATCAAAGATAACCTGATTTAAGTTGTAGTGATAATCAGCATCCGTAAGAGATTTTTCCCCGAGAAATACCTGTAAATCAATCATGTGGTGATGTTAAAAAGGTGGATATAATTTACACCACTGCATTCACTTGTAAACAACTTCAAGGTGTTTATATCTGAAGTACTATGGTGGTGGTGACAAGGTCATGCCAGTTTAAATGCTCAGTGTAAAGCGATGGTAATCCAGGCTCCACTGCTCTGACACAATCCAGTCAGTGTCTACATGACACGGTTGAGATCAGTCACAGTCCAACAACTTTTGTTGGCAATAAGATGCTAGATGTTTTAGTAAATAAATATACAGGATAAATCTCCTCATTCCCATCACTCATTTAAGTAAAACACCATATCATTCAGCTAGCATTCCATGGCTTTTATCCATCATTTGTGAATGGAAATTGATAAAATTTAAATATCAGTCTGATATCTAAACCTTACATAGGCAAAATATGTTCAGATAACAGATTTGGCAGGAAATATTCAGGTAACGGGTTTGGCTAAGGAAGATCACTAGGATTAAAAAGGAACACAGACTCCAGGTTACTTCTGTAACAATCTCCAACATTGACTACATGTCTCTATTTATATGATGCATCTTATGTCCTGTTAAACTACACATATGCAGTCAAACTGTGTATGTTGACAGTAATTTCTATGACATCATATCCAGCACTTGGCCTATATCTAGAGTATTCAGAAACCTGGCTGACTTTGGGACAAGTTTTCTTCAAAGTAGAGCAGAAAGCTTTCTAACCAAACAAAACATGCAGCATACATATCAGTACCATGAATGTAAATATTGCAAAATTTTCCAAAACAGTCAAAAATAGAAAAAATCTAGAAAATAATATTTACAGTGACCTTTTCAAGTCTTTTCCAGTAGACTATGAAGAAGTCACCAAACTCCATCACAAACATGCTCATAGATACTGAAGCGGTTAACCTCAGGTATTGGTTAATTAAAGTCCTCGTTACCTACCCGTCAATAAATCTTTATCATATATACTGTGTCAAACACAAAGTTAACTGCAACAAAAAGTGAAGGTCAACAACAGAATATTGATGTAGAGTATTGTATATACAAAATTTATAAATACAGAACCGGGTAAAGCTGAGGACTCCCAGGAAACAATGTCCTGTCTTACAAAAACTCATTTATTGAGTCAAAGATTTAGTTTAATTACATACAATCTGCAGAAATGTTTTATTCCACATTAACATATTCTTAATATATAAACATTTTTCAATTACTTCAATTAAAATCAATACTTGAGGATAAATCAAACTTTGAGAAGTTGCAGCATTTTGAAAACAGAGAAGCTGAATGAGGCCCATTGGTGTTTATGGACAACTTTTGAAAATCCTCAAATATGGATGGCTAGCAAAATTTAGTAAGAGATCATGTTATGCACTTCTCAGGTATAAACTAATGTAGATATGAGCCTCAAGGTATTTCAGGTCATATAAAGAACTTTTTGTCACCTTAAATCTGAACCAAGTACATCTGAACCTGATCTTAAACTAGAATGCACAATAACTCTGGTGCACCTGCTCTCCAGATACTTTATATGTAGTCCAAATACATTTAAATTGATCAGTCAATGTAATTTCCCGGTTCCCAGATAGTTAGAAAATAGGGTACCATGATATAACATGTGATGTTCAACATTTGATGGCAACAGCACTCTACTCAGTATGTCTAATTTTGTGACATGACTAAAAACAGACACTGAAGCTTCTACACTACACTTCAAAAAGTATATAAAGATATATATATATATTTAATTACAATACACATTTCTTATCTTCAACTTTTGGATAAAAAAAGGATTAATGCATTATGCTAACCTGATATGTACCAAGAATAACAAAAAATACTACAAACACCTAGAAATTTTGGTTTGTTCAGTCCAGGCCTAAATTCACAATGATCATTATGTACAGAAGATCTGATAATAAAGGACAGGGATTTCCAATTTTTCAATAATACTGCTCGGATTTTTATCTAGAAAAGTACAACTGAGGAAAAGATGGTTCTAAATTTCATTATGCAAAAGAAATGATAATGACCTCTCAAGCTTAATTGATTCATTACATTAAACAATAGGAAATTAATTAGTAATAAATAATATCATCAATGTAACAGACATACCTACTCTAGATTAATTATCTTAGTATCAGATGCGCCGTTATAAAAAGACTTGCATCAAAATTAGCCTGACTTCCAGTACACATTCAGATCTATTGCAAGACAAAAAAACTCCATAACTTACATTACACAAGCATAGATAACATCTAACATCTGGAATTCACATTAATCCTGTTTTACAAAATTTAAAAAAGAAAATGTATATATTAAATGAATGCACCTACAGTTATTTATTCTCTAAAGAAAACACTGCCAAGAATTTGATTACATATAACAATTCAGTATGTGATTCTCATGTAAAGACTAACCGACCCATCATTTGCTGTATGACCTTGTCATAACCTTTCTTACACAATAACAGGGAAAGTCCGTTCCCAACATACTTTTTCCATTATAAAGTATCGGATACAATTTTGGTGGTCTTTCAGTTATAATCTAGGGTCACTATAGCCATGTTTCTTCCACCGTTTCCAGCATGCCACCTCTCACTGAAGGACCAGTCATTGTAATTTCTCACAGTGAAGTGGAAGATGAGTTTCCTGATCTACTACAAATGCTCAGGCCTTTTTGGCAGCAACATTGGCTTGTGCCATCATTTCATCTAAAGACTGATGAGGGGCGGGAAGCTTCAATTCATTGGGTGTAACCCCCCAAATTTCCTTGGCATATTCTGATATTGTCCGGTCACTGGAAAACTTGCCTGACGAAGCTATGTTCAACAAACACATCCTGGACCATTTAGCTTGATCCTGAAATTGTAGATATAGATATACAGTATCAGTTAAAGCACACTTAAAATGTCCAAACACAACAACTATATGTAAGTGAAATCCTCCCCTCAATGTAACAATGTTATAAACATATCTACTTTATTTCTATGGTAGAATTTCATCATTTCATTAGATTTTTTACCGATGAAATACAGGAATTAAACAATCTGGTAAAAGCTTATGTCATCACTGCAGTAATATGTATCATCACAAGTGAAAATAGTGCTATAACTTTGACCAATCAGAGTGGTGCTTTTTAGTGTACTAACATAAAAATTAGCTGATTTTCTCGTTCAGACACGACACATAGGAAGGATGTATTAAATGAGTTGGTTTTCCATTAAATCTGTGTTTTTTTAATCATCACTTGTGATGATAAAACTTTTCCAGTAATGATATAACTTTTCTAGTGATGATATAACTTTTCCAATGATGATATAACTTTTCTAGTGAACTTTTCTAGTGATGATATAACTTTTCCAATGATGATATAACTTTTCTAGTGAACTTTTCCAGTGATGATATAACTTTTCTAGTGATGATATAACTTTTCTAGTGAACTTTTCTAGTGATGATATAACTTTTCTAGTGAACTTTTCCAGTGATGATATAACTTTTCTAGTGATGATATAACTTTTCCACTGATGATATAGCTTTTCTAGTGATGATATAACTTTTCTAGTGAACTTTTCCAGTGATGATATAACTTTTCTAGTGATGATATAACTTTTCTAGTGAACTTTTCTAGTGATGATATAACTTTTCTAGTGATGATATAACTTTTCTAGTGATGATATAACTTTTCTAGTGAACTTTTCTAGTGATGATATAACTTTTCTAGTGATGATATAACTTTTCTAGTGAACTTTTCTAGTGATGATATAACTTTTCTAGTGATGATATAACTTTTCTAGTGAACTTTTCTAGTGATGATATAACTTTTCTAGTGATGATATAACTTTTCTAGTGAACTTTTCTAGTGATGATATAACTTTTCTAGTGATGATATAACTTTTCTAGTGAACTTTTCTAGTGATGATATAACTTTTCCAATGATGATATAACTTTTCTAGTGAACTTTTCTAGTGATGATATAACTTTTCTAGTGAACTTTTCTAGTGATGATATAACTTTTCTAGTGATGATCTATAACTTTTCTAGTGATGATATAACTTTTCTAGTGATGATATAACTTTTCTAGTGATGATATAACTTTTCTAGTGAACTTTTCTAGTGATGATATAACTTTTCTAGTGATGATATAACTTTTCTAGTGAACTTTTCTAGTGATGATATAACTTTTCTAGTGATGATATAACTTTTCTAGTGAACTTTTCTAGTGATGATATAACTTTTCTAGTGATGATATAACTTTTCTAGTGAACTTTTCTAGTGATGATATAACTTTTCTAGTGATGATATAACTTTTCTAGTGATGATATAACTTTTCCAATGATGATATAACATTTCTAGTGAACTTTTCTAGTGATGATATAACTTTTCCAATGATGATATAACTTTTCTAGTGATGATATAACTTTTCTAGTGATGATATAACTTTTCTAGTGATGATATAACTTTTCTAGTGAACTTTTCTAGTGATGATATAACTTTTCTAGTGAACTTTTCTAGTGATGATATAACTTTTCTAGTGAACTTTTCTAGTGATGATATAACTTTTCTAGTGATGATATAACTTTTCTAGTGATGATATAACTTTTCTAGTGATGATATAACTTTTCTAGTGATGATATATAACTTTTCTAGTGATGATATAACTTTTCTAGTGATGATATAACTTTTCTAGTGAACTTTTCTAGTGATATATAACTTTTCTAGTGAACTTTTCTAGTGATGATATAACTTTTCTAGTGAACTTTTCTAGTGATGATATAACTTTTCTAGTGATGATATATAACTTTTCTAGTGATGATATAACTTTTCTAGTGAACTTTTCCAGTGATGATATAACTTTTCTAGTGAACTTTTCTAGTGATGATATAACTTTTCTAGTGATGATATAACTTTTCTAGTGATGATATAACTTTTCTAGTGAACTTTTCCAGTGATGATATAACTTTTCTAGTGATGATATAACTTTTCTAGTGATGATATAACTTTTCTAGTGATGATATAACTTTTCTAGTGAACTTTTTCAGTGATGATATAACTTTTCTAGTGAACTTTTTCAGTGATGATATAACTTTTCTAGTGATGATATAACTTTTCTAGTGATGATATAACTTTTCTAGTGAATGATATAACTTTTCTAGTGATTTTTCAGATGATATAACTTTTCTAGTGATGATATAACTTTTCTAGTGATGATATAACTTTTCTAGTGAACTGATATAAACTTTTCTAGTGAACTTTTCTAGATGATATAACTTTTCTAGTGATGATATAACTTTTCTAGTGATGATATAACTTTTCTAGTGAACTTTTCCAGTGATGATATAACTTTTCTAGTGATGATATAACTTTTCTAGTGGTGATATAACTTTTCTAGTGATGATATAACTTTTCTAGTGAACTTTTCCAGTGATGATATAACTTTTCTAGTGATGATATAACTTTTCCAATGATGATATAACTTTTCTAGTGATGATATAACTTTTCTAGTGATGATATAACTTTTCTAGTGATGATATAACTTTTCTAGTGATGATATAACTTTTCTAGTGATGATATAACTTTTCAAGTGATGATATAACTTTTCTAGTGATGATATAACTTTTCCAGTGATGATATAACTTTTCTAGTGACGATATAACTTTTCTAGTGAACTTTACCAGTGGTGATATAACTTTTCTAGTGATGATATAACTTTTCCAGTGATGATATAACTTTTCTAGTGATGATATAACTTTTCCAGTGATGATATAACTTTTCTAGTGAACTTTTCTAGTGATGATATAACTTTTCCAATGATGATATAGCTTTTCTAGTGATGATATAACTTTTCTAGTGAACTTTTCTAGTGATGATATAACTTTTCTAGTGATGATATAACTTTTCTAGTGAACTTTTTCAGTGATGATATAACTTTTCTAATGATGATATAACTTTTCTAGTGATGATATAACTTTTCTAGTGATGATATAACTTTTCTAGTGAACTTTTCTAGTGATGATATAACTTTTCTAGTGAACTTTTCCAGATATATAACTTTTCTAGTGAACTTTTCTAGTGATGATATAACTTTTCTAGTGATGATATAACTTTTCTAGTGAACTTTTCTAGTGATGATATAACTTTTCTAGTGATGATATAACTTTTCTAGTGATGATATATAACTTTTCTAGTAACTTTTCTATGATGATATAACTTTTCTAGTGATGATATAACTTTTCTAGTGATGATATAACTTTTCTAGTGAACTTTTCCAGTGATGATATAACTTTTCTAGTGAACTTTTCCAATGATGATATAACTTTTCTAGTGATGATATTACTTTTCTAGTGATGATATAACTTTTCTAGTGAACTTTTCTAGTGATGATATAACTTTTCTAGTGATATAACTTTTCTAGTGAACTTTTCTAGTGCTGATATAACTTTTCCAGTGATGATATTCTAGTGATGTTATAACTGTTGTAATTCTATGGTAGTGTTACATTGGTTTATTTCGTGGTAGCATTCTTACCAGATATGTCTGACTGACACGCTCCTGGCATTTGACGTAGGATTCAAAGTCCTTCAACAGCAAGAATCTGAAAACACAAGAAATTCAGAATCCAATGTGTACAGATGAAAACAAGCTACAAGAGTTAAAACCATATGCTTTGCAATGAGCAGCTGCGACACAAAAAGTAGATTTGTATAAATGGCCTCACCTAGCCGTTCAAAATCATTTCATATGTATTGTGAGGAAACAAGGTGATTCAAGAAAGAAATACTAGCAATGTACCGTGAGAAAAAGAAACAATCTGGACAGCTATTATCTGAACAAAACATGGACCATCAGAGATGGGTTTTGCTCCCTGAATGGGACAAAGTTAAAGTATGAAAAATATCAAAGGGCAATAACTCCTAAATTATGCAAAGGAGAGTGATAGATCGATCTTCCTATGCAGTTTCATGTTGATATCTCTTATAGTTTGTGTTCTGCTCCAGACAAAATTATGACAGACATACGCACAAACAAACGTACAGACAAAACAGCGACTATATGCCCTCCGTTTGGGGAGCATAAAGAAGACTGAGCACTGAGTTACCTGTCATGGTTGAGGAGAATGTTGACCAGCTCCTGGAAGAGGTGGGGTTCATCAGGTGAGAAGTAGCCACTAGACATCTGGTCGATGATCTGTTTCAACTCTGGATTGCTTTCATAGTACTGTTTTGAGTTGTACCTGATAACAATGAGATGGCAGCATTAGAACACAATATATCCTTCAACTCCCCCTGGTACAGGTTGGACACTGATCACTGGAGGTACTGTAAATCACGTTGATTTCCCGAATACTTAATTTCGCAAACTAACCTCTTAAGACTTATTTGTGAAAAAAGGTACATTATTTCACAAGTGATCTAAAAATGACTTTAAAATTGCAAATGATAAGTTATTTGAGACAAGGAGTCTTCAATGTCAGTGACAGAGTCAAAATGGATGCTATCCCGAGACATTTTTGTACAAATAATTGCAAGGGATTTGAATTCCCAACTGACTCTCCTGGTGGATTAATGTGAAAATATATCCCTTGCGAAATATTGGTGATTTACAGAAGTTGTCTTATATAATGTGTATAATACAATTACTTACATTGTACTGCTTGAAATATGTATTTTTGTGATTCCTTCCATTCTGAGCCCAATTGTAATAATATGTATTGATTATTATCATGAAAATAAATTACTGTGCTCTCCCAACTTTGGACCTGCATGTTTCATCACACAAATAAACCTACTTCTAACTCCCTTATTCCTTCAGTGCACTTGCAGATTCAGTCTTCTATTTCTCGTTACCAAATAGGAGACTGGTAAACAAATAGATTAAGTGGAAATATCTGATTATGTATATTTTCTGTGTTGTGGATTTTTGTTTGTATTAGTATGCAAGAACTGATCTGTAGAGCCTATTATATCCAATAACAGGACCATGAGTGAACTGAAAATAAATTGAGAACATGAAGAACTCTGAGAGTGTTGTCAGTTATATAAGAATACCATATGTAACATCAATCTGTGAATATGTAAGCCACATTTACACTCACTCTTTGTTCTATCAAAAGTCTGTGAATATGTAAGCCACATTTACCCTCTCTCTTGGTTTGTTCTAACATAAATCTGTGAATATGTAAGCCACATTTACCCTCTCTCTTGTATTATGTAAGCCACATTTACCCCTCTCTCTTGGTTTGTTCTATCAAAAGTCTGTGAATATGTAAGCCACATTTACCCCTCTCTCTTGGTTTGTTCTAACATAAATCTGTGAATATGTAAGCCACATTTACCCCTCTCTCTTGGTTTGTTCTATCAAAAGTCTGTGAATATGTAAGTCACATTTACCCCTCTCTCTTGGTTTGTTCTATCAAAAGTCTGTGAATATGTAAGCCACATTTACCCCTCTCTCTTGGTTTGTTCTAACATCAATCTGTGATTATGTAAGCCACATTTACCCCTCTCTCTTGGTTTGTTCTATCAAAAGTCTGTGAATATGTAAGCCACATTTACCCTCTCTCTTGTTTTGTTCTAACATCAATCTGTGATTATGTAAGCCACATTTACCCCTCTCTCTTGGTTTGTTCTATCAAAAGTCTGTGAATATGTAAGCCACATTTACCCTCTCTCTTGGTTTGTTCTAACATCAATCTGTGATTATGTAAGCCACATTTACCCTCACTCTTTGTTTGTTCTATCAAAAGTCTGTGAATATGTAAGCCACATTTACCCTTCTCTCTTGGTTTGTTCTAACATCAATCTGTGATTATGTAAGCCACATTTACCCTCTCTCTTGGTTTGTTCTAACATAAATCTGTGAATATGTAAGCCACATTTACCCCTCTCTCTTGGTTTGTTCTAACATCAATCTGTGATTATGTAAGCCACATTTATTATGTAAGCCACATTTACCCTTCTCTCTTGGTTTGTTCTATCAAAAGTCTGTGAATATGTAAGCCACATTTACCCCTCTCTCTTGGTTTGTTCTAACATAAATCTGTGAATATGTAAGCCACATTTACCCTCTCTCTTTGTTTGTTCTAACATAAATCTGTGAATATGTAAGCCACATTTACCCTCTCTCTTGGTTTGTTCTATCAAAAGTCTGTGAATATGTAAGCCACATTTACCCTCTCTCTTGGTTTGTTCTAACATCAATCTGTGATTATGTAAGCCACATTTACCCCTCTCTCTTGGTTTGTTCTAACATAAATCTGTGAATATGTAAGCCACATTTACCCTTCTCTCTTTGTTTGTTCTAACATAAATCTGTGAATATGTAAGCCACATTTAGCCCTCTCTCTTGGTTTGTTCTAACATCAATCTGTGAATATGTAAGCCACATTTACCCTTCTCTCTTGGTTTGTTCTAACATAAATCTGTGAATATGTAAGCCACATTTACCCTTCTCTCTTGGTTTGTTCTAACATAAATCTGTGAATATGTAAGCCACATTTACCCTCTCTCTTGGTTTGTTCTAACATAAATCTGTGAATATGTAAGCCACATTTACCCCTCTCTCTTGGTTTGTTCTAACATCAATCTGTGAATATGTAAGCCACATTTACCCCTGTGTATTGGTTTTTTCTAACATAAATCTGTGAATATGTAAGCCACATTTACCCTCTCTCTCTTGGTTTGTTCTATCAAAAGTTTGTTCTAACATAAATCTGTGAATATGTAAGCCACATTTACCCCTCTCTCTTGGTTTGTTCTAACATAAATCTGTGAATATGTAAGCCACATTTACCCATCTCTCTTGGTTTGTTCTATCAAAAGTCTGTGAATATGTAAGCCACATTTAGCCCTCTCTCTTGGTTTGTTCTAACATAAATCTGTGAATATGTAAGCCACATTTACCCCTCTCTCTTGGTTTGTTCTAACATCAATCTGTGAATATGTAAGCCACATTTACCCTTCTCTCTTGGTTTGTTCTATCAAAAGTCTGTGAATATGTAAGCCACATTTACCCCTCTCTCTTGGTTTGTTCTAACATCAATCTGTGATTATGTAAGCCACATTTACCCCTCTCTCTTGGTTTGTTCTAACATCAATCTGTGATTATGTAAGCCACATTTACCCTCTCTCTTGGTTTGTTCTATCAAAAGTCTGTGAATATGTAAGCCACATTTACCCTCTCTCTTGGTTTGTTCTAACATCAATCTGTGATTATGTAAGCCACATTTACCCTTCTCTCTTGGTTTGTTCTATCAAAAGTCTGTGAATATGTAAGCCACATTTACCCTCTCTCTTGGTTTGTTCTATCAAAAGTCTGTGAATATGTAAGCCACATTTACCCCTCTCTCTTGGTTTGTTCTAACATCAATCTGTGAATATGTAAGCCACATTTACCCTTTCTCTTGGTTTGTTCTAACATCAATCTGTGAATATGTAAGCCACATTTACCCCTCTCTCTTGGTTTGTTCTAACATCAATCTGTGAATATGTAAGCCACATTTACCCCTCTCTCTTGGTTTGTTCTAACATAAATCTGTGAATATGTAAGCCACATTTACCCCTCTCTCTTGGTTTGTTCTAACATCAATCTGTGATTATGTAAGCCACATTTACCCTTCTCTCTTGGTTTGTTCTAACATCAATCTGTGAATATGTAAGCCACATTTACCCTCTCTCTTGGTTTGTTCTATCAAAAGTCTGTGAATATGTAAGCCACATTTACCCTCTCTCTTGGTTTGTTCTATCAAAAGTCTGTGAATATGTAAGCCACATTTACCCCTCTCTCTTGGTTTGTTCTAACATCAATCTGTGAATATGTAAGCCACATTTACCCTCTCTCTTGGTTTGTTCTATCAAAAGTCTGTGAATATGTAAGCCACATTTACCCCTCTCTCTTGGTTTGTTCTATCAAAAGTCTGTGAATATGTAAGCCACATTTACCCTCTCTCTTGGTTTGTTCTATCAAAAGTCTGTGAATATGTAAGCCACATTTACCCTCTCTCTTGGTTTGTTCTAACATCAATCTGTGAATATGTAAGCCACATTTACCCCTCTCTCTTGGTTTGTTCCACCTCCTCAACCTCCATGCCAAAGATGAAAATGTTTTCCGGCCCCATCTCCTCCCTCATCTCCACATTGGCTCCATCCAGTGTGCCAATGGTCAGTGCGCCATTCAACATAAATTTCATGTTTCCGGTACCTGAAGCTTCCGTGCCAGCGGTGGAGATCTGCTCGCTCAGGTCAGCTGCGGGGATGATTTTCTCAGCCAAGGACACACGGTAATTCTCCAAGTATATAATCTTGAGTCGGTCTCCAATAATTGGATCATTGTTTACCACCTTAGCCACTGAGTTGATCAGCTTGATGATCAGCTTGGCAGTGTGGTATCCCGGGGCAGCCTGACAAAAACGTATCTTGTTAGACACTTGTGCTTTTATCCAATATATTGTAAATGTGAGTGATAAGAAGCAACTTGGTTTTCAACAAAAGTGATAGGACTCTGAAATTTCAGGATTACAATAATAATTCGTATATATAAGGGTTAAAAACCTTATAAATATACATCATGCTCACCCCTTAATTTGATGGAGGTAAATGTTATGTAAACCAAAGACAACAAAGAGTCTCCTTGCAAATTGCAGGAATGGCAAGTATACCACTATGAATGCCTTTAGTTTTTTTTTCTCTCCTTATCCACTCTATTGTAAATATTACCTTGCCTCCAACCATTATTGTCCTTGGTACGAAAGCCATGTTGGGATCCCTCTTCAGTCGGTTGTACAACAGGATCATATGTAAACAGTTCATCAGCTGGCGTTTGTACTCATGGATACGCTTCACTTGGATGTCAAAGATGGATGCTGGGTTCACTGTCACATTGTATTCCTTAAGGATGTACTCTGCCAGCTTCATCTTATTCTCCTGCAAGTAACAAGTTTGTATTGTTTTGCTATAATTCATCATGTTATCTGTACCACTGAACTGATAACAGAATAATCAGGTTTCTGTCCGTTAATGCATCAGAATGCAGGACTATGCCATTCAATTCTTCTGAAATATACTTATCAACTAGGATAAGATAATACAGAATAGTGGAAAGATAACAGTGCTTTTCAACCTCTTCTTTAAAACATATTTATCTTGGAAAATATGACACATTAGTTGTTTTTTTCAGACTGTTATGACCTTAAATTGGCCTACCTGTTTGACCTTCATGATTTTGTTCAGGTAAGACTCTTCCTCTACGAACTGTTTAAGCTGGGCAAGTTCATACAGATCTGTAGCCCAAGTCTCTCCAATTTTCTGGAATAAAAAAAATTTCAGCAAGGAACAAAATACTGAGTCTATCCCGTTTAAACAACCATTCAGTGGGTTGTACAATAAACAAACTGCTCAAAGTTTATCTACTTGTACTTCTAGATCTGAGGTAAATTCATACTTAAGGGTGAAATCTGAAAATAGCTCTTTGCTGAAAAGATTTGGTTTGTAGCATTAATGGCTCAAAATGTTCAATACTGTGTCAAAACTTGGAAATCAAAGGGTTATCTTACACATACAATGTACCAAATTCACATCAAAGTCCAAACAGTACCATACATTTAAACCACAGTTCAAACAGTACCAAACATTAACACCTGAGTTCAAATAGAACCTTACACTCAGACTAGAGCTCAAACAAAATCAATGACATTTGAACAAAGGCTTTCATAACTTTTAAAATATGACTTTGTGTTAACTACTGCATCCACTGACCTCAGCTATGACATCAGACAGACCAGGGTTACACAGCAGCAGCCAGCGCCGCGGTGTGATACCATTAGTCTTGTTCTGGAATTTCTCAGGATACATATCATAGAAGTCCTTAAACCTGGAATATATAATGGACCATCATAATACTACACTTAAACAACATATCTAGATTTTCTTAATATACACCCTACCTATACAGATTAACCTATGAGACTTTATAGACTGGTGAGGTTTTATAAACAAAATCAGATATTCCTCTGTTTATCATATTACCAAATTAAATCTTTTCCCCCTCCAACATGAAGATTATTTTCCCCAATTTAAATAGAAATGAGATGTAAGTAATGTAACCACTTACGTATCATTTTTGATGATGTTGGAATGGATAGCTGCCACACCGTTGATGGCGTGGGAGCCCACAATGGCTAAGTGAGCCATGTTGATTTTCTTCTCTCCACTTTCCTCCACTAGAGACATCCGCCTCATCCTGTCAAAATCATTTGGGAAACGTTTTCCTACCTCCTGCAATATCAAAGATATATAGACACTGTCAATACAATCATTGAAGTCAGTGTATCTGTAGGAAACTGGTAATAATGACTTGGGACAGAGTATTGAATAAAGATACTAATTGATAACCTTTGGATTGTTAGAAAGGCACATGTAAGGGGAGATAATCGGACACAAAGGTGTAGACACTATTTAAGATCAAATACTCTGTAATAGCTTTTTTTTACATTAAATGGTGGTTGTAGAGATTTACTTAATGAGAAAAAATCAGAGAAGACTTACCTGCATAAAGTTATGGTTGATGAGGTATATGATTTCTAAGTGTCTTGGCAGGAGGTTGCCCAACAGCGAGACAGGCCAACGCTCCAAGGCCTCAGGAAGCACTGTGTGGTTTGTGTATGCACAGGTATTCACACAGATAGGCCAAGCCTTGTCCCATGGAACATGTTCAATGTCCACCAAGATTCTCAACAACTCCGGGATAGCTAGCGCAGGGTGAGTGTCATTCAGTTGAATAGCAACCTGTAATAGCATTTCTTATCTGTAAACAACCAAACTACTACCTGGTTTTTCTGTTTCTATTTTATCAGTATTATTTTTCAAAACATCACATCAGCAAAACGTTTTGATGATCGTCTAATTACCTTGTCTGGAAATGATTCAAAGGATGTGCGCACTGGATCCCTGCTACCAAACTTGGACGACTTGAACCTTCTGATAATATCCTGAAGTGTGGCTGCCACCAAGAAATACTCTTGTTTGAGACGTAACTCCTTCCCCTCAAACATCTGTAAGATACAGAATATCGCTGTCATAAATATACATATATATATAAAAAAGAATGATTAACTCAAAGAATGTCATCCTCAAAGTTTTGGAAAATTGAGAATATCCTTCAATGATTTACTTAAGGATACTGAAGGAGATTTTTCTGGAGCAGGCCTATGAGGCCTCTTTACCAGACTCCTCTAGTATGTCCCACCTAGAAGATGGGTCGCCACCTCTGATAATTACCTTGTAAATTTGAAAGAAACAAAATCTTAAAGTCCTGAACATTTGACAGCCACAAGAGATGTCTTCCCTGAGAATGAATGTACTTACATTGTCGTTGGGGTAGAGTACCCGGGATATATTCTCGGCTTGGTTTCTGTCACACACAGCATCAATGTAGGAGCCATTGTTAACTAAAGAAATGATTAAATTCACTGTATTACTGGAAGTGATGATGAAGGAGGCACTTGTGTTTAGATTATATCTGTGATGTGGGAGGGAACAATAGGCCTAAGGGGGCTTGCATCTCCAATCTGGCTTATTCACTCACCTATTCAGTCATTTAACAAAGAATTTCAAAGATGACATATGATTTCTGAAGTAATTTCCCTATTGGATCCCAGTCTTGTGGTCGAACAGAAGCCAGATTCACCATTCATAAAGATTGCTACAAACTTGGACAATATCATTGTATGGAAGAAGGAATTTTAAGAACTTTCATTTCCCGTATTAGGTGAGTTTATAATGAACTGTAGTCATGATTATCACACAGTTCCAAATCCTTGTATCATAATTATAACAACATTGAAAATGAGAAGCAAAATAGGCATTCTATCAAAAGCCATTTCTCTCTGGTCTTAAAAAAATGATGAGGAAAAGATGTGTGAAAGTTTTTATTCTCCACCCACTCCTATGGCCTCACAAGTTGTTGTCTATACATACCATTACTATGTTTTATTCCCCACCCACTCCTATGGCCTCACAAGTTGTTGTCTATACATACCATTACTATGATTGCCAAGATCTATGACAGTACAGTCTGAACTTACAAAACTTGAGGTTGAAGCTGTTTGGAGCCTTGGCTGCCCACAGTCGCATTGTGTTAACAGTGTTGTTCCCATAGCCAGGGATAGGGCTATCAAACGGCATACCAAACACCACCTAAAAATCACACATAAATCACAAATCTCATTACTGCAAATAAAATGTGTTCAAAATAAATCTCATTGTATAATAATTATATTTTAGTTATTGAATTTTACAGGTTATGTTCTAACCTTATTTTCATAATATCCCTAAGATTTTTTTTTTTTCAATTCTTAAAAGTCATGAAATTCCAGAGGACGTTTTTCCTGATTTGAGCAGGTCATGACTGGGCTAATAACACCACCTGATTCAACAAAATCAGGTGAGATGTGAACACTGTCTTCAAATTGATTGAGAATTTTTAATTACCATATTCAGTTCTTGATACCAATGAGTGTTTACATTCCCAACAGTGTTTACATATATCAAGTTTTTCTGTTTACAGGTGTACTTTGATACCACTCAGCAAGCTAACACAAGAGAAATTTGTGACAAATTGAAGAAGTTTCAGCTTAATAGAATTACTTCATATATTTACTATTAATAACAAAAATCCTCCACACTTGACTATCAGACACATCCTAATTGGCGACACACATTTTACATGGGGCCCTTATATCTGTTTAGCACAGAAGATTATTTATCTTCATTTTTCGTTAAATCTACAATAAATTTCACATGCGAAAATACTTTTGACATGATCTCAGCTTATAGCTGATGGAATAGTTTTGTACATATTATGACAATTTAATTTGTATGATTAAGGTAAACTGTTGCTTCATAAAAATTAAAACCTGATTATTTATGAGAAGAAATAGGTGAATTTACAAAACATCAAACTAAACCCTGTCACACCTTCAAGGCTATTAAAGAAAGCCATTGAGATAAATAGATAAGTTGTTTGACAGCAAGATACATCATAGTACTTATCGAGATAGGTATCATTACCCTGAGTCCTACACAAACAAATCCCAAATATTTGTCATGGACCACGTCACGTAGTGATAGGATCAGTTTCACTATCATAATAGATAATCAAAAACACAAAATTGATCGATAATAAATTGGTTTTCTAAATTTAGTATAGAATTAAAAATAGAAAATAAATGTTCATTTTAATACTGAATACAAACAACAATAAAATGTTTTATATTGTATGTTAATTGTACAAAGAATCAACAGGACTTCTAAACTAGGTTAAATTACAAAAGTTTCATGACTCAAATATACAAACACTTTCTGACATTAATTAACTGACTTTTCAAAATCATCATCAATGATCACTTCTACTATTTTCTTGCGGCTAGTTTTTGCTTTTCCTAAATCATTGGCACACCAGAAGTAAATCCATCAGAATTGTAATGAGTTGCAGAAAATCAGTATTTCTGAAGAATTTTAAGCATCATTTGAAAGTGATTTCTTTTGGCACTATTCTCGCTGAAAACTTGGTGAAAATATAAAAATACCATAAAGTTACAGCGTTTGTGCAGTAATATTCTTACTGTTGTGTCCACCCACTGTTTAACTCCATTGTTCTCCACCACACGCCCGTAGAAATTGATTGGCAGTACATACTCCGGGCGAGACTTTTCCCAGGGATTTCCATACCTCAGCCACTCGTCAGGCTCCTCTTTCTACAACATAACAGTTGGTTGGTAATAGGATGATAACAAACAACTAGAATTCTGGTAATCAAGGATCTGTGTTGATAAACACTTTACCACCCTTAAGGGGGTACAGAAGTATATCTTTTTAGAAATTAGTAAATAAACTGTGAGACATCTGATATTTGATATTCAACAGGATTTTAAAAAAATGTTTAAAAAGAGTCTATTCTTCTTGAAGAAACTTATTAAAACTAGGTTTCAGCCAGCAGGAACATAAACTAGAAAACAACTACGTAGATGTTCATCCTAACTAATAGAATCTGTATACCCCAAAGTGAAAAACCTTCAGTCAGTGACTGCCAGTATCAACCCCTCCATTCAAAGACAATACCTAGTCAGTAACCACCTGTCTTAAAAGCCCATCTCTTTTCTCTGACTTTTTGTGTTGCGACCACCTGCAAGCATCCATATAAAGACAGTCCACCTATAAAAAGAGGTCACGTCTATTCAGACCCCATCTATGTAAAGAGACCACCTACATCTGAGACCATGTGTGCAAAAAGACCTCTTGTATCCACACTCAACCCTTTTAAAGAAACTATGTCTATTCAAAGCCTACTTGTATAAAGCTTGTGTATAGCGATCATTTGAATTATTTGAATCCACCTGTGTAAAAAGACAACATCAATTCAGAGTCCACCAGTGTAAAGAAACCACCTCTATTCAGAGACCACCTGTAGTAAGAGACCACCTCTTTTCAGAGACCACCTGTAGTAAGAGACCACCTCTTTTCAGAGACCACCTGTGGTAAGAAACCATCTCTACTCAGAGACCACCTGTGGTAAGAAACCACCTCTACTCAGAGATCATCTGTGGTTAGAAACCACCTCTACTCAGAGACCACCTGTGGTAAGAAACCACCTCTACTCAGAGATCACCTGTGGTAAGAGACCACCTCTTTTCAGAGATCACCTGTGGTAAGAGACTGCCTCTATTCAGAGATCATCTGTGGTAAGAGACCACTATTTGAATCAAGAGATCACCTCTATACAAAGCCCTCCTACATTAAGATATTACCACTATCTAATACTACCTATGTAAAGAAACCACCTGTATCATGAGACTACATGGTAATAATTTCTGTGAATTCCACAATGTAAATATTTGATGCATTCTCTTTCGAGAAAACAGTTTTAATTACATTTCAGTGTCATTACAGATGTGCTCTCTCTATGACATTGACAAAGTATTGATGTAGAGATATAAACATCACTATCAACAGGAATGTTTGTTCATGAGACTATCATGTTTGTCTGGACAAATAACTTCTAATATTGATATTTCATCAAAGATAGGTTTCAGCACACATTCCAGAAATAGGTTCAATACGAGAAGTGGTAATATATTCATCATCCACCCTCCTAGTATGTTACTTGTAATCATGGCTAAACATCTAGAGGACATTTTAAATTTCCATTTTAATTAAATGTTTAAAATCCAACCAGTTACAGGCCTAAGTTTACTTAAGGCATCAACTGAATTTTTTTGTCAACCTAACACACAGTGTATATCCTGTGTGAAATCTGAAATGATGTTGTGACCTGATATTTGATAGATCACATATACCTGTCCATTAAGTTCTGAGCTATTTTTATTTCTTGTGAATCACATCCTGTATGTGTTTTGAAAGTCAACGAAACTAACGAAACTGGATACCATTATGAACTCGAGATTTAACTAAATTTGCAGCAAAGTTTCCAGAAATTCAAATAATAATTTCAAGTATTTGGGAATGCTTTTTTGCATAAACGACTTCTACCTGTATTCTTTCCATGGTCAAATCTTCAATTTCAGCAAAATTGACAATTTTTGTTGACATGATTAGAACATCATGAAGCATGACATCGCAATTTACATGTAATATGATAGGTGAAGCATGAATTGTGAAATCTCAATTACCAGGTAAATCTCTCAGTAAAAATGGTCACTGAAGTGTGCAAAAAATTGTGACAAAAGAAAAACTTTGATAAGAATACCGAGCTACCCCGTAACAAACTGATTCAGGACGCCAAGGACTCGCCCTCTATCATATTACATGTTTGTCAGTGTTTTTCTACAAAATCATCTCAATTACCAGAAGTCTCATTCAGCTCTAATCAAACTGAAAGTCAGAGTGTTTAATAAAGGACACTGGAATAACATGTGTTGAATACCGGACAGTGATATAGAATAGCTTATTACCAGGTGGAGGCTTATTGTTACTACAATCCTTACATCTGCTGATTATATGCAAAGTTGAGGAGGCGTTCCATGTATAATCTCTGCTTTATCTACACTAAACGTAACATTTAGATCTTAGTTCCTGGTTAGAACTGTTTTATTTCAGGCACACTATTTCATTTTCTGCTCAATGCATCAGTATAAGTGAAAAATTCCATATAGACAAACGTTTAGTTCTGACAAGAAGTAAGACTTACCTGCCATCCATTTTCAAACTTTTGTGTAAAGATGCCGTAATCATAACGGATTCCATATCCATATGCAGCTAGACCAAGGGTTGCCATGGAATCCAAGAAGCAGGCAGCCAATCGTCCGAGACCTCCATTGCCGAGTCCAGCATCTTCCTCAATTTCCTCGAGCTCTTCAATGTCAAGGCCGAGCTAAACATAAACGGACACTGCATTGCTATCTTCGAAATTATTGCAAGCTAAACAAAAACAGGCATTATAAGAAAATGAGGCATCAATGTGAAGGGATGATGATTTGAGATGTTCTTACCTGGTACATAGCTTCGTCACAGGCGCTCTGAATGCCCAGGTTTACCATGGTGTTAGAAAGGGTCCTTCCCATGTAGTACTCCAAGGAAAGGTAGTACACACGCTGGAACAGACAGAATCACAGTTAAGGACAGACGGCATACAGACAGATGGATAGGCAAATGGATATACAGATGAACAGACATACAAACTTAAGGAAGGTAGTACATTATAACAAGACATAAATCCAAAAGATACAGGCACAAAACAACAGTCTGTAGATCCTCATTTGATCTAGAAGTTTAAATCCTCTTCAGCAATGAAACCTGACCTAGCGAAATAAAGAGGAACTGATATGAACTTGGATATTAAGACAGAAACCATTTATTAACGACATCTGACATTGACATTTTTATGCATCAGTTGGGTTGGCTGTACAAATTAAATAAGCCATATTTCAGATTTGTACCAGGCATCAAAAACACTACAAACTTGATCCTGTTAAGGATACAATTATTTAACTCAGAACAAATTGGTAAGGTTAGCATTGGTGAAATTAATTCTGTGTTTTAAATTGACTCTTATTGCTGTTGTCCTCTGGTAAACGACATCTAGTGTTAGATACATCTGTGACCATTAGTTATTGCATCGTAAAGGTCAAAATATCTACAAACTTAAAACAGATTTGAAGTGAAAGGATGGAACACTTCCAAAAGAAACATTTAAAAAGCTTCAATGCTTTGTTTTAACAGACATTAAGATCCAGAATACTTGTTGCAACAGTAAAAGGTTACAATACATTTCCTGTGATTTATGAGAGAAATTAGTATTAATGATTACACATTACATTTGTGTTTGGTGTTAAGGGTATATGATACCTTCCATGTCAGTCATGTGATAGGTGTTACCAGATGATATAAATCCCTCGATAGTCAATACCATTCCATTCAAATCTGTCATATTGAATTCTACATATGCATTGTTATAGAATTCTTTTTGAACAACGACTTGATTTCCATGGTGAACAAGATAAAGAATACGTAGACACTTTTTACATGATTAGTGTCTATTTGTCACAGAAAAGTATGAAAAGTACAGTAAGGACTTTTCAATAATGATTTTTAGTGGGTAACATAGAAGCTAGACCATCATACAATATGTATAATTTTTTACCTTGGGTGCCGATAATTATCTACCACTCTGAACTTTGTTATCTCTAAAGGATGCTGTAAAAAGTTACCTCTGTATTCGTCAATATTAGCTTTAAAGTATCAAGGACCTATATTTAAAACATACCAATGTGGCAAATAAATTTGAACTCCCTTATTGAGATAATATCTACCTATGGTACTTATTATAAACATTTATAAAGGTAAGGTACTTTAAACGGGTGACAGTATAAATAAGCAGTAATATCCCTGGAAATGGATTTTATCAGAGAGGGGTGGAAATTGTTTATACGTGTATGCTTTTAGATTAAATAAAATGTAAAGTCATACCCTGGTGTTTTGATATGGCAATGTAAACGTTTATGTTCGACTGTAAAATCTCCTACACATAAAAGCTATATATATTACTGGCTACAGTTGACAACTCAATTTTCACATTATTCAGGCAACTCCTTTTTCACGAGAAATTCAGCATTAAGTGCAACTTAATGAATATGGAAGATATATAAAATTACAATTATTAATTTGTGTTAATTGATGCTGACATCGGTTTTGTAAAGACAGAGCTATTTTGAGATTATCTACAAGATAACACATTCACAATCCGGACAAATACTGCTGGGGACCAATGTGTCTGGATTATCAAGATTCGACTGTATAGTCCTTTGGCAATGTTTCAATGAAATCCATTTTAATTTCTTTCACTTACAAGTTTCTTGAGTCCAAGTATGTAAAATTTTTGGATTATCATTTATATATATACCAGTTTGATAAAAACAAAGTTTTGTTTATTAGTAAAATATTTTTTTTTATTAGTAACCATCTTTAGAAATCACACATGATATGAAGTCAACAATCAGAAATCGATAAGACCATGCTATAAAGCTGCTGTGACCGATTTTCATGTTCAATAAGATATTACTTACGGTTAGACCAGGGGGCCAATATATAAATTCTGAACTAATGTTATGTTGTTGTCATATCATTACAGACAAAAAAAAATTGCCTTTGTATGTAATTCTACAGAACAGAAATAGATAGAGATCGATTCTTTCCTGAAGAAATACAGCATAATTGTTTTTTGGTTATTCTTAGCAAACTTCTCAAATCCAATTATCTTTTTACAATAAAATGCCATTTTCAAAACTTGCATAGATCTTGTGTAGAAGTTGTAAATACCTCCTTAGCTCTTTACATACCCTAACTAGAAATATTACTACTGAATAGTTCTTTCTAAATATCTTGTTACAGTCCACATATTGGCAGAACCAAATTACAACAAAGAGAATATTCACACCTAAAAATACAGGTTTCAATCAAATCAGACTTAAAATCATTGAAGGTGAAAAATACCAGTATCCATATTAAATAGTCCTTTGTTATAAGTTCAGTGAAGTTTTGCCCATTGTTGTACAAGTTTATCGACTTTTCTCGTGGTTAAGAATTTGGGAATGTGGCAGGTATGTAATGTTTTTTCCCATTTCTCTTCAAAGACATTCAATTATGCTATGAAGCAGTGGTTTAGCTTGCCTGTTGATATATATATATATATAAAACTTCACAATAAAAACTGTGATGTAGAGTGTTGATAGTATGAATTGTTCTTGGTTGAGAATGTTGATGCCATTTGGTATTTTTTTAAACAATTTATTGACGAAATAGAGGATAAAGTTGAATATGCCAAGGTGTTTCCTGTTCCCTGAAACAAAATCTAACCAGGCATTAATAATGTCCTGGTCTTCATCCCACCCACATCCCCTCAAAAAACAAGTATATAAACCCATGCACACTATACATGCTTGTATGACAACGTCCCATTTTGCCTGTGGTGTATCATTTGATGGCTTGATTCAATTTGAAGTGTCTTGATTATCTAAACAGGAAAACTACCACATGTTTACAATGTGTTAAGATACTGATGGCAATCATTTCCTATCTCCTGTTGACAGTGTACAAAATGATACCGGATGTCACACAGTCAGGGTTATTAACTAGCATCAATAATAGCGTCCTGTGTTTGTCATCCTTACGATCAGCGATCAGCGTAACAAACAATGGGTAAACTTTCTAAATAATGACTAATATTACCTGCATTCTGAGATTACTTTCCTTGTCAAAATCAGTCTGAAACAATTAGCGGGCAATCTCTGTTTTTGAATATTGGTAAAGAATTGACAATTTTCTTAGCTCCATCAAACGTATCCCAGACATTTAAATGAAACATAGAGGATAATCAGCTAATTAATTTATTCAACGTATCAGGTTAAATAAGTGAAATAAACTTAGCGCTTACATCTATTTTATGGTGACAATTAAATTTATCAATAAAAGAAAGATGATCTGCCATGATGTTAAAAAAATACTTAAGAACTGTAAAAAGTAACTAGAGTGTAGCTTGGAAATATGCTGAAATGATGATAAAGGTTATGTTTGAGTAAGCAGTATAGCATTCTGTTTTATGCAATAAAATTCTGGTGTGAGAAAATTTTCTTCATAAGTTTGCATTCTGATATATATTTGAATTACTTTATTGTGAAAGAGGTTTTTTCACACCTGGAAAATTACCGAGTGATTTTATACCACAGTAAATATAAACATATATTCAAAATAATCTTTTAGATAAAGCTACTTTTAAATACATTTGCTGAGTAGGCAAATTGTTGAAATTTTTCATGGTGTATTTGATTTGGCAGTTGACGGTAAAGAAAGTTAACATGCATGAGTACACCAGGAAGGTTAAATATATAGTTACATACTCAAATTGTGCAGTCCTATACAAATGAGGATAAACTGTCACAACTCTCACATATTGAAGAATGTAATATAGTACAGAACTCATGTATCTAACATCACTAATTATGACTTCATAATGAACACAACTTCATCAGATAATTAGATATTAGGTAATATTTCAAATTCATAGCAAAAATAGTGCTATTGTATAGATTCATTAGTCACATTATTCAGCTAGAACTGTCTGCAATTTTTCTGGTTCACCAAGTATAAACAATATCAATGAATACTAAGATCCTATACTAATGAACCTCATTGTTTATTCAAAATTCTTTTATAGACAATCACACTTTTTCCCCCGAACCCTCTTTGTGACTATTGTATGTATTATACAATTGAGTAATTGAACAAATACTACTAAACTAAATCATGAACCAAGATTCACAGAAAGGTGATAACTACAACTTCCTGTAACATAGAGACGTTGATACCCTCCTGCATTATATATAGACTTGAAAATATTTGTACCATCTATGATTTGATGCCATCAAGATGTAAGCTACTTTAGAGAAGAATGGTGATTTAAGGCTACCCGAAGAGTGGGAGGGCGACTTGAGGTTGTATTCTACCTTAGAACATAGTGGTGACTTAATAATAATAATATATAGGACACAGGCTTATTAAGCCTATATATCCAGAGTTTAAAGAATTAGTATCCCAAATATGGATCAGTGTGTTGTCTAGTTCATGATTATAAACACGTTCAGTTTGCCTCCAATAATTCTCCAATTGGGATTTGAAAGTTTTGTTGGTGACGCTACAACAGCATTAGGAAGTGAATTCCAGTGGTTTACCACCCATTCACAGAAAGAACACTTCCTCAGATTTAGTCTGCTCCATTTTTTTGATAGTGGAAAACTGTGCCCTCTTGTTATCTTGTTATTGTTTGTATCAGGAAATCCTCCGTGACAGCCCTATCATATCCTCCATGTGTTAGTTTGTATACTTGAATCATATTTCCTCCTAATCTTCTGTGCCTCAGTGTCGGTAATTTAAGGATCCATAGCCTGCTTTCATAGCTTAGGTCTTTCATTCCCGGTATTTGTTTCATTGCTCTTCTTTGCACATTTTCCAAATCATTTATGTCTTTTTCCAAATAGGGATTCCACTTGCAGGCCCAATATTCATGGTGCGGACGTACAGACACTTTATATAAAATACAGAATGACTTTTTGTCTAAGTACGTGTATGTCATTGGGATGGTTCCCATTATTCTATTGGCTTTATTGACTGCATCATGAATATGTTGGTTGAAATTAAGGTTGTTGTCTGGTATAACTCTAAGGTCCTTTTCTTTTGTTACCTGATCTAATGTAACCTTGACTCTTCTATTTCTCTCGACTCTAAGTGTAACAGTGTATTAACGGTTTTCTTTTCCAAACTTTGCATTTGTCCGGGTGAAATTTCAAGAGCCATTTATCAGATCATTGTTGAAGCTTATCTAAATCTTTCTGGAGATTCAAGTTATCATTATGACTGTAAATTTTCTTATATACTTGCAGCTCTGAAATTTCAGTATTGATGCTCGGACTGTTTACGGTAAAATTTTTCAGAACTTGGATATAGCCCTGCGGTTCGACCGTGAATACACTCGAGAAAAAATTTGCTAATGCATTCACCTTATCCTTATCATTTTTTGCAACTAATGTTTCGTTTCCACGCTTGATGTGCAGATCAGGGATTCCTGATCTTGTTTTCGTTTTTTAGCTTGCATATCTCCAAAACTTCAAAGGGTTAGTTTTTACTGCCTGTGCGATCTCCTGCTCCAAAGTTCCTTTACATTTTCTTACTAAAGTCTTTACTTTATTTCTTGCGCTTGCATATTCTTTGTATTTCTCGCCTTCTCTTGTTTCAAGGTAGCTCTGCCAGCTTCTATGCTTCCGTTTAATGGCCTTTACGGTTTGGCTATCTAGAGGATTCTGTCTTTTGTTTGCTTCTTGGATGCTTTTAGGTATATATGGATCAATGGTGGATTTAATTATCTGATGAAAGATTTCGTATTTTGATTTTGTGTCCACCGCACGACTTATTTTTTTCTTCCAATCTATCAATAGCTCTTTTCTAATTTGTTCATAGTCCCCTTTGTTATAACTATACTTAATTTTTTTGTTAGTGCTATATATTTTTGTACAGCTAAAACAGAAAAATATTGCACTGTGATCACTCTTTCCTAGTCCGCTATTTCAATATTACTTATAACCTGTTCATTTGAAAATAGCAAATCTAGAATGCTGGGTTCGTTATTCGCTCCTACTCTTGTTGGATTTTTGATATGTTGAAACAGAAATGAGTCTTTCACGGCCTCTAGATATTTATATTCCAGACTATCTGATCCCCTAGACGGTATCCATTGATGCCAGTCTATATTTTTCAGGTTAAAGTCTCCCATTATCAGTAAGTGAGATGTTCTTATTTCCTCTATATTGGTAAAAGTGTGCATAAATCCAAATTATTTTCATCTACGCTGTTAGGACTCCTGTAAAGGCATTCATTTGTTTAGACATTTCCTTTATCCAGATTAATTTTGATCCACAACTGCTCGTCAAACTTATTCTTAATTGTTATTTCCGTTGCTCCTAGATTTTGTGTCGTGTATATAACGATTCCTCTCAATCCACTTAAGGCTGTATGCTACCTTAAGAGTAGGATGGCAACTTAAGGTTGTAATGTAAGCTAACTTGGAGTAGGATGGCAATTTAAGGTTGTATTCTACCTTAGAATAGAGTGGTGACTTAAGGTTGTATGCTACCTTAAGCATAGGATGGTGACTTAAGGTTGTAATGTAAGCTAACTTGGAGTAGGATGGCAACTTAAGGTTGTATGCTACCTTAGAATAGGGTTGTGGCTTAAGGCTGTATGCTACCTTAAGCGTAGGATGGTGATTTAAGGTTGTAATGTAAGCTAACTTGGAGTAGGATGGCAACTTAAGGTTGTATGCTACCATATACAAGAGGAACATGGTAACTTATTTATAAAGACCATCTTGTAACCATATGATATCTGAAACATATGAATCTCCCTCCAACATAATTCTTTTAAGAGAAATAACTCTTAAATAAATCACACAAATCATGCAGTCATTAAAATTTACCATCTGTCTAAGCTTCATTTCTCTTTACAACAAACAGGACTATATGTTAAAAAACACAAGTATACAAGAACATGGGATAAAAGTTACCACTGGAAACACGAGTGATTTTTCAGATTTTGTACACAACGTAAAAAAAAATTACCAGTGACAAATATTTGTACATATGTAATATGATATGAGATGATGTTAACAATGTATCGCACAGATAAAGCAAATACTTTAAACATCACATTCAAACATATATTTTGTAATATTTCCATAAAACTTAGCATATGAAGTATCTGTAGTGTACATGCAGTGAACAAGATCATTAGAAATCCCAGCAGCACTATAAATAACCTCAGGTCACAAAAAGGTCAGCAGTCATAAAAATAAACATTTGTGCTATTACACACAAAATCAATACAAAGCCATACCTCTGATATTACATCTAATGTCAAACTTATAATGAATCATGCAGATAATACCTTTTCAAATCCAATAAGAATTTGTAAATATTTTCAAAATAATTTATTAATATTTGATTTTTGTATTATTATTTATTTGTTAATTCGTACGTAAAGCGACAGTAAAAACTGCTGAAATGGCGCAAACGAAACATTTCAGAAACACGACTACAAGGAAGTATATTGTGGTTTTTTTTTTCGTTAGCCCAATACATGGGCCGCCTGTTGCAAGTGACAGCATCATTAGCACCCAGTGGTCACGAGTCGGCATCAGTTTTCCGGGCACCTGTCTTACCTTAGGGTCCTGTTCATAGTAGTGCTGCTGTGTTCTGATCCAGCGCCCCACCAGGTGATCCCTGACAGTGTGGGCCAAGGCGTGATAGTAGTCCCGTGGGGTGGAGACATTTCTATCCTTCACCACAGTGTAATGTAAATGCCGGTTAAATGTTTTCTTAATTTCCGCAACATTTTCCACCGGTGCAATTCCACGGATACTGATCTGTTTACGTTTGTCAACGTCTGACTGAGGACGCGCAGCCATGTTTAGGTTGTTTAAACTGACTCTGGATGGATGACAGCTCTGTGTGTCTCCCCGGTACCTCGACGTTTTCTTCTCGCTCGAGATTCAGCTGGCTGTGACCTCACGTCCTTGGCCTAGCCTTCGTTCGTCCTTGTCATACTAATGCACAGAACGGAGTGTATCCGGATATATTATTGAAGCGCGTTCGCACAAGTATACTACATCATGTGTACAGAACACCCCCTATGAATATAAACCGATCATTGATGAAGCGATTAAAATGTCAATTTAAAAGTGTTGAAATGTTATCTTTGAGTCTACGTAATCGGCCCGAATTAGTAAACATTACTACAGATTTTCAACGGACCGCTTACATGGTAAAATTATTTTCTAGCTGCGGACCGTCTGCTGTATCAAGACAAGAAGCAGCCAATTATGTATTATATTTATATAAAACAAATATTATATATATGGTTAAATTATTCTAATTCACAGAAAAAACACCCCCAAAATACACCATTTTTCTTCAGATGAAAATGTAATTTTATAAGTGCTAGTGCAAACCATTTTTTAAATATTTTTTATGCAGATAAAATATCCTTATTTACATATGTGATGTGAATCATATGTGTATATTTCTGAAACCCTTTTTTAATTGTATTTTTGCCCGAAAAAATTCTAACCAATCTGATCCCGTGAGTAAGTGTATCAGTTCAGGATAGGGTCGTCACGTGATAAGGCATGGCTTGTACGTGACAGGATCAACTTTTCCATTTTCAGAATTGATTTTCACTAGAAGCTACTTATTATTAAAAAATAAACGAAAGTAAAAGTAATTGAAGATCTAAAGTTCTCAGATGAACTACCACTATCAAAACTCATAAATTTAAAAACGTTCTTTCAGTGTCTCAGATTGTTTCAGAAGTCAATAAAAAACGACAGTTTCCTTATTCTTTCCACTTAAACAAGATACAGTAAAAATTAACTAATTACAGAATAAATGGAATATGCAAATTTAAACTAAAAACCCATATCATTAATTAAATATGCAATGTCAAGTACAAGTATCACCATTCAAGAGATCACACCACTGCGAGAGAGAGAGAGAGAGAGAGAGTAGGAGAGAGCGAGAGAGAGAGAGAGAGAGAGAGAGAGAGGGGGGGGGAGGGAGGGAGGGAGGAGGGGGTGGTTAATAAGATCGCGCAAGCGGGCCGTTGCTTATTCGTTAGATCATTTTTAACGTTTTAACGTCAACGTTTACTATATGTTGCAATGGTTCATAAATGACAGAGCGGATTTCAATCAAATTTGGTGTGAAGCATCATTGGGAAATCAGGAACCAATTTTGTTTAAATGCTGCGTCGGGAGGGCCCGGTAGGGAAAACGATCAATTTCTTTAAAATCTATCTTATTATTCAGGAATTGCAGGACATTGTCCAGATTAGGCCTGACGCATGTATGGATGAAGGAAAATCAGTTTTGCATAAACGCTGGGTCTTGGCCTTCTGGGGCCAGAGGGACGGGGCCCAATAGGGGAAATCTATTGATTTCTTTAAAATATATATTGTTCTTCGGGAATTGCTTGATATTGTCCCAAATTAGTCTGAAGCATGCTTGGGTGAAGTATTAGAAGTTCCCATTTGCAGACAGTAAACTTTATACCCACCCTTTAATGAAACCTGATAAGTTTTTACTCAAAATCTCCGTTAATGGTTTTCTTCTTCGTAACTTTTTACTGTCAGATATTCACCTGCGGAAGTAAGTAGACTAACCTGACCAGTGTTCGAACAGGAACAGCGACCGACTTGTCCACTCATGATGCATGGAATGTGGGTACTTTTCTACCTCTGATATGAAAAACTCTCAAATAAAGTGGTGTAAATCTGAATTCAAGAAGACGACTGAGCAGCTGACTCTGCTGCGCGTGACAAGTGTCAAAATGAGTACAAATGTAAGCAAAATATCTTACTTGAAAGAAAAGTATCGCACCAAAAGCGAATTTGACAGTTTACGGGACAAATTGAACTATTGTTCCACATTTTCCTTCATAGAAATAATGCTGTTCCATGACCAAAACCATACCATGATATTGACCTAGATATTTCGTGGAATTTGGGAAGACAATATCACAGCACCATTGTTAATTTGATATTTCAATGGGGCGTTCGAACATTGGTTTCGACATGGACCTATAAATTTCTGACAGCACACTGGTGGCGTTTAACCAACTGCCGAAAACGCATTCTGATCTCACAGAGTTACTGCCCTTCGTTTCACTCCATCAGTACATTCTGATCTGCCCGAGTTACTGCCCTTCGTTTCACTCCGTCTGTATATTCTGATCTCCCAGAATTACTTGCCCCTGTTTCACTCTGTCAGTACATTCTGATCTCACAGAGTTACTGCCCTTCGTTTCACTCCGTCAGTACATTCTTATCTCCCAGAGTTACTGCCCTTCGTTTCACTCTGTCAGTACATTCTGATCTGCCCGATTTGCTTCCCTTCGTTTCACTTCGTCTGTACATTCTGATTTCCCAGAATTACTTGCTCCTGGTTTCACTCTGTCAGTACATTCTGATCTCCCAGAAATACTGCCCTTCGTTTCACTTCGTCTGTACATTCTGATCTCCCAGAATTGCTTGCTCCTGGTTTCACTCCTTCAGTACATTCTAATTTCCCATAGTCACTTGCCCTTCGTTCTACTCCGTTAGTAGATCGTTTAGCGATAAACTTGATATCCGGTTGGGGACAAGAATGCCGTAGCAATGCCTGTGTTTGATTTTTATATATATCGAAAAGGTCATGACATCTTAATTTGCCTTCTGATATGGTATATGTTGTTTAAATTTAGATTTGGGTTTGAAATGTTCAAACATTTCTTGTGGTAAAGTGAAGAAATTAAAAATTAAAAAAAGATACGATAAAGTCCATGATGGAGGCAATGCAACCTGTTTTGTTGTTATATCGTCCATATTGTTTTTGAAATCCTTGATAAGGGTTTCTGTAACCTGCCCTTTAATAGTTATAATTTGTTTTATTTTTTTTTTAATTTCTTGCAAGTTTCTTATGCTATGTTGGTTTTTCTTTGTCCCTAGATGTACGCACATTGATCCCAAGATATGTGTAATTGATTGTGAAACCAACTTCAAAGAGAAGAAAAATCGCACAATTATCTCGTAAATGTCTTGTCTAGGATCTACTGTTTAGCGCAGCACGTCATCCGTCTCTGAACTTGTACAACATGAACATACCCTCGTCACTGTTCATTTTTTAAAATTGCTTAAATATACCAATGCTTCAACATTTTAATTCCATATGTATGTTCATTTAGACCTATTTACCTTAGACAAACAAAATGCATCATATGTTAAAGGTCAAGGTCACTTTTTGGAACTTAAGTCTCGCCCTGGGCTGGGCCCAAAAGGGGGAATAGAGGAAATTCTATAAAAATCCTACTCCTCCTGCAGAAATTATTTGACTTTGTCCAAATAAGGTCTGACGAATTCTTGGATGGAATGGAATCGACTTTATATTAATTGTGGATTTTGGCCTCCTGGGACAGGCGAGGCAAAGCCAAATAAGGAAAATGGAGCAAATTGTTTAAAACTCTACTTGGAATTATTTGATTTTTACCGAATTTAGTCCAAACCTTATCTTTGACCCCTCTGGGTATGGGCAGGGACCAAATAAGGGAAACAGACCAAATAGTTCATAATTTTACTCCTCCACTAGGAATGTCCGTATTTTGTCCCAATTTAATCTGAAGCATTGTTGGATGAAGGGGAAGCAATTTTGAATGGTGTGTTACAGCCTCTTGGGGCAGGAGGGGCAGGACTTAATAAAGGAAATGGACCAAGCCCTACTTCTCCTATAGGAACGATAAGAGTTTTATCCAAAGAGTAACGATGATTCGTTGCTTTCATTTGGTCTGAAAATCAGCGATGGGGAATCATTTCTTGAAAATCAGGAAGTCAAAGCCATCCCTAGAGACCTGTGGATGGGACCCAAAAAGGGAAGTTAAACAATACTTTGCTTCAAAACGCTACTCTTTTTTAAAGTTTAAACGGATTTCATTCAAACATCATTAAGGTTAGGCAATAAATTCTTAAATTCAGAAAATGTCCCAAGGAACTTAGGGGCGGGCCCCGAAAGGGTAGTTAGGCAAATACTACAAAAGCTGTATATCTGAAATATCAAGTATGTGTATAAAGTACTATTAGAGATACGATTGTTCAAAAGAAGTATAAAACGATGTTAAGATTATAGAATTTTAGCGTAAAATTACAAATTGACACCACTTCACATGTACAACCTTAGTACCATAGTATCACCATAACAAGTTTTTCACGTACATGTATATTTTGGTATCTATTGGTTGAAACTACAGACGAACAGAATCAAGCGGAATTAGATATACTTGTGGGCTACAATCACAGTTCATTCCGTCAAAAGAAAGACTCTTCGCTTCCTGCAGGCAATGACATCTACACAAGATTGGATTTTTTAAAACACATGATTCATCATTAAACTCACTGCGCAAAGGGTTTTTAGGAACGGAATGGACGGGAAAATCGATAGTTTTTGAATGGATTTGTTTCCTCGTGCGTTTCAACTTAAAAATCGATTGTCAAAAGATTCCATCCCACAAGTCTATGTTTCAGTTGTCTGAACATTCTAACTACATTAGAACCTTAGAAAATGTTGATAGTATAATCACTAAAGTATGACGCATGCATATGTAAGGAGTTTCAGTTTGAACTGTGTGGGACAGCTGGCTTCCTCATACTCAGATCTATATCTCACAAAATAGTCCTCACAAAGACACCACGGTGTTGTCTAACTACCACAGTTGTTTGTATTTTGTTTTCATTAATAAGAATTATGTCACAAGATAGGATAATATGACATGACGAAGAAAGCACATGTACGTACATGGAAACTTACGCACTTGTCTCCGTATACAATGTATTAAAATGAAAAAAAAAATCACAATTTGTTCTTCACAATATGCAAATTCAAACGAAGTAGCAGCAATGTTTTGAATAAGCAGTAAGCAGACTATTTCCCGTTATGAAACGAGTTTTCTGTGTACCAAAAACATTAAACATCAAACGTATCTTTTACTTTACCAGGTTTAACGAAATCGTGTGCAAATTTCAACAAAGTAGGGTACAGCTTCAGTTTCTTTGTATGTAATGGCATTATGACAAGTATAAATAAAGAAGTATAGTGGTTAAGATTTTCGTTTCACGTTTCTCCATAACCGCGCTTATATGTCACTGAAAATTCACAACACTAACCAACTTCTGAAATGGTGAAAGTATCGCGATGAATACCAACGAATACATCTGCAATAGACAGTACATACATTCCAACCTGTTGTAAGCCTACGATTTGAACCATTACTTTTGTTTATTTACATGTTTAATTAATCAATTTTCGTGACAAGGATATTTTTTGATATCAGGGACTTTAGGAAATAACTTTAACTTCCGGTGTATACTTTACTTGCATATATGGTGTGCACGTATATAGTACATGCATGTGTGCCGTCTTTTGTAGTTCTGTAAAGTGGCTTGGGAATTGAAATTTCGTAATTTATGAAAGACTGGCAAATTATCACAAAAGGATACATGGTGAGAAGAGTACAATAGATACAATACGTAGCCAGAGACGTATATAGAGAATTCTGGTCACCGTCTTAAAATATCAGCTGTAAAAAGGGCAAACCTTGCGAGCTACTTTTGTCTTTCTGTCGAGTTCTGTATGATAAAAATGAATATTTGATATGGTAGCTTCCCCTAGTTCCACCGTGCGGCGCACTAGTCAACTCACTTTTGGAATAAAATTAAATAGAAGAAAACAATATTACATACGTTATTTGTTTGGAACTAAAATCAGCCTTATTTAGAGTCTGATAAAAATGGTTTACCCACACGTCACTTAGCGCTCATAAGATGTCGTGACAAATTCTGTACAACGTTCTTAAAATTGTTATTATTTTAATTTCCTGGTGATAGGAAATTCTGTTTTCGTTTTTTCATACAATAAATGTAGACTATTAAATAAAGATATATCTTTCCTGGGAAACAATAGAAGCCAATCAAATGTGTGAAACGTGCGTTTAAAGGGAAATAACTCCCGATAATTTGGGTGCTAAGTTCTACTGAAGCCGTTTGTAATTATTAACATGTTGAAAGACGAACAGAAAGGACATAAAGGACAATAACAACTTCTGCTTAGAAACAATGATGCATTGATATAAGCCAATATATATTCAAATATATAATTTCAAAATCCAAATTAGTTTAATATTTTATTAAGGATTAATAATGATATCATAAAGAAGGCAACTTATATTACTAGTACATAGTCCAAAATGATGAGTGTTTGACAAGTGTCCCCTCCAGAATGTGATTGGTCTTGACTTACTCGACAAAGCTCATTGATCAGTATTGCTACACACATAGGACATGTGGCTTGGTTGGATCAGTTGATATTTAGATTCATTCAGATGTTGTGTTTAGGTATGTCAATCGTATATAGGACACTAGAACAATAAATCCTCACTAGATGTTAATTATTGCTACATAGATAATGATCCATCTCAGACAGATTTATTACTGTTCCATCACCCTTCCTCCTCTACCTGTTCTGATCTCCCAGTTACTGACCTTTGTTTTCACTCTGTCAGTACATGGTAAAGCGATAAGCTTGACAGCAGATAGAGGCTGAAAATGTCCCCTCTGGATCCATTTTTTTAAATCTATTTAATATTTCATAAAATCAATCAATATTTAAGATTTCAGACTTTGTTTTAAAAACAAGAATTGTTTTAATCTTCTGTATTTTACCATGCGTAGATATTTTGCTTGTGTTTTGTTTATTACTTGTTACACATATTTGCTTGTAAATTAGCTCTACAGAGCAAATGTTTACTATCTGTATGTAAATTAGCTCTACAGAGCAAATGTTTTCTATCTGTATGTAAATTAGCTCTACAGAGCTAATGTTTTCTATCTGTATGTAAATTAGCTCTACAGAGCAAATGTTTTCTATCTGTATGTAAATTAGCTCTACAGAGCTAATGTTTTTTATCTGTATGTAAATTAGCTCTACAGAGTTAACGTTTTTTATCTGTATGTAAATTAGCTCTACAGAGCAAATGTTTTTTATCTGTATGTAAATTAGCTCTACAGAGCTAATGTTTTTTATCTGTATGTAAATTAGCTCTACAGAGCTAATGTTTTCTATCTGTATGTAAATTAGCTCTACAGAGCTAATGTTTTCTATCTGTATGTAAACGATTGCCAAAATATAAATCTTATATCTGGTACTCCCCTTGCCTGCTACTCCATTCCATGCAGGAAATACTGAACGAATGTCACAATAGAAAAACCACAAACACAGGGCAGTATTTATCTTCAGAGTAAGTAAAAAAAATTCACAGTAATACATACACACATGCTATACAACATCAACTTCCACAGGTAGGGCAAAAACATGCAAGTATATACATATCAAATAATTAATACTCTGTGTTTGTGTTATCCTAGTAGCAACAGTGCCGTGTAGTCCAGTACTAACAGCAAAAACAATGTATTTATTGTACATACATATTTCAAGATAGCTTAGGATGCTTCATAAATGTAACCATTGAGCAGGGATTGGTGTACACATATTATCTGTCCTTGCAATAAGTGAACTTTTTATAATATAGTATAATACTGAAATAAGTAAGTATGTTATTGGAAAGATGTCAAAAGGAAAAGGTAATCACCTCACCGAATGTACGCGGCTACAACCATATGAAAATTGATTCAGGCTATTAACTAGGCAATATCTGTGTCAAAATATAAATATTATTGCCAATGACCTTTACTTGAAACACACATAACAAAATACTTTGTTATATCTATACCATTTATTCTCTATAATTTTCTAAAATAAAAAACATCAGTAATTCCAAATAATGCCCAAGAACAATGGCTACTGGTCAACATTTTGATGTTGATTGCTTAAGTCACAGCTCATTAATGTTCATGCTGTTCAGTACTTTCCGGTCGTTACTCAACAATTTCCACCATTAAGCAGTACTACAAAATCCTGTTGTTGTTGGAAATTTATTTCAGAATTGAAATTGTTGGAATGATGTGATCTTATTATCTAAAATGATAGAAAATGATTAGTTTTCTTAAATATCAACGGTAGAAGGTACAACAAAACATCTGTAGACTGGATTTTTGGTCAAACTCAGTTAATAAAATGTTTAGTAATTCACTGTGAAAAAAAAACAAACAAGAAAATACCAAACAAAAACAAGCACAAATGATAGTTTAACAATTTATTTACAACAAAGTTTATCTCATACAGATGTAATCAGTTCATTTACGTCAAATTTGAAGACAAAGTTACTTCCCTTTAACAGAGCATAAATATATCATTGTATATGGAACTCTGAAGCCCTTTAGAAGAAGACCTAGTGGAAGTTTATCTCAAAATTTCATCCAACATACACAAGCAGTTTTCAACCTTAACATAATATAATAACTGGTCTTTTCTCTACTTTTGAATGAAAAGCCTAGATATCACAAATTTGTTTAACGAAATTTACCCAAATCTTATAGACGGTGTATATTATTTTACAGTTATACTATTACTTCAAGCAGACCAAAGCATAAAAAAACTCATCAAATGATTTTGAAATATAATTAATTGCTTTAACATGGACAGACAGACATTCTTTATTTCCTCCTTTTGAAGACACCTATTCAGAGTTTTCAGTACAATAAAACCAAACTAACTCCTTTATGATAGGAAATATATTTGTAAATATAATGAATCAAAACCTGTAGTTTTGGGATCATGTTTACAACTTGTTTAACTTTTATTTTTTGAAAATGATTTTCATGCCTTCAATAACAAGTCAGAAAAAATCAAACAGAACACATCCATTTAAATAAATGATCTGGAGAACTATTAAAACCTTTCATGAAAGGTCAGAAATGTGAAAAACATACATAGTTTCTTTTGCTTCATGTTTTATCCACTGTTAGAAGTAGAATCAACTGATATTGTATTTCCATATACAGTAAAATCCATGAATGATTTACTGTGATAAATTTTTAATTGAAATATGTGTACTTCCTAAAAGCTGAAAAATGATGTCAGATGCCCATTGAAAAGGGTAGGAACACTTGTGAAATCTCACATTTGGTAGAGACACTTCACTAAACAAAATCTTTTGAAAGCATTTTTTCTTTGTGTGGCTTCTGCGCTATTGTGAAAGGATTTTGTTAATTTTGAACTTTTTGCATTCGTTAGAGTTATTCCCCCTTCAGCAATGGCATTTTAGTCAATTGACATGGACCTATTTGGCATAATCCGGTTGAAATGGTTCAGTTGGACTGGAATCATTCCACTAAACTGGAACACACAAGTACCAAATGTTGTTGGACCTGATGTATGTAAAGCTCAAACTACAAAGTGTCATTGTTTCCTGTCAAGCATAAAGCATTTAGCAAAAATTATGATACCATCTTTCTTCCTTATACGTTACAGATAACGCTTCTGGAAATATGCAAGTACACTAATTCTGAAAACTATTAATATTCAGCAAGTTAGTTTCGGATAGGTACAGCTGGACCCCTCAATTTGTACCTTGCGTGTTTCTTGCAGGTTCAACTGCTAAAGCCAAAGCAATCATGGACTGATCAGGAAAAAATAGTTCTTCATATACATGTGAAATTTTAATGTAAAATGGGACGTGAAAAACAAAAGTGGTCTTCACATTCATTGGCTTAACACATTTCTACAACAAGAAATATACTGGATAGTTTGCAAATCTGATTGCAATATATTGTTTGGAATTAGCTCACTCAAACAAAATGCACCAGGAACCAAAGAAAAAAGTTCATTGAAATGTAATTAAAAACCACAACAGTAAACATCACTCACACATCTATTCATCAGTCATTCTTACACATGTTCTTCAAATTCAGGAACATTTATATCTACCATCTTCCATTACAGTTACACCTGTAATTTAGAATACAACATACAAGTCTGTAGTTGAATACCGTCTCTAGTTGCATGGTATTGTCTATACCATGAGTATTTTTGTTCAGGATCATCACACTTTGCCGAGCGCAATCTTTGTCTTCTGGTGTTCACATCTCTAAAAGTGGTTTTGATTACATTTCACAAAGTCTTTTATTCCTTTATTTTTTTCTTCTGTGCCATTGGTACTATTGATTGTTCCATATTTTGACCCGGTAACTGCTCAGCACTTTAAGAACTCACTTTTCTTTTGATGCCATATGTCTCATCAATAAGCTTGTCAACTTTTCCAATTTCTTAACATCCTGTGCATGTTCTGTACGATATTGTAAACACTGAAACAGAAAATGTTGATTAAGCAGACAATAATAGATTATGTCTAATAACAAATACCCTAATAAGAACTTAAACTATGTTAATAAAACTTCTGGATACAATGCTTAAGTTGCTACAAATTCATTAGACTCTTCAATCTAATGTAGAATGTTGATCGTGATATACTTTTTGTTTTGTTGTATATCAATATGAAATGTGATGGAGAATACTGGTGTTGTTACTCATTAGTTTCTTTAATAAAATCTACTCTGTGTTTAAACATTGATTATGTTTAGAGTCAAGTGAAATACTTACTACAGAGTCATCTGTCACCTTGACATTGATTTTCCCATCACAATGTCTGTACTTGATCGTATATCGGCACTAAAACATGAACAAATATATGAACAACAACAATATGGTTAACTTATAGAAATAGTACAACTAAAACATTAAGAAAGTGACGTGTTAGGTGAACATATTTATGATTTTGTGTTACGTTTTCCTCAATTAACAAGGAAAATAATTTTACTTATTTCAATTCAACAGATCCGAGGGTTAAATAACAGAATTTACATTTAACAAGTAACATTAGTGACATATTTATGTAGTTGAAGTTTGTAAGCATCTACACATGCCAAATTTCACCATGTTTTCTTTCGTCAGTTTTGCGGAGGTTTAGTGAAAAGGAAATATCAAATAATTCTCTAAATGCGCACCGAACTCAAAAGTATTTCTTTATGGCTTTATACCCTACTGAACGCAAATGCCATATTGCACCATAACACGAGTTTAAATATGTCATTGTTGAATTGGATTATGTCAACTTATACGGCAGTATTCTTACTTTTGATGGGTCATTTAAATAAAGACGCTCTGCAGCCTTTGAGAACTCTTCCCACGATGTCATAAATGTCATTTTGAGCTTCCCTTTCAATCGTTTACCGGTATATGCAACGTGTTGGCAAAAGAGAAGTCTTCACCGGAAGTGCATAAATGATAACAATGATACGGAGATAATGTAACTTCCGGTAAATTTCATCGTAGATTAACTCATTTTTTCGTTTATCTGGAGACTATTTAGTCATTTTTATATTTTTTATGTGTTTATACTTTGCGAATAAGAAGAGATTACCTAATCACGTAAAGTCTTTTTTCCAAAACATATTATTAATCCCATAATTCTCCCATGTCAATAATGGCGTTACTTTTGTGACAAGGAAGATGGGGTTATGCGGAAACAAGCTTATATGAAACGAGAAAACACATACAGCATATCATCTTCTGTTCATCGGTGTATACAAAACCCTTAGTAATTCTTGACATCTGAGCACAAAGAAGACGGTTTAATTAACCAACAATGAGGTAAGTTTATGTAACGCTTCAAACATCATCTTGAAAGATGAACCCACCAGCTGCAGTCCAACTGTCTGAAATCACCAAGCATTATCGTGTTTGGTATACTTGTTGTAATATACATTGAATTGGAAATGGAAAGCATATACTATCTTGATTTTCAAAAAATATGTATGCAGTTGTCATTTAATTCAAGTAGTTAGAGGGCAGTGATGCAGTAAGTGTGCTCATGGTCCAATACACAAACTACTGTGCAATACACATCTGACAGCATGGAGTTCACGTTAATTCATATAACAGTATCTTTATACATGAAAATGCTTTAGTTTGTTGTATGATTGTTTCAGGTTATATGAAATATAATATTAGTTATATTTTGGTACTTATTAATTTAAAGTATGTGTACATGATAATATAGCTATCTCGTCTTTTCAAGTAACTGTCTGTGGAAGTCTGATAAGGTGTTAAATGATATTCATTTATAATCAGTGAGTAGGAAGTAAATCATGTTCCGTTTTACAGCTTTGACCTTTTGTAGTAGTCCAGCTGTATAAATTGTCTGATTTTAGGTTTTTAAATTTTGATACTGGACATCAATTTTTGATTAATGTTATATTTTTAATATGTGTATGGTCCATAGTTACTATCAGGTACTTGTTACTGATGACTTTTGTCTTCGCTAACATAAAGATGTCCTCCACAAAATGACGTTTACCAGTATATGATACATTATGTGTGCAAAATACAGATCATACAATATAATATTAGGTAAGTTAATATGTATTGTTTATGGAGAATGGTAGTAACCAGCAGCTACCACATGGGGACCTCACCATAATATAGCCTAATAATCCTGGCAAATAAATACAAATCAGTTCAACATCTATACTGGCCAGAAGAAAGGTTGATCAGAAATAAAAACATATTCATGGTCAGTATATTTTAACTTTGCTAAAGAACATCATTGTCTTTCAATAGAAACTTTAAGATGTTGAAATGAATTATTTAACTTATTTATAAGATCATTAAATATAATGACCAGATAGAGCATATTTAATAATTACTATGTTATGTTTTGAAGAATGCATAGGTTCATAAATACAGTGTATTTCACTACTGTATGATACTGAATACTGCTACAAACTTGTCAAAATATATATTACTCATTACATGAAAGAGGAAGTCTGTGTACTCGACATGTATTGTAAGAGCTAGAACACAATTGCATAGTGTATCACTGTTAAGTTATCACTGTGTTAAGTGGTTTCAGCGTCTATCTTCAGGTTACATATACTTATATGTGATTTGTTTTATAGTTGCGGAAATTATCATTATTGTGGCTAAAAACAAAAGGAATTATTAGAAATATAACCTAATAGAAAGACACAGTGCTATAATTTGGTTTAGTGTTGCTTCATGTCCTATTAACAGCCAGGGTCATTTAAGGACATTTCAGGGTTGGGTGGTGGACGAAAGCCAGAGCTTCCGGTGAAAAAACCACCGACCTGTGGCAAGTACCTGACAACTGCCCTACATAGACCTTAAACCTGCCACCCCAGAGGTTAAGAGCTTGTGATAAAGATGGTTCACTTGGCCACTGAGACCCATCACAATGCTGTAATCTGAATATATAATTTATCCATTAATGTTATTTAGAACAAAAAGCTGGTAGAAAATATTATTTCAGGATTACATCTTCATACCAACCTTAGGAGGACTGAAGCCCTTCCATTAATGTTTGTGAGTGTACTGTAAAGGACATGGATCAGTTAACTCCCTTGATTCAAAGCCAGGGGAAAAATACCACCAACTGATTGTAGTAACTCTACCTTTCTTTAGATATTGTTGTACATGTTGAAGCCTTGAACTTGGTATCAATGAAAATGAAACAACAGCATCTAGATTCATGACAATGCATTTTTGTTTCGTTTTTCTCTGAGATAAGATCAGAAAAAATGACATTCAATCATGTCATCCTTGATGCCTTCCATTTACCAGGTCCCAGATGCAGATTTAAATCCTGCTAATAGATTGTTTGTTGGATTTACTGCCTCTTGAAGAGCCAGCTCTATTTGAGTTCTCCTTGTAGTAGTTGGTGGTTACATTTACCTGACATGCCTCCAGAGCAATTGGTGTATGAGAGTAAAGTGACTTATGCAAAGATAGAACTGCATCAGTAAAGATGTCCGTTTTTTGGCTTTTTAGAAACACAAATCTTAACATCAAAATGCATACATCAGATCTTCACCTATTGTTTGGTACTTTCAGGGTAAAATTGTGTTGTTATGTATGTCCTTAAGAAGCCTGAAGTAGGATGAAACTGTTTGATAAACCAATACTGGATAACCCAGCTTTTTCACCAATTGTGATTGATCTCTACTGAACAATTAGACTTATCCATCAATTGCCCTGCATACCTGCTGGTATCCATATGAGGTGTCTAGAGACCCATTGTCAACCTCCGAAGTCAATCCAGTTTTGGCTTTATTCCCTTCACCCCAACTCTTTTGTCAGTCAGGGGACAGAACCCCATGTATAACCTCTTTTACTAAAGAGAAGACTCAGCACAACACCATTTGTGGTAAGAAAAGTAGGGGAGAAAGTGGTAGCTTTGGTAGTACATTGAAAAGAAAATTATGATTTATACCAGATTTTTCAAAAGATGAAGCTAACTTATTGTTATTCCTTTCCTCAAGCAGACAGCAGAAAGCAAATCACAAGGGGATTTCTAGATCTGCATACTTCTGTGATCATGCATAGATTAAATGCTAGTATACATGTACCTGTATACAATGTTTCCTATTTCCCAACATGCAGGTCATATGGTCAGACTGGTGTGACAGCTGGTGTAAAACTGTCATTATTCAATTACCACACAAACACATACTATATCTATATATTTGTTGCATAAATATTAACATTCTCTTAGTAAATGTGTATCATTCAATAGATCAGAAGATAAAAATTCTATTATCAGTTATAATTAGATCAATGATGAGGAAACAGATGTACACTTATCAAGTGTCTTAATCTCTTATTTTATTGTCCTGTTGAATTCACAGTTGATATATATAATCTTTTACAGTAAAACCTAGAAAATAATTGTGCATTATCTGGGTACTAAGTTTTTGAGCTGTTGACAGGAGGCCCTTATCCTAACTGAAATTAGCTGATAAGTAATAAAGCATACATACTCTACAGGTTGCATTGGAAACTTCAGTGCAAAATTTGTATGTAGTATTTTCTATGGGTGTTACCCTTGTCGATTGATAATCTTATTCAATTGTTATGTAATGTCACATGTGACTGATGATAATAGTTTTTAGTGGTATATCCACAATAAACCATCAACACTTTTTTCATTTGCATACAGTATAAATCTAGCCAGGTGATGATTCTTTATGATGGTAGTGACCTCGATTGACCTCAGGGCTCTCGATCTGCCAGATTTGGGGCCCATGTTCGGCCCCATTCCCAATGCAAAATAATATCTTTTTTCCCAATTTAGACCCCAAGTTTTCCCAATTCCAACGCCGCTATTTTTCCCAATTCTAAGGGCCCCGGGCCCCAGTCCCAAAATGGGGTGTGAGAGCCCTGGACCTAGACATATTATGAAAATGATTCCAGTAACGTTGGTGAGACCTCTAAACTTTAGTAAAATTTCATTTGGTTTTCAATGTTTCTGGTATTATGTGTAACAAAGTTAGTTTATTTATTGAATTATACACACAATACTTGCATTAGAATTATCATATTCTTATTTGACTTGTTTCAATCTATATGAATAAGAACAAGGATAACCTCGCTGTGAAATTTGTACTGGTATATTGATATTACTGCAGTCATTTTACAAATATCTTTTACAATATCAAACACACAATGTCACCTTTGATGTTATTGTATACCGACAGTTTTGAACAAATAGTTTTACTTTAAGGATTGATGCATGTAAGTAATTTTTGCCATATACGATTCACCATGAAGACTGTTAGGAAGTTCAAGTCAAACGGAGCAAAATTCAAACCTTTTATTAAGTACAATTCCATAAATTTGCTGTTTACTTTTTTCGAAATAAAACTGAAAGGCTCCATCCTAAATTTCTGATATTTGATGTCAATATTGTAAAATACATACTCATAAACTTCCATTTGGATTAATAATCATGTGTTGCCGATCTCTTTGCTGAAAGAAAAGAGCTTAAATACCTAGCATTAATACTTCGTAAGATCAGAAAAGAGGTCATTATTTATTTCCATACCTCTGCTAGGAATCGAACCTGGGACCCCTGACTTGCTAGTCTGACGCTCAACTCAGCTTAAGAGAAGTTCTCTCCAGCTGAGTGGTATATTACAGCTAGTATTTTACTAGGGTTACATACTCCCTCCTCCAGGAAATAACTCGTCCTCAAGTTTCCAGGGGTTACAGCGATGCTGGTGAGGCATGGCTAAGCACTATTCCCGGGTCCCTTTATGGGCACCAATGTAACAGAGGTCATTATTTATTTCAATGCCTCTGCTAGGAATCGAACCCAGAACCCCTGACTTACTAGTCTGATGCTCAACCAATCGTGTTAAAGAGAAGTTCTCTCTAGCCGAGTGGTATATTGCAGCTAGTATTTTACCAGGGTTACATACAGAGTCAGGTCATTTAGCACTTCATTCAGCTACAGCTGATCTCTGAATTCAGGATGAAATAGCAGAATGGACCTTTTGCTGTTTATGAAAAATGGTGACCTAATGACCTATGTGATATGGTATGCTATAGGTTGTTCGAAAATTAGAGATGGACAAGTGTTAGTGTATCAGTAATTTTAGGTTATCATGTGAAATATATCTGGTATATGACCTTTACAGAGACAAATAAAAAAAACCCCAGCATTTTTCATCCCTCCACGACCGATATCTTCATTTACTCATATAGGCTGTGAAATATCTCTATTAGTTTGATCCAATCCTTCGCCTGTAAATTCAAATCAATCAAACTGTTTTTCCTTTCACCTTTTTCAAATA